CCCCAACACACACACACAGAGTCACGCCCCGTTTATTTCGGGGCGTCGATGCGCCCCGCCTGTCCATCGGGAGGACGCCGGCGTGGGCCATTAGCAGCATTACGCCCCGTTCAAGAAAAGTCGGTAAATTGGAGAAAAATTTGGTCAAAATTAAGTTTGCGTATTTGGTCAAAATAAAGTTTTCAAATCCGCTGTCCGAAAAGTCCCAAATGTTTTCTTTTTTTTCGATTGAAATGACACGCGCAAGCAAACGACAAGTTTGGTCTGTCTCCTCTTTTTAGCCTGTTGTTTTTTTTATTAATCTAGCGTTCTTGGTAGCGTCAGACAAAGCATTGACACAGGACACCGCGCCGAGAGGGGCGCCACTCCCGGAAGCTCCCTCCCCTCCCCTCCATCCCCTCCATCCCCTCCCCTCCCCTCCCCCCGCCCCTTTCACCCGGCGCGGTGAGCCTCCTCCACTTCCCTGGCGGGGCTTCGAGTCAGCGCGGATCGGATGTTATGAAAAATGAACATTTCGATCTCTCCGGCCCGATACCTGCCAGTCACCCCACACTCTAACACACTGACACACACACACACACAACTCATACACACACGCACGCGGCTGTTGGCTGGATGAAACCAGTAAAAGAGTCCTACTTCGGCAGCCGTCGGCAGCTCATTAGCAACAACTGCTCGAGTCGTTCCCCGCAATTTTATTTAGGTAAAGTCGTGATGCACCGAGGGAACCAACAACAGGAATCAAATTTCAGTCCTCCAGGCGTAGCAAAGTGAAAAAGAGTCTTCGAGTCCGGTGCGGCGCGGCCGAGCCCCCACCCCCATCTAATTAGCCTCCGCTCTAGTTACCCCAGGGCCGCGCACACGTCGCGCGACCTTGCCGCCAGGAGGTCGCCGTCGTGGGGTCACCGTCGTGGGGTCGCCGTCGTGGCCGTGCGTGCCGGGCCGCCATCAAGAAGGCCGGGACGACGATAGCTGGGGCGTAGTGTGGAGCGGTGCGGGCCAAATTTCTCAGTGTGGCGGACCACTGATTAAACGCCGCGGCCGCCGGTGCCCCGGCAGGGTCAAGCCTTTGGGGAAGTGCTTCTGGAAAGCTCTTCGGAAAGCAGATGAGTCGGTATTTCGTCACAGCGCCTCTCTTTCTCTCTCTCACTCGTGGGGCGTCCCGTTGAGGTGCGAGAGAGAGAGAGAGAGAGAGAGAGAGAGAGAGAGAGAGAGAGAGAGAGAGAGAGAGAGAGAGAGAGAGAGAGAGAGAGAGACGCAGCGAAGAAGCGCGGTTCGGAACCAAGGTGCAGTGCCTTGGCGGTGCTTGTCTAATTGATGGCGCTTCGACGCAACAAACAAGCGGTATCCACCTCATTCCCCTTTCCCCCTCGCGCATGCCGGGCGTGCCGGGCCGGCCGGGCCTCTAGCTCCTGCTAGCTCCCCCCTGTATCCCCACACGCATGCAACCAGCCCGCCAGCCCGCCAGCCGCCCCTCCGCCACATGGCAGCCCACCGGGCCCACCCGCCAGCCAGCCCACCCTCACGACCCACATAGGCTCGATTGCATAGGCTGCGGCAGGCCTGCGGTTTGCAGTGATTCCAGCCCCAGCCAGGCTTCAATCACCGCCCGGATTCAATATTGAAGGTGTCGATCTGTCTCTCTCGCACCCCTACGGACCGTCGGAACGGCCCCTGAGTGCGACAGAGACAGAAGGGCTTCGGAATGGGCCTGCAGGCCTCCGGGTGCACCTCCTTAGATCAATACCCGCCGCAGAGCATCTTGTTGCGCCGGGCGAGAACCTCTTTGAGGCCAGGCCGAGGGCCAAGCGCAGGGCTGAGTGAAGGAAAAGCCGGACCGTAAACAAAATAAAAACACCGGCAAGTTGTTGGTGAATCGGGAGGGCACGCCGGCTTGAGGAAGCATCGCGCTGTCTCTGTCGCACTCAGAGAGACTCCGCTTTAGAGACCCCCTTTCCTTTCCGCCACTAAGGGACTAAGGGGGTGGTCTTCGCCCCGGCCCGCCTATGCCCTGCATTTCCGAAGCAAGGCAGTCTAGCCAAGACGGGGGGAGGAGGGGGGAGGGAGGGCTAAGGGTGCCGTTGTGCGTGAGGGCCCGCGAGGCCCCCGCTGCCCCCGTGCAACGGCCCGTGCCAGCCGGGGACGCCCGCCGTCTGGGCCGCCGTGCCACCGAGCCACCGTCGTGGGGCTCGCAGGGACATCCTGGCCGCGCGGGGGTGCGAGGGAGACAGCGGCCGCGGAGCGACTCCCCGGGATGGCCCGGCCCGACCGGGCCCGTCGCGCCGCCGTCGCCGGAGGGGCGGGGCGGATTGGAAGTAAAGTGTACATAACCGTGGCAGGCCTGCCCGCCCCGCTGCACCGCCCCCCGCCCCTCCGTCTAGCCGACGCGACAAGACCGACTGACCCACATTTTAAAACCCGAAGGACTCCCGATTACCCCACCCCACCTGGCCGGCACCGCGCCCTTTGCTTCGCGACCGCGGCCTTGGTTCCAATCCAGCGAGCGCGGAGGTGTTTTTGTTTTCGTTTCTTTCCAGCCCGATAAGGAGGCTGACTGGGTACTCGCTTAATCAGGTTCGCGGCGGTGGCTTGTTACTATTTTCCATGATCCAACCGAACCCTACTGGGGTCTGGTAAACAGGCGGCCGCGGTACCTGCTGCCCCGAACCCTTTTTAATCAGTTTCGGCGAGACAGAGGCTTTCACGTTCGACGATCCGAAATACGGAAGGTCGCTTCGTCGCTCCGTCTCCCTCACACGCCGAAGGGACGCCCCATGAGTGCGAGAGAGACAGAGCGGGCGAGGGGCTGTGGCCCTGGCTGTGGCTGCATCGGCAGGAAAAGGGCGAGAAAGAGAGAGTGTGGCGGCGCGGCGTGGCCGGCGTGGCGGGGGTGAATCACGTATCACGTGCATCACTCGGGCTTGCAGGCGTCACGCGAGTCGAGCCGCGGCGCCGGGGCCTCGTGCGGGGCGAAGGGACAATGGGACACGGGGGCGCCATGTGTGCGTGCGTGCGTGCGTGCGTGTCGACGAAGGCCCAATACGAGTCCCATAACAGGGATCGGGCAATGACTCCAAGGCTCCAGGAACCGACACTGGAAGAAATCGCGAAAACTTTCGGACGTGGCCGCTTACCCCCACAACCAGCCTCCCTTGGTTCCCCAGTCATTCCCTACTTACTGGTCAGCAGTGGCAGCGGTCCTTCGGGGCCGTCGACCTGCAGCATCCTCGACGACGTGCACCCCGTGGCCCCTGGAGGCCCTGGCCGGCGCGGCGGCGCGGCGGCGCCCTGTCTCAGGCCACGGCGGCCTGTCGCGGCTCGGACAGCATTCCGGATGGGACGTCCTGCGGTCCTCTTCACTGCTGGCGGTGCTGGCGCCGATGCAGCGCGGTGGCCTCGACGGCGACGTCGCCGGCCGGCCTCGTCGGCCCCAACGCGTCGGGCTCGGCCGCCACTGCCGCCACGGCGGCGTCCCTCAGGGGGGCCATGGGGACCGTAGGGGACCGGGATGCACGGTGCACGCAGCCCGCCGGGCGAGGACGCCGATGGAACGCCTACTGTTCGTCCCTCCGGGACAGCGGTGCGTCGAGCCCCGCAGCCCCCTGTGGGGCACTGTCACGCCCCCTTGGCACCTTGGCACGCCCCCTCGGGGCTCAGCCTGCTCGGCGCCCGGCCCGCCCAGGGCCTTGCTGGGCTGGGTGCCACGGCACTGCCACCCCTCGGCTTGCCGCGGCTAGACGACTTTCTCGGTCGTACTCCTGAGTCCTGGATGCGCCCCTGGATGCGATGCAGGCGAATCCGCGGTACGGCATTATTGTACCGGGTTCAGAGGGATGCTCTCGCCGTTGCTGAGAATGCCGGGCGATCGTGATTGTGGTTGAAACCTTCCACAAATCATTGCATTTGCCAACTTTGTTCAGCGTTGTACCATGTTCAATCATTTATTGAATTCATTTTACTGTGTGTAAAACTTTGGTGAGGATATTCTTTGGGATTGTTTCTAACAAAGATCAAAGAAGGAAAAAAAAACAATGGATGTTTAACTACATTATTTATTCAAGGACAAATGAACATTTTTAATATCAACAGTTTCATAACAAATCTTATCACAATACTTCAAGTTTACATGCATTGTTCACAACACACTCAAATTTTGAGGGTATGTCACTTAGATCACACAATTTATACGTAAACGTGTCAACAGCTTCAAACTCAACCATGGAGATAAAATGTAATTACAAAAAGATGTCAAGACAATAGAAAAGTAGGCGCATCTTTCGAGAATCAAATCAACATATTCTTCAACATAGATTTCATACTAAAAATTGAATCTCTTTAATCTTAAAATAGAAAATGTCTTTCATTAAAAAAAGATCTTCTTGACCAAGTATTAGATATATCAACAATTTTCATCTCATGGCCCAGAACATGGCAAGAGCAAGCCTTCAATCAAACACTTAAAGCACAAAGTACAATAATATACAAAATATAAACCAAACATTAATATAAAAGAAGCAAACTAAAAAAGGAAGTTAAAACAAATTTACACTCCCAAAAGAAATACTGAGAGAAAAAAATGTCTGAAAGCCTACACAGAAAAAGGACATAGAGTCAAGGTCAAAACAAAAAGTAATTATAAGTGCTTGAACCTTGCGAAATTCTGGACCTAAATCACAATGCTGCGAAGACAATTCTTTGAATCAACAAATTTTGAGCTCTATATAAAAAGAGCAAGAAGTCTTTATAATGACTTTTGAAAGAAAGGGTTGACAGAATCAATGGTGTACTTGCATGAAAATTGTGCTAAAAATTTACTAGACTCTACAGAAAAAAATTAATTAAACTTTAAAAGGTGAACACTTTTGAAGAAATATGGAAAATTGCCAGATGAGACACTGTGACTGTAAGACACATGAACTCATCCAAACAATTCCAAACATCACATTCTTTTTCTTTTAAATCTAGTACCACAAAATCCACCGCATTAAATAACAGTGATCTCCTGTAACTGCTTAATTGATTTCAAAGTGGACTGATGACTAGTACAACAGAACACAACAATTGACAGCTCAAATAAGAGCCTGCCGAAATTGACCAAAGACAACTTGCAAGTCCAACTGACATACCAAATGCAGAACATAACACACACCCGCAGAGAAAAGAAAAACAAAAGAAAATGACATTATCATTTAAAACCGACAACTTAGAGTCACTGTGCAACCAAGCCATTATCTTGGTATGATGGCTGGAAGTCCAGAAAAAAGCTGAGGGTAAAATATTGGTGCTGATGTCGCCATTGAGGGGAGGGAATTTGGTAGGGTGGGTAGAGTCGGCAGTTGACTTCGCAGTACAGGCATCCCCGTGGCCAGGGAGGCTGCACGAGAGCCAGCCACTGTGGCGTGGGCTCCCGCAGTGGGCCAGCCAGGATAGCCGGCGTAGCTTGGCAGCCCGATTAAGTGGTTGCCATACCCTGGATACTGGGGCACATGTCCGTAGCCCATGACGGAAGTCATACCCGTCATGCCAGTCATACCCGTCATTCCCGACATCCCAGGCATCATTACTGTTCCAGGCAGCATCATTTGGGCGTGCTGCGCCTGGAAGGAGTGGGCAGGGCTTGGCAACGAGTGTTGGTAGCGAAGGTGCTGCCCCAAGTAGTTTGCATACAGCTGTAAACGGATGTACGGAATATCAAGAATCAGTTAAGTGACACTCAGGAAGAAAAACGAGGGGAAAGAAGAAGAAATGAACTGTTTCAGATTTTGATGACGCTCAGCTGCTACCTGCAACCCTGAAAGCAACATCCTAACAAAAGGAGGCAAGGAGAGGAAAGTGTTTTATGTGCTGCTGTTTCTTAATTCTGAAAATTTCTAAAATAATAGAAAAGCATTTCCCTTCTATCTGTCAGACATGAAACTCTGAGCTCATAGATAGTAGGTTGGAATGTAAAAGAACATTTGTTTCTTTGGATAAAAAAATTTATTTCTACTAAATAATAAGCTTTAAGTTGATGGGCACAAGGGCAGTCTTCTCAAGTACAAAAATAAATACTTAATATTCAATACTTCACAGACAAAATGAAAAAATTTACTCGTCCTCTTCTGTCATTTGTTCTATGAGCTTCTTACGTTCTTGAGCTTGCTTCATCTTCCGCAAAACAATGCTTTCAAAGTCAAGATCCGAATTGGCTGATGCTGCACCCTGAAACAAATAATAACAAAACCTGGAACCGCCTATCCCTTCATCATGTTGTTTTTCTTATATTTCATTGTTTCATTTTCAAAATTATGGCCTTTGATTGCAGAATGTGTTTTTGATCCATTCAAGGAATCAACTTTGACTTTATTTCATTTTTTTTCTTCTAACGTAAAACTGATTAAATTTTGCCTTGACAGCATTCTATTCTGAGAATTAATTTAGACAGTAACCATTGCCAAAACTGCTATGATTTTTAATGCACAGCAGGCAGTTTTGCCTACAAGATTTAGATTAGAGAAGTTATATAAGAAAACATGAATGGAATTGCAAATGCACTGAATAAGAGGAGAGGGGAACACACTACACGGTGCTTTTGATTATCGTACCTTGAACATGCAAAGTAAGCATTGAAACAAAAAGCTTGGACCACGCTACCAAAATTTTCCTACCATACCATGATAATTTAATATACATGCAAGATGAGTTTGGGCATGCTAAAATGATATCCTTTGATATTTTGGTTTGGGGGTTGTGAATGAAAATTTATCCGTAAAAAAGGAAGACAGCTCTGGAAGGACTAACGGTAAGACGAGTAGTAATACAGGAAGGATAGTCACGACTTTGATGAATGCAAAATGGAAACTTAGACGCTAAGCTATCATTATCATTTAAGAAATATTTATGAGCAAACTGTGAAAATAGTCAATAAAAATCACTGGTACTATAACAGTGGCACAGGTAGCTTGGTTTATCAAACAAGAATTAAGTTGCATAAAGACAAGAAGCCCATTACCATTTTTGATTTAGCTGCACACACACACCATTAGCTTCTTCCTTTCTTCCTTCAACTCTTACCCCACCTAAATTCCTCAATCTTTATCTTAGTATTCTTGCCTAAAGTGGATAAACTCACAAGTAGGTTAAGACATTTTTCAAAACTACTTTTCTTTTGGGTTGTTTTTTCCAGGGGTTGATTTTACTGCTTAGCATCAACTTACCTCCATCTCTCGGTTCACAGGTCGGATAGTCAAGCACTGCTGCACACTAAAGTCAAATGTCAACACAATTTGTTTTGTGTGGAAAGCACACAGAATTTTGAGTTAAAAAGTAGCCAGTCCCAAGAAGTTTCACAAAAAGTACGAAAATCCTTAGCTACAAGAAATTCCACATGTTTGATTCACTAGACGTGCGCTGCGCGGGGAAAGGAAATTGTTTTGGCAGGCAAATAACATGAAACAGCAGAAACTAAAAAAAAATCTTCCCTAAACCTTTGTAACACCATACGTGCGTGAAGCAAAAGAAGGTTTGCCCTCTACAAATTAGCAATGGCTTCCAGGGGTTACATTCCTGCAGAACACCACATCCATGTCTAAAAAAAAAGAAGAAAAAACTTCCAAAACCATCAAAACTATTGATTAGATCAAAGTATTGATCTATCATTTGAATTTTAAATTTAAATGACATTTTGCTTCATCAAGTATATTTCTGAGGCCCCATTTGTATATGTGTTGTATTATGATGCTTTCCAACATTCCCAGAGTAAAATCTTAAATATTAGCTGTACAGTAAAGACAACGGAAAGGTACTGCACTTTGTAAAGACAAAACAGCATTTTGAAACATAAAAATTCCAAACCCAAGCTGTGTAAGATGACTTCTTGACGTTTGTATACAGAAGAAACCTACATTACATAAGCTCTTAAATCTGCTTTGAGCTCTCTACACAAAAGTTTACAATATGTTTGTTTGTTTTATTCAAAAGTTGATGTTTTTAAAAAGCAATGTACATTTGGTATTTAGAATTATCATATTTAGTCAGTCATTGGGGTTTGGCTATAATTTTGAAACAAAGCCCAGAAAAGACAACCGGAAGACAAGAAATATCCAGCTTGGAAATGAAAGAATGTTGTGGGTAGCAAGTTGAGCGTGCAATTTTAAATAGATAGGTGAATGAGTCGGTGATAAATGTTGTTTCTTTTCACATGCTGACAGAGAGAAGGGAATGGCAAATCTATTAAACCCACAACCATCACTTTACGCAGACATTACTGAGCACACATGTACACCTACAGGCACACACAACAATAAACGAAACTGCACACCGAAGTCACTACACACAGGAAACAGATCAAGCTGCAGTACAGCCTATGTTGGATCACCGCACGTAGCTCATACTGCGGTCTGCCAAACACTTCCTGTTCTTCAGCAAACTCACTCTCACTCAGTTTACTGACGCAGAATGTTAAAACCAATCCCACTAATCAAGCAAAGTACCAACAGCAGCAATAATGGCACTTAAATGATATAGGGTCATGCATAGAGGTGATTGAGGAAAATGAACAAATTAATTTATTAATGGTTTCAAGTTTATCTGGAAAAATAATTTGTATGGTCACTTGACATTACTTTCAAAAAGTTGCTGGACTAAAGAGGTAATATCTACAAAACTCAAAGCATGACCCTTGGGACAAAATTTCCATTTCAAAAAATACAAATGCAAAGCACAGCCAAGTGTAACCCAAGTTAAAAATAAAATACAGCAACCTGAAAACTGTATGTGCGAGGGTGAGAGAGGAAGCAATGAAAGTCAGCTCAGCTCAGCCCTGTGTTGAAAAAGGTAGCATATTGTCTACTTTCAGCAAATCAGTCCAAATCAAGGCCTTGCAGGCCGTGAGTGTGTGAGGATCTAGTCTCAAGTTACTTTCTCACATTGCAGATTTGAGAGATGGAGAGAAGCCCTTTAGTCTGATCCTACAAAGTCAAATGCATAAATGAAATAAACATATCGGGACATGGTAAGCAAAGGAGTTTCTTAATTTTGGAATCTGCTGTTATCTAAGCTACACCACTCCCAGTTTATAACTACATTTTACCAAACACTATAGGGACTAAAAAAAATTTGAATGGAAAGGAAAAGGTAGATGGGCAGTGCTTCAGAATTATCACAACCTTACACCACATGAGGTTAGGAGTAAGGTCAAGTGACAATGAAATTTAAGAACAAAAATCTGGAACTGGCAAAATTTGAAAAGAATTGTGTAAGATTATATTTGAAAGGAGAAAAACAAATATTCTGGATTGAGAACATACTAAATTAAGGCCGCATCTTAAAGTAAACCTTAGAGAAGTAGAGAAGAATCTTACCAGCTGTGAGAAGTCAGGAGCAGAGGCGAAGTTTGGCATGGTGCCTGATAAATGAGTGGCGGGTTGTACTATGTTTGGAAACAAGGTAGCAGCAGGAACTCCACTCCTAATGTCATCTGATTTAGTTGAATCCGTAGGTTTTGAAAAATTGGCAGGGTCTGCCTCTTGCGAACTTGATTTTGATGCTTCACCTAATCTTTCCATAGTTAATGGATTTGTGAGGAAACCCTTCTCCAGCGAGAATGCAGTATCCTAAAAAAGATTTTGAAGGAAATAAAATAATTTCTTTTAAAGATTACCGAGATATTTGTATAGCAACAGAAAGGTACTTACTGCAGCATCTTTGGTCTTAAACTCAACTAAAGCGCTACCATTTTTCTTGGGTGATACCACTAAAGCCACAATATCACCATACTGCAAAATAGGATTGTAGAACATTAATGTTGCATTGAAAACAATTGCAGCATCTACATGATAAACTACAATTGAGAAATACAAAATTAATTTACCTTGGACATGATTTTCAGGAGAGTGTCGTATGGGTAACCACCATTATTAGGATCTTCCTTGTTTGCTCTCCATCTTATTCGCAAACGATTTAAACCGTTATTTTGAGGCTCTTCTGTTGCTGCAGCTTTGATATCTTGTAATAATTGTTGACGGACCAACTCAACTTCTTCCTCGACTTGGCGAGAGCCTTCTTTCCGCAGTCTTTCAATTTCTGCCTAGAAATTGTTCAAATGGGTTAATTTAAGAAAGATTTAAGGAAACAGGAAAAAGAATCTAAGGTTGGGGCGTAACTTACTTGCAACTTTTCTTCATCAGTTCTAGTGTCCAATTTTTTGCCAGGAACAACAGTTTCAGATGCCACTTTTTCTCTTGCTTCAAGATCTTCTTTAAGTTTCTTCCTCTTTTCATCTAGTTCTCTATGTCGCAACTTTGCAGCTTTTTTACCATTAAGAACTTTATCATAGGCAGCCTGTAATGTTTTAGAATGAGAGAATAAACCTCTTGTAAATTGCAGACAGCAAATAGAAAGTGTAACTAGAAAGGCAAAACTCACCCTGGCAGACTCATCTATAAGAATTTCTAGAGCTTTTGACAACTGATGAAATAGCTCTGCAGCACGAGGGTTGTCGGGGTTCTTGTCTGGATGGCATGTGAGGGCCTTCTTCCTGTACCCCCTCTTGACCTGTAAAGGATAAAAATTAAGTCATTGAAAGAAAATACCAAAACCTGAGATATTTTCAAATAGAGTTTGTTAGATAATGGTGAGGATTTTCAACACAGCGAGACAACAAGGCAGACAAAGTACACAAAACTGTGGGGGGTAAAAAAATCACTCATAGAGTGTTTGAATGGATGAATGAATGAAAATTAAATGCCTGTTATGCTTGGCCCTCAAACCTACAGAAACTGTGCACTTTTTCTAGGTTAAATGGCCCTTTTAAAAACTTACAAAACATTCCCCTCTGACCAGAACATAAGAAACAAAGGAAATCTAGAATCAGCCATAGTAAATTGTCGCAGACAAATAAAGATTCCATAAAATAATGAAGTTATTGGAAAATGATCTGATCTTCAATGACCACTGCAACTATTCGTTCACGCAACGTATTTCAAGAACTGCAAATGGGAAATTATATACAGAGGTCTCAATGACAGTTTTTAAAATCAAATAATTACCTCGGCTATCGTTGCAGTTGAGGAAATTCCCAACAATTCGTACAAATCAACATCTTGCATGTTGAGCTCCGCCATGATTGTTTTCATCAAACTTCTTTCTGCAGTGCAGCAGAAGATTCACCCTTTCCACCCTACTTCCCCACATTGATATGAGAAATAGGACAATGCTCACCAATCTTGTCATCAGAGATAAATGAAAGCAAGTCAGTAAATTTAGAAAGTGACTGAAAGAAAGAAATATTTTGATGTTGATTAATTTCAATATTCACAAATTATTGGTTTCAGAATTCGTAGAATCTGTTGTGGAAAAAGTTGTTTTTTGACCACCTTACTATATTTTTCATAGCTTGCGTGTATGTAAAAATTGCTTGTGTGTGTGCGTGCGTGTGCGTATGTGTGTGTAAGAGCAGGATGCAGTATTTAGTGGATCAATTTAGATAGCATTTTAGGAGCCAGTAATCTAAACCTGTGACTTATGTCCTCTACAGGACTTTATCCATGACTCTTCTCCGTGTCATCTTGTTGTCTCCCACCTGAAATGAAGGATACTTGTCTTGGGTAGCAGAAACAACTATTCTGTAACCTTAAAGTTGTGCAGTTTACTGTTTAGTTTTCTAGTCAATCCTCAAGATATGGGAGAGTATTCCGACCCTAGTACTTACCGCACTGAAAGAATGGAAACAAACTTCGACGAAGCCCAGGAGGTGCCAACTTGCAGTGGTTACCGTGATTATTCTACTATTTCTGGATTCACATATGACCAGCCCAAGAGACAACGTATTAATGATAGTATTCAACGTAGGCAACTGAAAGAAGTGAAACTGTCAAGTAAGCTTGCGTCATTGTCTTTTAAAATAACTCTCTTAACCGATGAATCTTTACCCAGAGCCTTACTAACTTTTGAACAGTTAAAACTAAAGTATTAATTTCTGTTGCAGTTCCAGCTGCAGGTACTAAAGTTTCTAATCGCACTGTTAGACGGGCTGGTCCATATTTACTTGGCCCAACATTGGGTAACTCTCCAGTTGATAGCATTGTCCAATGTCTGGCAAGGAAGGAAGGCACTGACAATTTCTACACTATTAAAGTTAGTATCAGAAAACAAAATAAATTTTCAAAATTGAAATAAGAGTATATACCTTGTGATTTATTCAATATGTATCTCTTGTTGCAGATTCTTACCCTTCTTGATGGCGAAAAGAACGAAGAAAGAGAGCAAGATGAACGCCAGGGGAAGATGCTTTTACACACCGAGTATTCTTTACTGTCTCTATTGAAAAATGAAGAAGGTGTGGTTCAGCATCATGACTTTTTCAAGGTGTGGCCTTCATAATTTTTTACTCATTCTTTATCTGTACCCTAAATTATTGTGTTTTACCATATTGGAATGAATTTCTTTCACTTCATAGGATGTAGCCTTGGAAGAACATGTGGACAGATCCAAAGGACTTGTTTACACTGGCCGTGTGCACCAAAGGCTTTGCCTTGTCCTTGATTGTCTTGCAGCTCATGACTTTTGTGAAAGATCTCAAGAACTAGTAAATTTACAACATTATGTCATTATTGAAAAGAAACTTTGTGAATTACATGCACTTATTATATTTTACAATGTAGTTAATGTTGTTGAGAGGCTTCATGCTGTAAGTAATATGTTTGGCAATTTTTTTTTTTTAATTTTCTACCCACAATATTTTTGAATAGTACTGTATTGATAATTATTTTTAAATTGCAGATGAATGTTGTCCACCGAGATCTAAAGCTTGGCAACTTGGTCCTTGATCGAAGAAATCACAAAGTCACCATCACTAACTTTTGTCTCGGGAAACATCTAGCAAGTGAAAAAGAGCGTCTGCAAGACCAAAGGGGTTCTCCTGCCTACATCTCACCTGATGTCCTATGTGGAAAGCCATACCTGGGTAATTTTATTTTTAACTCCATCTTAAAAATATATTGTTTTTAGAAGTAACTTATACAGTAGTATCTGAACTTTGTAAACCTCACGGACTTAATTCATATGTACCAGGTAAACCTTCAGATATGTGGGCACTTGGTGTAGTGTTATTCACTATGCTGTTTGGACAGTTCCCTTTCTATGATTCAAGCCCCCCTCAGTTATTTAACAAGATTCGGGCTGCTGACTACACTATTCCAAGGCAAGTTGTGAATTTGCTTATTCATATTGTATCCATTTGCAGCACCGTTTTAAATTTCAAAAAATAACTTTTAAAAATTTATACTTGCAGTGATGGGAGGGTATCAGAGGGAACAAAGGAACTGATTCAACGTCTTATTGTGCTTGAGCCAGAGATGAGGCTAACTGCATCTCAGGTTTTGGATGTACTATCAACCATAATTTCCGCAAGCAGGCCACTGTATCGTGGAGAAGACCTTCAAGTAATTTGACATTTAGATTCTTGTGTAATTTTTCAATCTCTATATCCATCTAGTTTATTTATTCAACAAATTCTTCCACACTTAAGGTGGTCCCAGACTGTGACGGTGATGAACAGGATGAAGAAAAGGCAATCTGCAAAGAGACTCAAAATACAACACAGATGTCATCTGATACAGTTGCTGGTGTTTGCAAAAACACTATTCGACAGCTGCACAATTTGCAGGTAAGGGGCGTCAAAAAATCTCGGTAACATCGCACATTAACACACAAGGTGTTAATTGTTGTTCTTTCTATTTTAGAACCAAATGGATGAGATCCAAAGACGAGCAGAAGAAGCCCTTGCCATGTTGGAGCCAAACCAAAATAGACTAAGATCACTTCCATCACAACAACTTTCATCAAACTCTAGCAATCGTCTTCGATCAGCATCAGAGTTATTCTCATCCACACCTACAGGTAGTTCTAGCGCTGCTCAAGGTCGCGGTACTCCACCAAGCTCTACTCCAGTTCTAAATAGAGTATCATGGCGGAATCTTCAAACTCGAGTTGGCGGCCGCATCCCTGTGCACCGATTGGCAAGTGACGCCAGAGAACTCACTGTGGAAGAAATGGCCAGATTCCACAACCTCATTCCTACAAACCGAGCATCAGTGAGGCATGTCCCATCATCCAACACTACATCAGTAAGTCGTTTTGAAAGAAATACAGTTTATAGTTACATTCTGTCAAAGCCAATATTTATTGATCTTTAATTTATTTTTGTACAGACTGCCGCAAGTACTCCTCCGACCCCACAGAGCAGTCGTGAACCATTACATAATAACGCCATGGCATTGGATGCAGTTGTTCAAAGCCTTGGTCCGCTCGTTCCTGCTTCAAGTATAGTTCAAAGGCTTAACGCGCTTGATAGCTCTAGATCCAGCCTGACCCATCAAGCTGTACCGCAAGGGGTAACACCTCATGAGCTACAGAGCTTCATGAGAAATGCCAGGTCAACTCCATTGAACACTACAGGAAGACAAACACAACATGGTCAAGCTCCTAGCCTTGGAAGACAGTCACTTCAAGACCATCTACAGCTGTTCTCAAGCAGTAATGCAGCACCTTCATCTTCTGGCTCTCCACAACAGCACAATATACCAACACGTTCCAACAATGATCGATCGCATCGACAGCGTTTGCAGCGTGCTGTTCCAAATGACAATCCAAACCATGTCAGGCAGCGAGTTGTGCCAAATGATGGCCAGACCTTGAATCAACCAAGAGCCACAAGACCTTACCAACTATCTCCTAGAGTGCAGAGAAACATTGCACGTAATTTATCAATGATCATACGAACCAGGATTGGTCAGCACAGGTCTGGCATGGATAATGCTAATGCTTCAAACAGCAGTGCTAACAATGCTGATAGTAATGGAAACCAGTCATTTTAAAATTCCTTTGTATCTATGATTTTCCCTCCTTTCCTCACGTTTAATCCAACCTTTATTGTTTCTACAGTAACATTGCATGTCTTTTGCCTGTGTTCAGATAGTGTGAAATTAAATTTATTTGATCCCCCTATACTTCCCTTCAAATCTAATTAATTTATGGTTCCATTTTTTTTTATCAATTTTGATTGTTTAACAAAATTTAAAGCATGCATAATTCTTGAAGCTTTTGTCAACAACATATATCAATCAAATTGGTGGCTATTGACAACTAGCATATGTGCAGTACATTACTTCAGTTTTAATGTACTGCCACTATTTGTGTTCAATTGTATGAAGTATGGGTTCCGATGTTTGAAGACTTTCAGTCTGTACTGATGTGATAACACTTGTGTGTCATATTTGCTTGTTAATAACAAAAACTTAAAATTGAACATTTAAGTTTTATGTGATATAGCTTCTCTTGGGCATTTTCTAGAAACTCTTGAGGCTGACTTCTAGCGATTGTAACTGTGTAATTTGTACATAAATTTACTACAGGGTATTAGTATTCCCCTCTATCTCCCAATCCCCAATCATCTACTTTAATTCACTAGAAAAATTTAAAATTTAATTAGTGGCAAAGTTTTTATTTGACTATGTATGTTAAGTGGAGATGCTTCATTTCTACTTATATTTTACAGATACTTAATTAAAATTAAATTTCCAACAATTTTTTGTTTTGTTTTTGTTCTTGTAGGTTTACGGGTTTAGTAGGATGCGTACCCCTACCTTCTGTTTGCTGTCATTTTGTGTTCACCGTGCATACTACTTTGATTGTGTTTTGTGCAAGAGACAATATGTATTTTGTCCCCATCCTTCACTACAGGTAAATCTACTGTTTGTACATTTTTTTCCTGTTGTTCTATGGCCATACTTTGGTGGACTGTTTAGGTTTTTCCTGACTGCTATTTTTTTTTGTTATGTAAAGTCAATGTGTTTGTAAATGTCTGTGTCAATTTCTTATTCTGTTGATTAGTTTCTTTGTAGATCCATTAAATGTTTTATTCAAGAACTTCTTCGTGATGCTTGTTTGATTTCTTTCCTTTGCTCATAGTTTGACAGTGGGTACATAAGGTATGGCAATAATGAAGCGATGAACAGTAATGAGCCAGATATTAAATAAACGTAATGATATGATTGTGTGATATCGTGAATCCAACCTGTGAAAATAGATCTTAGTTGTTTCACTTGCGTATTGAGTCACCAAGTATAAAAACCCCGACTACTTACCACTCAACGGAGGCCCTATCATAACAGCAAATCCTTGGAACATGAGAAGCAGCCCAAAGGAGTTTGTCAATCGTTCAATTCCAAGGAAGTCAACCAATATTAAGCTCTTCATTGCCATAAATGGTGCTGCAAAAATATCTTCAGTGCTCAGTTTCATAGTAGGTGATTGCATGAAAAAGACGCTTGACTTACCTATGAAAAATCCATAGGCTGATGCCATGAACATTTGATAAATTGGACTGGCACATAAGCAAGTAATTGCCACCATAATGCCAGCAATACTCATTGTAATGCAGGACAACACTAGAGCGGAGACTCCAGGCACTTCACACATAACTCCAGACAGTGCTCGCCCCACCGCATTCGCCACGCCAAGGGTGGGCAGTATCCACTCAGCCACACTCGGATCTACTCCCGATTTGACAGCTTGATCTGGAATAAGTAGGCACTGTCATCATCGATACCCCACGCAAGAGCTCTTTCCGGCGTGGGGTATCGACGGGCGACGACGCCAGAGGTGCACAACTGAGACAACTGAATGCTGATGGAGTACGCACCTTGAGAAAACAGATACGGCGTGAAGTAGCCCATCATGACGAACACCTGCGTGAAGGCGAACACGATGAAGACGCTGTTGGTGAGGATGGAGTGGTGCAGCAGCGCCGCCAGTGTGCTGGTCACGGCGTGCGGACACAGCCTGCACCACGACACTTGCGCGCAGCAGCGCGCGTAGAAGGCGAGGCACGCGCGGCACGAGTCGACGGCGTCCCCGCGCTCCTCCGCGCCGACGACGGCACCCTCCACGGCGTCGGCCACGTCGGCCACGGGCAGCGTGCCCATCCTCGTCGACATCTGCGAGGTGAGGCGCGACGCGCTGGCGCCGTAGAAGATGTCGTCGCGGTACATGGGCCGCGACCCTGACTGCATGTCCCGCGCGTCCGGCCTGCGGGCACCACGTCGGGGAGCACGTCAAGAAGGCCGTGTCGGACTCGCACTGGTTGCAAACCCGAACCGCGGTTCGGAGGGAAGCCCACCCGCTCCTGGGGAACGCCCTGCTCGTCATGGAGATGGCGTCGAACTGCGGCGCGGCGACGGACGGCGAGAACGACGTCTGCGAGGCGTGCAGCTGGCGCAGGGCGAGGCTGCCGCCCTGGCCGCCGCCCCCCGGGGCCTTGGCCGCCTTGGCCTTCCCCTTGGTCTGCGGCGCCTCCTGGAAGCGCACCGTGCGCTCCCCGCGCACCGCGGACATGGCGACGGGCTGCAGGGGCTTCAGCAGCAGCGACAGCAGCACCACCACGCCGAACACGGACGCGTTGAAGGCCAGGATCCAGCGCCACGTGTAGCCCTCGTAGCTGCTCATGGCCTTGTAGCACAGCGGCATGACCAGGATGCCGACGCCGCTGCCGCACGACGTCAGCGACGTGGCCACCCCGCGCCACCGCTCGAAGTAGAAGCCCACCGAGATCATGGTGGCCACGTAGACGCCGCCACTGGCCGCGCCTGCGTCCGCAGGGAAGGGGTTACAGCGTGCAGCCGTACAGTGGGCCAGAAGACCGGTGGAGGCCGGACGAAACTCTACACGCGTTTTGAGCTCCAGAGTCGCTAAATGGACTCGAACCGAGCGTGTGACTCCACCAATGGATTGCTCTCCAAACGAGGAATCGATTGGTGGGGTCACACGTTCGATTCGAGTCCTGTTTCGCGACTCTGGAGCTCAAAACGCGTCTAGAGTTCTGGCCGCCTCTGGGCTGCACTCACCCAGGACGATGCCGTAGACGAGGATGAAGACGGCGTACTGCGTGATGAAGAAGCACGCCAGCAGGGCGCCGCCCGACGCGAGCGCGCCCACCACACTCACAGTGCGGAAGCCCCAGCGGTTGCCCACCGCACTCCACACAGGGGCTGCCGAGCAAAGAGCGGCAAAGTTGAACCATTTGCCAGGGTGCCCGAGTTCAAGTGCGGTGGGCGTTCCTGCCACCGGTAAAACACGTAAAGACTAAAGACGCGCCACTAACGCCCTTGCCGCCCTTGCCTGCGCACCCGCGACGTAGTAGAACCCCGAGCACAGGGACGCCAGCAAGGCCACCGCGGCGGAGTCCTTGTCGAAGTCATCCTGCATGTTCTTCTGGTAGAAGCCTGCGCCGGGCAACGGGGACATGAAGCAGGCCGGTAAGACCCAAGCCGCGCCGAGTGCTTTGCCCTTTGCCCTGCCTTGCTGACCGCTCGGTACCGAACGTGTAGATGGCCCCGTCCGTGAAGAGGTTCATGAGGAAGCAGGTGACCACGACCACCCAGCCGTATCCGCCGTCGGGGGGCAGCATCACCAGGGGCTCTAGCGACAGCGTCGAGTCCGACGACATGGACAGCGACAGCGCCGCCGGCCGCGGCGGCGGTGGCGGCGGCGACGGCCGGGTCTTCTTGGGCGGCATCCTGGCTGGACCGTGCTTTCGGCCGACAGCAAACACAGTCGCGGTCAAGAGGCCGGCGACAATGCTCTGACTCTGGCCCCACGACAATGGGTGGGTTCGAGCCGCGTTCTAGCCCAGTGGTTCTCAACCTTAGGGTCGCGACCCCAAGCGGGGTCGCGAAATTTTTTTAAGGGGTCGCGGCGATGCTGGGGTCGTGTTTTAGGCCGATTTTAAGCAGCCACTGCGTCTGATCCGAGGCGGGCATTTTGCTCCCTCAACGGGCAATCGGTCTTTGGACCTTCCTTTAGCATGCCTTTGTTACGGAGTGCAATTATCAGTCTTAGTTTGGGAGCAGTATTGTCTCAAAGTTGGCCGAAACGGTCAGCAGTGTCTTTGAAAAATCGTGTTTTGGGCCGATTTTAAGCAGCCACTGCGTCTGATCCGAGGCGGGCATTTTGCTCCCTCAACGGGCAATCGGTCTTTGGACCTTCCTTTAGCATGCCTTTGTTACGGAGTGCAATTATCAGTCTTAGTTTGGGAGCAGTATTGTCTCAAAGTTGGCCGAAACGCTCAGAAATGTCTATGAAAAATCGTGTTTTGGGCCGATTTTAAGCAGCCACTGCGTCTGATCCGAGGCGGTGGGGCATTTTGGATGCTGTTCTAATCAACTCAACGGTTGCAATTGGTTTTGGCACCTTCTTAGCAATTGCTCTAATTGTTACGGAGTGGATTGTCAGTCTAGTTGGTTGGGAGCAGTATTGTCTCAAAGTCGATCAAAACGGTCGCAAGTGTCTTTGAAAAATCGTTGTGACTATTTGGTCAACTTTGAGACAATACTGCTCCCAAACTAAGACTGATAATCGCACTCCGTAACAAAGGCATGCTAAAGGAAGGTCCAAAGACCAATTGCCCGTTGAGGGAGCAAAATGCCCGCCTCGGATCAGACGCAGTGGCTGCTTAAAATCGGCCCAAAACACGATTTTTCATAGACATTTCTGAGCGTTTCGGCCAACTTTGAGACAATACTGCTCTCAAACTAAGACTGATAATTGCACTCCGTAACAAAGGCATGCTAAAGGAAGGTCCAAAGACCAACTGCCCGTTGAGGGAGCAAAATGCCCGCCTCGGATCAGACGCAGTGGCTGCTTAAAATCGGCCCAAAACACGATTTTTCAAAGACACTGCTGACCGTTTCGGCCAACTTTGAGACAATACTGCTCCCAAACTAAGACTGATAATCGCACTCCGTAACAGAGGCATGCTAAAGGAAGGTCCAAAGACCAACTGCCCGTTGAGGGAGCAAAATGCCCGCCTCGGATCAGACGCTGTGGCTGCTTAAAATCAGCCCAAAACACGATTTTTCATAGACATTTCTGAGCGTTTTGGCCAACTTTGAGACAATACTGCTCCCAAACTAAGACTGATAATTGCACTCCGTAACAAAGGCATGCTAAAGGAAGGTCCAAAGACCAGTTGCCCGTTGAGGGAGCAAAATGCCCGCCTCGGATCAGACGCCGTGGCATGTTAAAGGAGGGGTCCCGTGGGGTCGCGAAATTTTTCCTGGGGGTCGCGGAAATTTTTGGCTTCAAATTTGGGGTCGCGAGCCGAGAAAGGTTGAGAACCGCTGTTCTAGCCGTTCTAGCTATCGAGAACAACATGATGTTATTTCCGGTTATTTCTTCTTTTCTGAGTACTTTTCCAAAGAGACATTTCATCGCTCTGTCTCTCTCGCGCACACACGGGATGCTCAATGAGTGCAACAGAGACAGACGGAATCAAAGAGCTGGAGAAAAGGGATGGCTTTTCCATCGCCCTCAGTCGACAGCCCGGCCGGCTGTCACAGCCGCGGAGGTAGGCCGCCCATCCTGCTCCGCCGCCCCGCCCTCTGCGCTCCCTCCCCTCCCCCTCTCTCCCGTTTATCTCTCTCTTTGTCTCCCTCGCCTCGATCCCTCCTCCCGATTCCCTCATTCTCTCGGGCCGTCTGCCTTCCCTCCTCGTCCTTGTCCCTCCTTGTCCACACGCATTACCGCTGCACTCGGCTCGGCTCCGCTAGGCTCGGCATCCCCTGACCTTCCCCACGTGCGGCGGCCTTTGCCTCTGCCTCCCCTCTTTCTCTCTCTCTCTTCCTCCCTCTCCCCATCCCCCGTGAGTTATGACGCTGTCCTTATCAAAGTATCCTTGTGCCGCTAACCGCCGGACGCACTCCTGACTCCCGTTTTCGGGAAAGAAACACCTCATTTGGCTTTCAAGCCGGCAATTCTACAGTGGGGTGGCCGACTGTTTCCGAAGAACCGTGTGTTTCCGGATGGTTTCCGGCGCACGGGTCCGATGTGAACACTGGGCATGTTCCAGGGAGCATTGGTCACGTTGGCCACATGGCTCGCAGTGTACTCCCATTCACCACATTCCCCGGAATCCTCCGGTGTAGCGGTGCTGTCGTCCTCATATTTTCGACAACAGGCGAACCTGCACGCTGTTTTGAAAATGAAATATTCCCCTTTCAAACTTGCAAACCAAAGAAATCACAGTTTTTCTGCTGTGAGCCATAATGAGCCAACATTTTACCCTCCCAATTTTTTTTCCCAAGTTGATTGTGCTTCCTGGGCGATTGTTTACCCTAAAGGTGTCCGCTGGAAGGGGCAGGGCAGGCAGGGCGCTAACCCCACCATTTGGGGTCCGGGAGGGAACCGGCAGGGGGAGGGGTGGTGGACCCGGGGAGGGGGGAGGGGGCAAGGGCCAGGGGAGCAGGCTGCAACCATCAATGCATTCATAGGCAAAGGGCCGAAAAAAAGGGGGAGGGGGGCATTCTCTCTGTCCGCTCGTCCGCAGCAGGCAGACAGCCAGGCCCTGGCATCCCTGCGAGTGCGAGAGAGACAGCAAGTCCCTATTTCGGCCCGCTCCTCCTTCCTTCGTCCTCGACCTTCCTTCTCTCTCCCAATCCTAGTTCTCCTCCTCCTTCGCCTTGTTCTTGTTCGCCAGTCGGCTTCCAGTTGCAGTGCGCACCGCACGTCCCTGCGAGTCCTGCGAGTGTAGCGACCACGTGTCGAAAGCGCGCCAAACAGCCCGACGCGGCGCGTGCGCGAGAACGTGAACGGACGCGTGACGAGACGTGCGTAGACGTGCGTAGACGTGCGTAGACGTGCGTACGCACGCGTGCTTCATTGAGCGACACCGGAAGTGACGTCATCCTCCGCGCTGGGTACGGTGAGTAGCAGACGAAGTGGACGAAGCAAGGGCGGCCGGCGAACCGCGAGAATGTGCAAGTCTGTGCAAGCAAGTGGGGTGTCTCTGGAAACAACAAGGCGGCTATCTGCTGTGCAAAGCGCGCGCTGCGTGTGTGTGTGTGTGTGCGCGCGCGCGTGCGAGCGTGTGCGTGTGTGTGTCATTACCGATAGCCAAGTGCCGCGATGAGTGTCACACGCCCCGCCCTGGCCCAGCCCGACACGGTCCCACGACCGTGTCCACTTGGAGCTCTATGAGCTTTACGCGCGGGAAGCTGGGACTTGGCCGAAATCGCAGCGGCGGCCCAGCGCTTCCCACAAGTGGCTCCGTCGCGCGGAGGCTTTCCGTCGTCGCGTCGCGGAAACGTCGGGAAACTGTCTGCACGGACCGCGTGGAGAGTGAAAGGGGACGCGGCGGCTATGGAGGGCCGAGGGGCGACAGGGAGGGCTCGTGGCGCTTGCGCTTGCACCTTGCTGATGCACCCTCCTGCTCGCACACCGGTCCGGTGTACCGGGTGCCGGGGTTTGCTTGCACCCTTGCAGTGTGGCGGCAGCTGCTGCTGCGGAAAGGATGGCGAGGGGGAGGGGGAGGGGGCGCGAAGCATCCTGCAGGCGCTGATCACAACATCTTAGCGCCCCCGCTGACACCCCCCGCCCCGCCGTCCCTGATCCTGATCATACCTGGCGGGCGCAGCGGCGCAGCGGAAAGGCACAGCAGCGCAGCCGGCCCCCAGGGCTATTGGGCTATTATTGTTATTACAAAAGAAAGTCGGGGCGAGCCGGGCTTCGCCGGGCCGGCCTCGGCCGTCGACGAACTAGACAATGCATGCAAAGCGATGGCGGCGCATGCAGCCGTGCGGCGATGCAAGACGAAACGGAGTGGCCGGGATGAGCTGCGCGGCGCCCGACGCACTACAACAAGTGCTTCATTGAGAAGGGCAGGTTCAGGGGGGGGGGGAGCACCGCGTCGGCCACTTGGCCTTCGCCACCGCCAAAGGGCCAAAGGGCCAAAGGGCCAAAGGGCCAAAGGGACACAGCACGGCGCGGCCCAGGCGCGGCCCACCCCCACCCACTTCCCACCTGTTGTTGTCATGCGCCCTCCTTTGTCTCCTATTCCCTGTTTCCCTCGAATTTCCCTCGCCCTCCTCGTTTTATTGGCCCGTCCGATTCCTAGAGCCGCCGTTGCCGCCGCGGGGAATTCGTTTTATTTATTTTTCGGTCGCTTGCAGTGTACCTTGTAACTACTGCAGTGATATTTCTAATTTTTTGTCCCGCTACGCAACACGTACCGGCATCCTCTCCCGTGTGGGAATTTCCCGTCCCGCGGCGAGGGGCGCTGTAGGGGCGCTGCAGGGGCACTGTAAGGGGCACTGTAGGGAGCCGGGAGGGCGGATGAATCGAGGCGTATGGATGAGGGAGAGGGTGGCGAGGACGCCGACGACGCCGCGCCGCGGAACGCGAGAATGATTGCTCCGGAGAAAAGTTTCGACGCTCTGTCCCTCTCTCGCACTCATGCGGGGTCCCGTAGGTGCGAGAGAGACAGAGCGACGAGAACGACTCTCGGAATCTGGCGGCTGGAGACATACATTTTTCAGTACCTCCGCGTACCACGACGACCACCCCGACGGCGATGGAGGTCAACACGTGCGAGGCACGGCGCACGGTGGGCCAGAAGACCGGCGAGGGCGGCCAAAACCCAGACGCGTTTTGAGCTCCAGAGTCGCTAAATGGGACTCGAGCTGAGCGAGTGACCCCACCAATGGATTGCTCTCCGAACGAGGAATTGGTGGGGTCACACGTTCGGTTGGAGTCCAGTTTAGCGACTCTGGAGCTCAAAACGCGTCTGGAGTTTTGACCGCCTCCGCCGGTCTTCTGGCCCACTGTGCTGCGAGGCCGCTCCGAGAATTGGATCGGCGGATCGGCTTCTTCCCCGAGATGCAGGCTGGCTTTCAGAAAAAAGGGGGGGCAAGGGATGCTGGGGACGCGGAGGGGGAGGGAGGGACCGCCGGAAACGCGGAGGCCGACGGCACCGAAGGCGCAGGGGGAGTACACAGCAAAAACGGGCGAAAAGGCGCCAACACTGTGCGTGCCGTGCGTGCGCGCGGCCACTGAGTCGTCGCTTAGAAGAGTGGCAGTGTGACCTGGTTGTCGTCCTGCGAGCTGATTCCGTTTTGCCACTCTGTCTCTGTCGCACTCGCGGGGCGTTCTGCAGAGGGTGCGAGAGAGACTGGCCGTGCGTGCGCAGTGCGTTCATGTACTTACGCGGGGCGGGCACGCGGTCGCACGCACGCGTGTCGCGTGTCGCCCTTCCCACGCGGCGTGCCGATGGACGCGGCGTGACATCGTGACCAACAGCGTAGAGGAGCCCCGCCAGCCCCGCCAGACCGGCTCTGCTTCTAATTCGTATTTTTTCGACCGCCGCCGCTCTTGAAAAAAGGGCCTGCGAGCCGCGTGGTTCGTCTCCACGGTCTCCACCACGTGTCCGGCCGAATCAACCAACACGCCCCCGCGGCCCATGGGCCCATGGGATGGGTGTCTCGTCGCGCGGCTGCCACGCGGCTGCCAAGACCGCCTTGGACGCCTGCTTCGCCTGCTCGGCGGGGGGCTTCTCGTCCTCGGCGACGTTCCCAAGGCTCCGCGAAGGCTTGGGATCGGCCGGGCGTGGCTCGCGGCTCGCGGCGTGTCACGTGGTGCGCGGTGCGCTGTGGACACGGCCCAGAAGGTCACGCGTGCCGCGTGCGCGGACTATCTCACCACTCACTAGATTCGGCGTTCGGGTGGGCAGCTGAGTCAACAGACTTGAACCGCGACGCGCGACGCGACGCAATGCCTTCAGTTTTGACGTTTCGGACCTTTACTGCGCGTCATTTGTCATTGCGCCGCCATTTCGTCGGCAAACACTGCAACTACACTGCGAGTCTGGCAGTGCGCGCTTTGCCCCCGCCGCCTCGGTGCTACCTTGGGTGTTGGACCGCCGATAGCAGTGTCCCGACGCCCTTATCACATCAAAGCACGCCCTGGAACGCTTCCGTCCGGTGTTCGCTGTGCTCGTGTCAGAAGACTGATTCCGAGAGTCGTTTTCGTCGCTGCGCCTCTCTCGCACTCATAGGCCATCCCGGGTAGGTGCGAGAGAGACAGAGCGACGAAAACGACTCTCGGAACCAGTCTGCAGTGTGGGAAGGGGATAAAAACACGCCAATTCTGGACGCCGTGATTGCGTCCGGTTCGTGTCGCGGCCCGCGGCCCGAGTCCGAAGAGTCGCTTCGTCGCTCGCTCTCTCTCTCTCCGTCGCACTCGTGCAGCGCCGTAGGGGTGCGAGAGAGACAGACGAAGGGCCTGGCGTGTCTGCCGCAACAAGTCGCGGGGGTGGGCTTCCCTCCTCGAGGCACGCCAAGGGTAAAGGGTACACCCCGCACGCTTGTCTGCGTGTGTGTGTGTGTGTGTGAGTGTGTGAGTGTGTGTGTGCGTGTGCGTGTGTGCGCGTGTGTGTGTGTGAGTGTGGGCGTGTGTGAGTGAGATAGCGCCTCGCTCGAAAGCCAAGTCAGGAAGGCAGGTCAGTGTGGCCGGACGCCCGGGAGGTAGGCAACTTATCGTGCGCGGGGTCGTCGGTCGAGCTGGGCAACTGTGACGGCCCAACGAGAGTGCATCCTCCGCGCCATGTCTCCGCGCCCTCCTTGGCCTCCTTCGGCGGGGTGGGGCCAGGCGGGGCGAGTAGGGCGAGGCACGAGGCACCCACTCTTTCGGCCCGCGCGTGGCACGCTGCTGCGCCGCCCTGACCACCGCGGTGACCGGTCACAACAACGGATCACAACACAACGCGTCGCGCGGTGCGTCGGCCTTGGCGGGGAGTGGTGTGGCGTGGCGGGGCGTGGCCGTCGAATCATAGTCGCAAAGCTTGCCTGCCGACGCGGTGACCAACGCAACTGGGACGGCACTGGATTATAATGAGGATGAGCAAGGACACCGCGTAGTGAGTGCGCCGCCAGGGTTCCCCGGGACAAGGAAAGAAGACCACCGCGTCGGGACTGGTCGGGAAGTGCCAGGTGCCACGCCGGTGCCACGCCCGCCTCCAAACCTCACAGTTATTTCCTTGTTCGACGCGTACGCAGAGATGTGACGTCAGACCACTGCAAGCCGTGACGGCCGTGACGTCGAGGAGAAAACCCGCGGCGCGGATCGAGGTGCTCATTTTGGGGCAACCGTTCAAGCAGTGTTGCCACATAAGCACTTAGGGCGAGCACCATTAGGGTTGCCAACCTCAGCCGCCTTCAACTCCTCGAAAGCAAAGCGCTGATGTTGCCCAGCGGGCAGAGGCTCGTCACCTCGTCAGGGAGAGGCTGCCGATATCGCAAACAATGGGTCGATTATCTCGAGAAAATTAATCGGAGGGGAATGGGCCGTTCTGCCACGTGCGGGGTTGGTTCGGCCCGCGGACGTGGAACAAGCGGAGAACCGAGCAAGCAAGCCCGGGCAAGCCCCGCCGGGCTGTCCTGCGCGCTGCGCGTCACCGAGGTGGAGCACTGTAACACGCAGAGAGGCGGAAGTACGTCTTCCTTGGCACGAAGGGCGTCCCGGATGACTCATCGGTGACGTAGTTCAGCGAGGGCACATCATCATTATCATCGCTGCAGTGCAAGACCTGTAGCGGTTCGAGTCTGGAGAGGCCCTGCCAGAGAAACATGGACTCTATTCTGTCCAACGCCTTTTAAGAATTTTTCTGAGCAGTCGTGCGAAGTGACCAGTCTATTGACACTGTGGTGGCCGTTGCCGCAGATTATTGTTGTGCAGCGAGCGCGAGGTCGCGGATGGCGATGATACACCCGTCGCAGGGGGGCGGCGGCGCGGCGGCGGCGCGGCAGCGAACAGCAGCGCAGGCCCCTACAACAAGTAGATAATGTTGAAATTTGTTTTTAGCCGAGTTATCGCCAGCACAATAGGCCTGTGTTGAAAGACGCGGTGTCTCCTCCGCCCAAATCCAAATCCGTCCCCAACGTGTCGACGTGTGTGTGTGTGTGTGTGTGTGTGTGTGTGTGTGTGCGTGTGTGTGCGTCTGTGTCCACCCTTAAGGCGTGGTTGAAGGGGAGGAGAGGAGAGGACGAGGGGGAGGGGGAGGGGATACCGCTGCACCAGTGGCCGTTCGAAAGAGGCGGTCAAAGAGCGCCGCGTTGTGGGCTGGCCTGTTGGCCTGCCTGCTGGCCTGCCTGCTGGCCTGGCCAGTCTGGGGCCTCGCGGAGGCATTCCCTCGCCGCCGTCCGGCAGCGCCCTGCCCCGCCCCGCGCTGCCCGGCCCCGCGCTGCCCCCATCCGCCCCCCGAACGAGCGGGCCGAGTCGAGCCGAGCCGAGCCGAGCCGGCCAAGTCGCGATCGCGTCGCGAGCTTCTTGATTCAATATTATTCCGATTGGAGACGCGCGCGAGTGAGGGGTCACACTTGTTGCGTCGCTCCGGGCCGCCGACTTGCCGAGACGGAAGCCGACCCGACCCGTTTGCCGCCGGGACCACGTCCACCGCGTCCACCACGCGTCAGGCCGTCGGCGTCGTCGTGCGAGACATCGCGTCGCCGGGCCCGCGCCTCCTCCAACACACTGTGCGGGCTGTCACAGCGTCGCCCGCGTCGTAGTCGAGCGCGCAGAGCTGCCGCGAGCGGGCGTCCCGTCGGCGGGTTCGAGTCCACCCCGGGGTGGTTTTGCTATCGGCGCGCCGTGACTAATCACAGAGCGGCCTGCGTCGCCCAGCGTCCAGGAGGGTGACTGCCGCCACTGCCGCCACTGCCGCCACTGCCGCCTTGCGCAGCCCGAAGATGCCGGCCAGTCTCTAGCCGAGTGGCCGTGCGGGAAGTGCGAGCAGAGTGCGACACCACTGCGTCCGTCAGCCAAGCCGTCGAGCCAGTGGACGGGCCGAGCGGCATTCCACCAACTTCGGCCTTGTGTCCTCGGACCTCGCCCTTCCCGGCCCTGCCTGGCCCTGCCAAGGACCAAGGACTCCAGCGACGGAGGCATTCCCCAAGGTGAGCCCTTATCGGCCCTTCGGCGGCCGCGGCGGTCCGGCCGCGGGATTTGCGTGGCATTCGCAGTGGCGCGCCAAAACGCACCGGCCGCCGTTTAAAGACCAATGTGCACGCGGCGGGCCACGGCGGCGGGCCGCGGCGCCATTCTGGCCGCCATGCTCTTGGCGATGTAGGAGGAGCCAGGGGCGGCGCGGGGAGCCGCGAGTGATAAGGCCGCCCTGATGTAATATACGCCGCGATATCGTCGCCCACTATGGAGGGCCGAGGAAAAATTCCGCCAGCGTTAATGACATGGCAAGACGCGAATAAAAACGAAAAGCCGCGGGTCCGGGCGGCGGAAAGGCGGCGCGGTGCACCTCGCTGCTCGCTACACTGTGGGCTGCACGTGCCGCGGCCGGCTGGGCTGGGACTTCCCTCGGCCGGCCGGCGCGCCGGGACGGCGACGGCGGGGACCGCCTGGAAAGGGAACGGCCGGCGGCGCGGCGGCGTGGGGCGGGGCGGGGCGTCCTCCGGGAGGTAATCTAGTCATCGAGTTGAACTCTGAGCGGCCTTCGTAGTGCGTGCTGTGTGCTGTTGCTGCTGCACACGGCCGGGTCAACGATTACCCACCGGTATCGTACTGGAATACTGAATGGGCTTGCTGGAGTCCAGCTGGAGCCCAGGCGGGACTGGTCTCGCCCTGGAGGCGGCTCCAGTCCTGTGGTCCTGGAGAATACTCGAACCTCCGAGTGCTCAGCCAAGTGCCCGACTCGGTGAGCTCACACACTTTATCTCGGATTCCCCAGATCCGTCCGGAGCACGCATTTGCCGCGCGCACTTACGCTACTGTACACTTTCGGTTTTTACTTTGATGCCGCTTGAATTTCGCATCGATGCGTTTTTTCCGCGCAAACTGGAATTCACACGCGGAAAACGCCGCCCAAATGCCGCCGCGTGTGCCTGAGTGTGTGTGCGTGTTTGTGAGTGTGTGTATGTGTGTTGACGTCTTGAGAACAGGACAGTGGGCAGGGCGGAGACGCGCGACCGACCCATTAATATGTATAGCGTCCTGACAGAGGCCCACGACTGATTCCGACCGAACCGCGGTTTGGTCGCTCTGTCTCTGTCGCACTCACGCAGCGCACCTGACGCTCTGACGCGCCGACCCGCGCAACGATCCCTTTGCCAAGTTCCCGAACTCGCGCGGTGAGGCAGGCCGCCGGCCGCCGCGCCGTTCGAGTGTTTGAGTCGTTGCCGGTGATAGACGTGTTCGAGGGGGAAGGGGGAGGGGAAGGGGAGGGGGTGTCTCTAGGTGCTCACACCTGTCACCGAGTTACTGCCGCATCGAGGGCCGCCAGGGTGCCGCCGCGGCGTGCCGCCAAGGTGCCGCCGGCCACGCGGCGCACAGTCCCACACCGTCCGAGGCGAGCCGTGCAGCCCGCCGTGCAGTCCGCCACGCGTCCACGCCGTCGCGGTCGTCGCGGCGCCACCGCCCCCACCCCCACCCCCACTCGGCCCACCCCGTCATGGAGGATGACACACCGGAGTCGGCAAGTACGTCCCCCGGCCGCGCCGAAAAGCCCGGGCCACGCGTATGTAAGTCAAGGACTTCCCCGACAACGAGGACGCGTTGCAACCTACAACGTGGCGGCGCGGGTTCGACCCTCGGCGTACTGGTACACTGGTACCTGCGGTACCGGTCCGCATCCTCGCCGCCGGGTCAGAAGCAGCAGTCCGATCCGTGCTTTCGTCGCTCTGTCTCTCTCGCACGCCACGGGGCGGCTCGTGAGTGCGAGAGAGACAGAGCGACGAAAACACTGTTCGTTTTCGGTAGAGTTTGGCGCAAAGTGGTTCCGTCTGCCGTCCTCGCGATATTTTGCAGCGTGTAGTGCACGGAGGAGCGACAACAATGAAGGGGATTCACGTGGAGAAGCTAGCTAAGCTACCCTCGCGTGGGCAACGCGGATGACTCACGGATCTAAAGTCCTCTGAAATGGACTCTCTGCCTCCGTCCTGCCATATCCACCTTTGGAGCGGCTGTCCACTGTCCTGCCCGTTGACGGTTGACGGCTCCTCAGTGACTCGTTCCGCTTCCTCGCGGTGTAGTGCGCGGCTGCCCCGAGGGCTGCCCAGCTGCCGTCAGCTGTTGCTGCAGACGACGCCAACACGTGCACCACACGTGGAGTTGAATCATGCGTCCATTTGACGTAACGCGCGCGCGTGTGTGTGAGTGCGTAGGTGTGCTTGTCTGTGTGAGTGCTTGGGTGTGCTTGTGTGTGTGAGCTTGTGCGTGTGTGCGTGCGCGAGGATGGGCGTTAGCGGGCCGCTGCAGTAACCCAGACCTCGGCCACCCAACCCGCCCGTGTCTGAGGTTAGGGTAGGATTGGGTAACGGGTCTTTCAATTCGTTTTTGAAGCCTTCACTTTGACGGCGGCGACATGCACACTGCGTGCGACGGGCGGCAGGCGGCGGCAGGGCCGAGGCAGGGTGCGTGATGCGGGATCCCAGAAGGCTTGGCGGGTGTCAAGGCCACCGCTTCTATGACCGGACCGCGCCACGGATGAGATATATCGATCCCAGAAAAAATGGGGACCAAAATAAAAAGGTGTGAGTGCGGTGCGCGGATCGAGGAGTCGGGTAGTCTCGTTAGTCGCCGCTAATCAGCAGCGCGTAATGATGTCATTTTTCGGGCCGAGGGTCGGGGTGGAGGTGGGGGTGGGGGTGGGGGTGGAAGACGAGGTTGACGCGCAAGGTCGGCGCGGCCGCGGCCCACATCGCCCTTTGCGCCATTTGGCAATGGCGGTTGCATTATAATTAACAAAACATCCGGGCGCGCTCTGATATTCCGCATAGTGGCGTCGCTCTGTCTCTCTCGCACACATACGGGACGCCCCACGGGTGCGAGAGGGACAGAACGGAATCAGTCGGCCTGCCTCGTCCAGCGAAGGGACAGGACGGGATGAGGTCAGCGACAACAACACGCTTTGTAAACAAACGGCTCATGTCCATGGCAACATGACAACACGGAGACGAGGAGGCGAGGCAGGCGAGGCAAAAAGCAAAACGGATCGCGGACAGGAGATAAGGCGGCGTGTTTGCAGCAATAGCCGGCTGTACGCAGTGACCTTTGACCCCGGGGTAAAAATAAAGTATCTGTAGATCGGAAAGGGGTCGCGGCTCGGCGCGCAGCGCGCGGAGGGGCGTGTAAGTCGCTTCCGCGTCGCGGCCGAGGTCGCCGTCGCGGCCCTGGAGGACGCCGTCGACGCGACCGCCGAGCCGGACCGCCGAGCTGGACCGCCTCCCGTCCGCGGTGTCCGCGATGTCCGCCCTCGGCCGGGGGGCGCGGGGCGGCCGGCGAAACTCCACTATCAACGGCGACAGGGGACAGGGCCCGATAAATTTCCAATCCTTTTTCTTTTATTTCCTCTCATTTTGTCGCGTGGTGGGAAAAAAATTATCGTGCGGCGATTAGGTCAGGCAGGCGCCCCCTTTTGGAGGTGGGTGGGGGAGGCATGACCCACCGCAGAGGGAAAACTCCCAAGCCCCCTTCCCCTCCCCCCCATCCGCCCCTGCCGTGCCTATTCCGATGCACTTTCATTTCGGGAACGGCTGCGATAAGAACGTGAGATAAAAATATGGAAAGGGTCGAAATGGTGGCCGGCCGGGATGAATCGATGAATCGGCCACGGCTGCGCCTCGGGCTGCGCGATGAGATGAATGAGGAACGAGCGGACAGGCGGTGTCGCCGTGCCGCCGCGGAAGGCCGAGACAGACGTCGCGTCGGCGACCAAGGCGGCGACGCGTGCGTGGAGCTCGGCGGCCGAGGCGCGGACCAGCGCGGACCGGCGTGGACCGCCTCCAAACAGACGCACGTCGAACGGCAATGAACAACAACAATAACAACAAAGCGAAACGACGCGGCTAGCCGATCTCCGCCCTGGCCGTGCCGGCCGTCGGCGCGCTGCCGCCGTGCTTCAGCACTAGCACTATCACGTCATATCTGCAGCCGATAGACGCGCCGAGGAGAAGGAGGAGAAGAAAGAGAGGAAGACCCCGCGTGACTTATCGACGGCGGCCCTGTGTTTGCGGTTTCGGCCGCCGTGTCGAGGAGCGAGAATGAATGGAGGCAAAGTCAGCCTGCGGACTGATTCCGAGAGCCGTATTAGTCGCTCTGTCTCTCCCGCACTCACGGGGCGTCCCGTACAGGTGTGAGAGAGACATCGCGACGAAAACGACTCTCGGAATCAGTCTACTGCTCCACGCGGCGTCCACATCGGCGCGGCGCTCCGCCAGGGGGAAAATGGGTGGCAGCACAACCTCCACCCATTTCTCGCGCCAGAGGAAAGCCATCACTTGTCAGAGACGAGCGCGCTTCCGACCTACTTGGCCGATAATTAACTCTCGTTAAAAGCCGTCCACGCCGCGCTTTAGCTCCTTAGCGCACGCAGCGCACACGCGCCACCAGAAGTCAGGGCAGCCAGCGCAGCAGGGCAGCCGCTAGGGCGACCCACGCCCCGCCAATTGAATCCCCAAGCCTTCCCCGCACGACCTACCCGGCACGCACGCAAAAAAAAAGAACATCGAGGTTTGGCCGTGTACCTTCTAAAGTGCTGTACACTAGGAAATGAGGGGTACATCCATGGACTGCGATGACTTATTTGTCAAGTCTTTGAATCTTAATCGATTTTCGTTGAATCGCCGTCGTGTTGAGAGTGGGTGTCGGCATGCAGCACGTGGAGCTTCGCCCTTCTGGCGGTGTGCCCTGCGGCCCTCCAAGGCCACCCCGACGGCCGATGGCGGCTGACGGCGGCCGATGCCCTCTGGCTGGCAACCCCCTAGGCATGCCACCGGCTTGCCCTGCAGGGCGGCGCGTCTTCCTCATCCCTCCGCGTCCCCCAGCCCCTCGCCTCCAATTTCTCATACTTCCCAGAAGTAACGGGCGCCGCATTTCGGCCGTTTCGGCGGTCGCGGGCGCCGCCGTCGTCAAGTCGTCGCACCTGTTTACCTCCGCCTCCACCCTGTGTTGTCCAAGCGCCCCGCCCCGGCCGGTTTGCTCAGCGGGGGCCTCGGGGAGCCCGCGCCAAGGCCCGAGCCAAGGCCCAAGCCCGCGGCCTCCGCGAAGGGGCGGCGGTCGCGACCCCGCCAGCCGACGCGTCGCGACGCCAGCAGGTCTCTGTCTCTCTCGCACCCACGGGGCGTTCCGAGCGGGAGCGAGACAGCGACCTGCTGGCCGACGCCGAGTGGAGCGGAATGGATTGTCGAAAGCAGACGACGCGGACGTCGCACGAGGTTCAGGGTGTTCAGGGTCGCGGTTCCTGTGCGCCCAGCCCAGCGACCCGCCCTGTCTCTGTCGCGCCGTAAGGGACGCCCCACGAGTGCGACAGAAATAGAGTCACTCTTCGGCATCGGATGCGGTGGAAGGATGACCGCCCTTTCCAGGAAGCGGCGACCCTCGGCCCCTCGGCCCGCGCCGCGGCTGACGCCACCGCCCGCCACCGCCACCGCCTCGCCCTCGACGAGGCAATCAAGCGACAGATTAAGATTAGGGTCCTCGGCTTGATTTATCTGAGTGCTCGCAACGCGTCGCGATGCCACCGGGACCGGGATTTGCAACAAACTGTAAATCAACCAATCAATCACTCGCCAGTCCGCGACTACTCGGTGATAAAATTGGGAGGCGCGTGTCCGCGGGTTCTAATCCCCGTGCCGCGCCGTTTCACGGCCGCGACCATCACCGCCTTGTCGCCGCCACTGTCGCCGGGCGCCCGTCCGGCCGCAGAGATACGTTGCGCGCTCCATGAGTTTGATTCCGAAAAGTGCTTTCGTCGCCCTGTCTCTCTCGCACTCACGGGGCAGAGTGACGGAGCGCGGTTTGAGTCGAGTCCGCAGTATGAATCTGCGTCGGCCTCCCTCACGTGCCGCGAGCTATCTCGAGAGGGTGCTCGACGGCGACCTCACGCACAAAGGCACCAAGTGGACCGCCGCCGCGGGAAGGCCGCCAGGCCGCCAGGCCGCCGCCCACAACAACAAGCACCCTCGCTCTATCGCGAAGTGAGTGGCCTGCCTTTTAATTTGGACGAAGGACGTGCCTGGTTGTGGATCACTGTGCCAGCCAGGACGGCCGGGACGCCGGGCACGCTCCCTGCCGCCGCCCGCAGAGATACAATGCAGCACTCTATTTGATAACCACATTATACATAGAGCGGCAGGCGCTGGGCCACACTCGACACCGCGCCGTCGACTGGGGCTCTGCGATCGGAGAGGTACGTCACCTGGTGCGTCGGTAGGGTTGCCACCAGTCCAGGGTGTCGGGGTGCCAACCGGCTGCCGCCGGGCTGGGCCGACGCGACGCGCGCGCGCGCGCCGGGTCTGGCCGACTAGAGTCCGTGACATTGATGTTTTGGTCCCGGTGTCCTTGACATTTCACCTTGCCGCCGGCCGGCCACGACGACCGCGACATGTGCGCGACCGGACCCTCCCGCCCGCCGCGGCGCCGGTAGACTGTCTCGCTGTCTCTCTCGCGCCTCTATGGGACACGCCATGAGTGCAAGAGAGACAGAGCGAAGGCTGCCATTGGTCGGTGAGGCACCCGTTAGCCCCTCCCATAGGCCAAGCCATAGGCCGGACCGGAGGCGTGGTCGCCTCATGCCGACCTGTCGTCTGCTCTCCGACCGCAGTTTGTTTTCGCCAGGTTGGAAAGCCAAAGGGGGCGTTGGCGTTTTTCGCGCCGCAGCGCCCTATTTCTCATACTCTGGAAAAAGCCCGCTTTTCCCTGCTCGGCCCTCACCGGCACGCTTTCAATGTTTCCAGCGGTTTACGGGCGAAGCGCGAAGCTTTGTCTGTTTATGGTCATGAAACACGTCTGACTGGTGTCGGAGGGGCGGCGGGGCCCGCGGGAATGTAAATGTTGCGGGCATGTCACATTCTTCTTGGCGCGGCGCGCCGAGAGTACAGTCGCGCAGTGATCTTTTTCAAAATCAGCTGATCCGCGGCGCCGGGGCGCTGCACAGTGGGCCAGAAGACCGGTGGAGGCGGACAAAATACCGGACGCGTTTTGAGCTTCTGAGTCGCCAAATGGGCCTCGAACCGAACGTGTGACCCTACCAATGGATTCCTCGTTCGGAGAGCAATCCAGTGGTGGGGTCACACGTTCGGTTCGAGTCCCATTCAGCGACTCTGGAGCTCAAAACACGTCTAGAGTTTTGGCCGCCTCCACCGGTCTTCTGGCCCACTGTGCGCTTGGACTCCCCGTCATTATCCCGCCGCCCGATAGAGATTCATTGGCCGTTTTGCAACGACAATGGCAGTCCGTGGAGAGAAAATGGAGCAAATGGTGCATTGGGCCGCTTGCGCGCAAGTGGGCCTGAATGTGAATCTGAAAGTGCACGCGATAATGGGTCCGGGTGATAACCCCAACGAGTGCTACCCGGCATAGCATAGCGCTATCTGACGGCGCGGAGATCCAACTGTCGAGTGCCAATCCGGAACGCCGCCGCGACGTCGCGACCACCGTATCGCACTGCCTCATTCCTCTGGAGCAGACGCCGAGAATTAAAATGGGTCCACTGACCGCGGCGGCGAGTGCATTGCCATGGCACTGCACTGCAATGACCACCGTTAGGGGTGCCACCCGGCAGCCTTCCACACGCAGCATGCGCGGCTGGCCTCGCCACGTGTTGGGCTCCGGGTCATGTTTCCGCGCGTGCGGCGCTAGGGTTGCCACACGGCGCAACGGCACACGTGGCGGCGAGACACGCCCACTGTCCGGCACTGGCTGCGCGGCGCCCGCGCCGGGTGGCAACTCTAGAGTGGCGCCCCTGGAGTGACTGGCTGCTGGGGGGCGCTGCAGTGGGGCGTTCCTGTGCGATTTGCCTATCCTGTTTCGCCGGGTGACCGTGTACCGGTGCACGCGCCGCCCGCGCCGCTAGCAGTGCAGCAGCCACCGGCCATCAAAACAAGCCACTCTGATAAAACAAGACTGTCTGCTGCAGCGAGGCTTAGCGAGGTGCGGGAGGAGGAAGGGGCAGTCTTCGCCGAGGCTTCGGTCATGAACTGGACTTCATTCCACGCGCTTCGCTTAGCTTCGCTTGTTTATCGCGCGCTGCAATACAGTGGTCTCCCCGCTGCGCCCCGCCGATGGCTGGACATTGGCACACTGTGAATCGGCCCGCAGTGTTGCCACACTGTAGGCGAGGATTCCCATGACGCGCCAGCGTCGAGAGGGTTGCCAACCCACCCCTGTCTGCGTCCCAGGCAACTTCTGGAAAGCTCAGCCTAGTTATTACCTCTAGTGGGCACGCTGAGGTTGGTGGTAACCCTTTCCATTGGTGCATCGTGGGAGTTTTTGCCTACTTGAGTGGCTGCACTGAGGCGAAGGTAGGCCACGGCTACCAAGGCGGGACGGGTCACACATTACTGGCGGTAACTAATCGCGCTGACGTTTAGCGCTGAGTTACTCTTTGCACTGCGCACGGTGATCCCCACTCTCGTCGCTGGCGAGATGAGACGATCGCCTTGCAGCCCCAGCAGGCCGCCAGGCCGCCAGTAGAGAGACTCAGAACTAGAGAGAAACCGAGTCTCTCTAGGCCGCCACCTCCGCGACCTCAGCGCCTGCGGCCGCCACCAAGGCAGGCCCGCCGCGCACGCCGGGGAGAGGGTTGCCTGCCGACACGGGGCTCTGCACCACGACGCCGCGCGCCGTTCTCGCTGGCCCTGAAGTTTCGCCTTCGCCCCCGCCGCGACTCCGCGGAAAGGGAGGAGGGGGGGGAGTCTGGCGCCGAGGGAAGCCCCACCGAGCACATCGCCTCCCTGATTGGTCGGCAGGGCGTTGCTCCATTGCCTCGGCATTGCCTCGGCCCTCCACAGTGCTGCATCTCGCTCTGCATCTCGCCGTAGGCCTCGCTGATTGATGCTTTGGTCTGTGCTGCAGGGACGGTCCCCGCCATGCCGTCGCAGTATTCCAACCTGGACCCGCAGTCCCACCCCGCCAGCCCCGCGGAGGACTTCGGCTCGGGCTCCATGAACAAGGATGACTGGGTGAGTAGTGAGAGCGGCTGCGGCTCCGCTACCGGTGTCTGAGGCGTTGGTCCTGAAACGAGGGTGTCTTGTCGTTGCAGAAGAGCGAGGAGTCCGACCGGGCCAGCCCGGCGGGCAGTGGCTCCACGCAGCCCACTGCGCCGGCCACCCCCACGCCGCAGGTCGGCCACCCGAGGGAGACCCTGGTAAGTCGACGTGGAAAGAAGGCGAGTGCCTGCAACCTCGTCCTGGCGACGACAGTTAATGTTGAACCTCGTCGGCGCGCAGGTCTCGGTGACGGACGCGGACGGCAATGAGGTCCCGGACGAGACGTGCGAGAAGGAAGGCCTGGACGGCGACGGCGCCGAGCCCCTCACCATGACGACGTACATGGTGGTGCCCCCGGACGGCGGCTGGGGCTGGGTCGTGGTCGCGGCCTCCTTCATGTGCAACATGGTGGTGGACGGCATCATCTTCACCTTCGGCTTGCTGCAGGCCAACCTGGTCAAGGAGTGGTCGAGTGTGCCCGGGGCCACGGTGACCGAGTCCGAGGTGGCCCTCGTCGGCTCCCTGCAGACTGGCTTCTACCTCATGGCAGGTACGTTCTCATGCCGACACGGACGAAACCAAACTCGGTCTCTTGTCGCATTTTTTAATTCAAATTTGATTTGCAGGTCCGTTCGTGTCTGCGCTCGCCAACCGCTACGGCTTCCGGCTGGTCACCATCCTGGGCGCCATCCTGGGCGCCAGCGGCTTCGCCCTGTCGTCGTTCGCCACGAACGTGACGTACCTCTACTTGACGTACGGCGTGCTCGGCGGCATCGGCTTCGGCATGATCTACGTGCCGGCCGTCATCACCACGGGCTTCTACTTCGAGCGGTGGCGCGCCCTGGCCACGGGCATCGCCGTCTGCGGCTCCGGCATCGGGACCATCGGCATGGGCCCCGCCTGCGAGTTGATCATCGCGAGCCTCGGCTGGCAGGGCATGCTGCAGGTGCAGGCCGGTACGTCCACCGCGGTGCACCGCGCCACTCTCGAACAAAACAACTCTTTTCCGGTTCCTTTAACGCATTCCGTTCCTCCGGCCGCAGGCTTGGTGCTGTCGTGCGCCCTCTTCGGCGCGCTCTTCCGTCCGCTGGAGCCCAGCAAGGTGGAGGTGCCCTACGACCCCGTCAAGGCCGCCGAGATGCAGGCGGCCGAGAAGCTCGCCGACGAGAAGGACGGCGAGCAGCGCCTGCCGCTGCTCATGAGGATCAAGATGGCGCGCGACGAGATGCGGGCCAGGAGCACGGCCTCCCTGCACGAGTCCGGCCACGGCGCCAACAACAACACCAGCTACCCTACCGCGGCGCAGATCCTGGGCTCCTCCACCCGCGTGCTCAAGGCGTCCTGCCTGTCCCTGGACGTGTCCGTCACGCCCCACAAGCAGCACGTCCACAACCACCACAACCACCTCAACGGCAACCTCAGCAAGAGCGAGAAGCGCCTCAGCGCGCCCATCAGGGTGAGTGGCGGTCTTCACCGCGTGTGTAGCCCATTCCAGCCAGTTTCGTAGTCTTCAATTTTACGCGAGGCATCATTCGCCGATCTAGTCAATGTAGGGCCCGTGGTGCGTCAAGGACATGTGCCGTCGTAGAGTTCGACGCCCATTGCGTTGATGGGTTTGTTTATGTTGTCCAAATTGACTGGATCGCTGTGATGGTGCTTCGCGATCTATGGCGTTCTCGGGCAGCTGGATGTACCAGTTAGCGCCACCACTCCTGTCCTCTCATGACAGCCTGTGACCCTCCAGGACGTTCCCGGCGTCACTCCGCCGTCGTCGCCGCGCGTGGCCAAGGCCACGCCCCACGCCCACGACCAGCGCAGGGGGTCGGCGGGTCCGCGCCGGGCTCGCGCCGCGTCCGAGTCCGGCGGCAAGCGGACGCCGCGCGCCCCCGGGGCCCGGCCGCTGTACAGGGACGACATCTTCTTCGGCGCCTCGCTGCAGCGGCTGCCCGAGTACGGCTCCAGGGTGTCCGCGCTGGACTACACCATGTCCGTCACCCGGCTGCCCACCAAGGCCGACCTGGCCGAGGAGACGTCGCGGACGTGCAGCCTCTGCCCCGAGGCCGTCCGGAGGACCCTGTACACCATGCTGGACCTGTCGCTGCTGCGGTCGCCCACCTTCATCATGCTGGCCTTCTCCGGCTTCTTCACCATGATGGGCTTCTACGTGCCGTTCGGCTACCTCAAGGGTGAGTCGCCTTTCCCAACTCCCTTTCGCACACGGCCTAGTTTCTGTTTTCTAAAACGACATTTTGCCCCCAGAGCGAGCCGTGGAGAACGGCTGGGAGCCAACCTCGGCCGTGTGGCTGGTGCCCTCCATCGGCGTGAGCAACACGCTGGCTCGTGTGGCGTGCGGCGTGCTGTCCTCCATGCCCGGCGTCGACGCGCTGCTCATCAACAACGTGGCCCTCACCCTGGGCGGCCTCACCACCATCGTGTCCGGCCTGTACTTCGACGCCTGGTACCAGTTCACCTACACCACCGCCTTCGGCGTCGCATGCGGTAAGCGCGCCGATAAAAACACATGAAAGAGAGACAGAGAGGAAACCCCGGCGACAAGGATAACGACTTTCCCCGGCCGTTGGCTAAAAATAAGAGCCAGCCAGGACCCGTTGCCGCGTTGCCGGTGATGTATTGTGACATCACAGTCCTCCGGCTGGCACTGCCACTCGATTACCATATCTCGCTTCCCGTCAGGCCGTCACGTCCCGCGTGCTCGTCGTGCTCGTCCTCCGCGGTCCAGCGTGTCCACCGCCCCAAGGATAACGTTGCCAACCCATTCCGCCGTCGTCGCTCTGTCTCCCTCGCACTCACGAAAAATAGGCGTGTGTACAGCAAGTGCGAGAGAGACAGTCTGCTGACGCTATTCTCTGTACCCACAGCCTGCTTCGCGTCGCTCAGGTCCATCCTCATCGTGGACCTAATGGGCCTGGACAAGCTGACCAACGCCTTCGGCCTGCTGCTCCTCTTCCAGGGCGTGGCTGCTTGCATGGGAACACCCATCGCCGGTAAGTTGGATTTTTGTTTTGCTTCTGTTTTTCCTTGAATACGTCACGACGTTGCTGCGGGTCATTTGAATTCCTTGGCCCGCGCGGCTCGCTCGGCCTTGGGGGCTGCGTCTGCTAGCGTTCGCGCGTTTGCTTGTACGGACCGTTGCGTACCCCGCGCACGCGGCACGGCTGTCTCTCTCGCACCTATTCGGGACGCCCCATGGGTGCGAGAGAGACAGAGCGAGGACAAGGATGAGCGGAACCATTCGGCAGTCACGGCCGCGTCGCACCCACTGACACACTGACCGTCGTGTCCTTTGCAGGCGCCTTCAAGGACGCCACTGGCGGCTACGACTTCACCTTCTACCTGGCCGGCGCCCTCATCTTCGTCTCCGCCTTGCTGTGCTACCCGCTCAACAGGATGAACAACTGGGAGAAGCGGCGCGCCGGCCTCCTGGAGGACTCGGAGACGGAGAAGACCGTCGCCAAGGTGGTCTGAGCGACGCGGGCGACGCGGGACTGGCCTTCTGGGCTGCCGCCATGCTGCCGCCCCCGCGCGACTCGAGGCGACCCGAACTGACTCGGCGGCCGCGACGACCGGAGTGTCTGGTCGGCCTGAACATGCCTGAACCGCCTGAACACTCGACCCGTTGTCATGGCAACGGCGGACCGGGCTGGTGTTCGAACGTTCGAACCCGCTGCAGTGCGCCTTGCCGGCCTTGCCGTCTTGAACGCGTGGGTACTGGCTTTGGAGTCCCACTCGAGTCGGTACCGTTGGCCACGCTGCGCCCGGCTGTGCTTGCGTTGCTTGCGCCGGGTTGGAGAGGGTCGAACTGAAGAGATCTGTATTAGCATGCTGTGTTCTGTGTATGAGTGAGTGTGCTTGTGTCTGTTATAGTGAGCGTGAGTGTATACAAGTTGATTCTTTGATCTCCTGACACAGAAAAAACATCGGTGCCCACAAAAGGAGGCTGTATTTATGATAGGAGAGCCACAAAAAAGTCTTTAATAGCAGAAAAGGAAAATAAAATCTATCACCAGTATCAGTGTATGCATGTGAGTGTGAGAGGAACTAGATCTTAGCTGTCAATTAGTCAAGAGTCTGGCTTAATTACAACTGATTGTTTTTTACAAATGTGATTTGTTAAGGCTTTTATACTGTCGTCAGTTTGCCAAGTTTGTCTTACCATGCTGTAACTGCCTGATCAGCCGACCTTATCTTGTTAATATTTATGATGAATTGTAATTTATGCTCAAAAAGTGGACTGGCGATTGTTTCTTTTTAAAGTAGAGTACAATATTATGGCAATGCGCTGGTGCGCGCTGCATCCTTATGGCTGTGCACGATATTATACGATATCAATACCCGTAGGCATATATGTGTACATAGCAGAGTGGAGCGCGACTGTATTTTTATATGAATTATTTAATTGGGACCAATGATTGTCGTTTGTGATGCAGTGATTTACTATTTGTAATTTTAAAAGACAGAATCAGATTCATGACTGCTTTGAGTGGCACTTCCCTCCAGAGTTCTTCTCATTCTCAAAATAGAAATGAGTCTTAAATCATTGCAGTAAAATTAATTAAATGATATTACACCACTTGTTGATTGATAATTCCTCTTTGTGACCTCACAGAAATATACCATAATTCGCCTCAAGTCATCCATATCTATAATTTATAGAACTTTTAGTGATGAGTTATTGTAATGTATATGTTATTTTTAAGTATCACAACCACCACTCTTATACAATATATGGGCCTTCCCTGTGGCCCTGTCCATATTTACTTTGTAAACCAGAATTAAACTATATTTTATCATATGAAGTGCCATAAGGTAATGTTTCAGGTCAAAATAAAACATGATTTCCGAAATTGGAACCAGCCTATCTTTTCTCTTTCCCCAACCCTCAAATGTTCATTTTTTTTTAAAAATCGTGTTCGTCGGTTCTCGGTTTGTGGGCTCCGCCGGCGAGTAGGCAACCCAACGAGCATGCCAAGTGGGATGCTGCCGATGCTGCAACACAGGCACACAGGGCAAAACGCAAAGCCACTCAAATGCTCTGATCGGCCCTGATCCCCTGCTTGAAAAAGTCCGCGGGTCCGCGCCTTGCGCCTTCCCTTCCCTCCCTTCCCTTCCCAGTGCATCATCTGACCACTTGCGCCTGCGCCGCACGAACACACCCTGTCGGTCTGTCTAGCTGCCTGTGTGGTGTCTGTCTGTCTGTTCGGTCGTTCTTCCCAGTCATCATCACGCCGCCGCCCGATATTTACTTGGGTTTAATTTTCCTTATTTATATAAAAAGTTTTTAAATACTCAGCCATGCCGGGGGGAGGTGCCTTATTTGGTAATTCGAGCTCGCGCTCTCAAAATAAGAATTTGGTGGAATTTAAAGCTGGCAAAATGACTATGAAAGGCAAGATTGTCCACCCGGACAAAAGGAAGGGTTTATTGTACGTTTATCAGTCTGAGGAGTCCCTCATGCATTTCTGCTGGAAAGATCGTCAAACAGGAACGATTGAAGATGTAAGTCTCGTGGAAAATCCCTTATCATCTATGCTAATTTAAATGTTTAGTTCAGTCCTAACCTGTACAATTTCTATGATCCTGCGATTACATTGCAAATATTTGATTCAATCTCTGTTTGTAGGATCTCATCATTTTCCCTGATGATTGCGAGTTCAAACGTGTTAATCAGTGCACTACTGGTCGTGTTTACGTCTTAAAGTTCAAGTCGTCCAACAAGAAATTCTTCTTCTGGGTTCAGGTTCGTGAGGAAGCCGACACGCCTTGTGCCACTTCATTAATTCCGCAGATGAATGTCTTTTTTCACAGACATTACTGTCTCTCGTAGTGTGTCTGGCTATTTGTTTATTAAGTAAGTCTTTGTTATATTGTGTAGGAGCCGAAGACTGACAAGGATGATGAAAATTGCCGAAGGCTGAACGAAATTCTGAACAACCCTCCCACGAATCGTAGTGGTGGTGGCACTCCAGGTTAGAATCAACTCCTTGCCATTCCCCTCCTGTGTATTAGATGAGAATTAGGTGACACTTATTCTTTGTATGCTTTCAGATAGTGACATTCAGATTCAGAACCTTCTGAGCAACATGTCTCAACAGCAGCTTGTTCAATTGTTTGGGGGAGGTGGTCTCTCCAGTCTTTTGGGCACCATGAAGTAAGCACCTCTCTTTTAGGTTTAGTATTGACTGTCGTTCTTCAGCTTAAGTGAGGCAAAATAAAAGTTTGAGGATATTGATTGTGGCACTTGTACTATGTTCTCAGTGCCCCACGATCCTCAGGCTCGGGAAACAAGAGCAGCAGCAGTGGCGGTGGTGGTGGAAGTGGAAGCAGTGGATCATCGAGCACTCCAGCCACAGCCTCCAGTGATTCTGCACCAAGTGCTTCAACTGCTACTGCAAGTGCTACAAGTGGATCTGGCAGCACTTCTACTCCCACTTCATCCCGGACCAGCTCCAAGCCTCTATCAACTAAAGGTAACAGTGAGTTGCCCTGGACGCTTTTGGCTGTTTATTTTAATGCGTTTCAATTTTGTCTGTCTGCCAACTTTGCATCTTAATTTTTCATCAAATTTACTTTGTTTTTAATATAGGGAATACAGCCGAGCAGAGTGCTCAAAACCCCATTCAGTTGAACGACTTGCGTAACTTCTTGTCAACTCTGGGTTCATTACCCGACGGTGATCAGCGTCAGTCTGGTAAGATTTCATTTCCAAGTGCCTTTTTGTTAAAGCAGTATTTTATCTGGTTATCCTTGATGAATAACACGTCTCCTCCTTGTTTAGTGGATCTAGCAGCTGGACTAAATACTGAAAGTATTCAGCCTTTACTGAGCAACCCTGCCGTTGTCAGAGAGCTGCAGCAACACCTGCCATCACCCATTGAAGATTCTGGTGACCCACAAGAACGCCTGAGGTTGACTTTAACATCTCCTCAGTTCCAGCAGGTAATGAAATACAATGTGAACATAACCTTTTGCTCGTTCGCATCTTCCTCCTCAAGTGTTGGTTGGAGACCTGCGCAAGAGCATAAAATATCCATCAAGGGCCTTATTTCTCAGGGGATGTGCTGCTATAAGTAATGCATCACATTTGGTAGAGACCCAACACTACAGCTAACTCATGGCTAAACCTGAAAAATTCATGTGACATCCTAATTTATTTATTGTTTTTGTTTAGGCACTGAGCAGCTTCTCAGATGCTCTCCAGTCTGGCCAAATAGGCCATGTCATCAATCAATTTGATGTCGATGGAGATGCTGTGTCAGCTGCTAACCGAGGCAACATGGAAGACTTTGTCCGAGCCCTGCAAAGAACAAGTATTACGGGTTCCCCAAGCACCCCATCTGCTGGTGGTACTACTGGTCCAACTGAAGCCAGTCCCGGTGAAGTGACACAACCAGAAAAGAAGAAGAAGATGGACAATACCAAAACACCTGACAAGAAGAAGGATGATGATGATGAAGGAATGTCAATGGATTAAAATTGATCATCATGTTGCATTTATTCTTGGGTTTATCTTTTCCACTGTAATGTATACTAAACCTTACTTGTTTCTTGGGTATTAAAATAATTACTTCATTTGCATCTTACAAATACCAGAATAGGTAGCCAGAATAGAGACTGAATGGAATGGACTGAATTTGTCAGCTGATGTGACATAGCCAAGGTGGGGTTTATTTTGTGTGAAGAAAATAAAGTGTCCTTTTTTTAGCGTTTATAATGCTGGTATGTAGAATTGTATTTTCTAAATAAATGGAGCAGGCAATTCTTTAGCAATGTGTTTCTCTGTCTAATTTTTGCCATCTCACTTCTTTTAGCAGTGTCAGGTCAAACAGGCACGAGTGTGGCTGTGGCGGCAGTACTGTAGTTGGTCGTAAAATGCGCGGGTCTAGTCGGGTCCTCTCATTCCGGCAACTGAATTTGGCGCGTCGAAGGGTGCTCCGTGATTGGTCGATGCGACTCGGTTCGGGTCGCTTCGGGCCCACTTCCCGAACCCGAACGTACTTCGGCATCACGGAAAAGTGCGCAAAATCTGCGATTCGACTCGGCTTCCATGTCCCCTTTCGTGCTTTGTGCCCTTTAATTCACTCTTGTCCACCCTTCTTTGTTCGCTCCAACACGTTTGGGGAATGCTTGCAAGTCTTTGTTAGGAAAATTGTCGAAGGACGTCTCACTACGCTGGGGTTTTGAAGAAGTGGTGGGGGGTACCGAGTCCTTGTGGATTGTTTTACAGGCTACAGGCTGGTCCTAGGACAAGGCTGTTTAAAGTTTGCCTCCTTTCGCCTTTGTTTTGAGAATGTACCTGTCAAACAAGTGTCTCAGGTTTAACTTTGTTTGTGAAGTTACTTACGAAGGGTAAACCATCGTTGCCCATTTTAAACTTCAGTAAGTATCTCTCCAAAGTAAGTGAATGCGCACCTACTGATTGCGAAAGTATGAGGCCCGGGCCTACCAGGTCTGGACGCTGATAAGCCAGAGCTTGACCTTGAAATAAACGATTGTTTTGGTGGTGCCGCCTTTTAGCCGACACGATGTTACTGTTAAGTTCTCATCCGGCCCTTGGGGACAACCATTCTGCTAGTTTCAAGGTTTCGCTACGCCGTTTTCCGCCCGCAAAATGATCATTTGGCGTTTCACGGACAGGACCGGAGAAGTGTGGTTAGTGGTCGGTTCCGCTACGTAGTTACCGTGTAGGCATGATTCTAAAATGTAAACAATTTTTCCGGGCACTAAGAGGCAGCTTGTTTACGACTTGAACTTGGACACCCGAGACGTAGTGAAGTTTGATTGACAGCCGGCCTACCAGACGATCACCGGATCGGCCATTCTACGGTACCGTAAACTAAATGGCTGTTGTGCCCATAATACTTTTCCGATTGTAGGCTCGTCAGTTGCACGAAACCATTTAAGTGTCACTGGTATCTTAACAGTCTGTTGTACAACGGACTGCATGAATGATCAGCTGGGAAGTTGAATGGAAACAGTCCTTGGGTAGGGAAAGAGGAAAGGGGGGGGAGAGGGGGCATTCCTTTGTTTCCATCACAGGGTTGATGTATCAGTTAGAGGGACTCAAAGATAGGCAGAGGTATTTTGTGTCAAATTATTCAGCTGCCTACATTTAAAACTCACTGGCCAGCTTTGTCATTGCAGCAAATGAACAATGTGGAGGGCTTTGGGCTTTACCCAGAAGTAGGCTTAAGCTTCTTGGTGTCATTGATTTTCAACCTGAGATGAATGATGGTCAGTTTACGATGTTGTCGGTTACTACTTAACTGGAATACTTTGAACTTGACCAACCTCCGGTTTCATTGATGTACATTTGTTAACACAAATCTAATTGATAGGTCATGCCACTTGAAGTGGTAACATAAAGAGATATTACTACTGTACAGTAATTCAGTCACAGCTGTCTCAGATAAGGGGTAAAAATATTTATTAAAAAAAAAAATCAAACAACTTGGTATAGCAATAAATGTATTAACAGACACTACATGAAAAGCAAGAGAAACATAAGCTCAGGAACAAATCTTGATTAGTGACTACATTCTACATGTAAACCTGTTAAAATTTGGTTAATTAATTTATCCTCCAACAGGTCTGATTGTAACAAATCTAGACAAAACAACTGCTATAAAAATTGTGCCAATTACAAAGAAGGCAACAAAAATGTACCATGTCTCTTCATCAAAGACATCTGTAAATGCCGGTACTTGATTGTAGATATGGTCAATAAGTTCTATATTATATGCTTTCTTATTCTTTGCCATTTTGGAGCTATTACGTTAAAAGTCTCTTAAGGCAAATATCTTTGGTCACAACGCCCACACACATTCACTTCCTGCCCTGTCGCATAGCTTTGGTTGTTAAAGTTTCACGGGGTTTCTCTTCTTCAGGTGCATATGGTGATACATAGCGATTGTAAAGTTCAAACATTTCCAGCGTAGTTAGGTTTGCAGCCTTAAATAGCACCTTTTTGCCTGTAACTGGAAAGAAAAAGAGTAAATGAATTGGTGTTCTTATTAATTATTTGAGCTTAATAAAGTTGTTCACTCACCAAGGTCAAAAGAAACTGTTGGTTCAGAACGATCACACTTGATAGCTGTTTGCACCTTGAACTCAGGAAACTTCCTAGTAACTATTTTGTGGTTGAGGAACTCCACAAATTTTCTGAAAGCAAAAAAGAGACTAATTGTACTTTTTGTGCTGACATGTCCGTTCTCTCAACAGAATGGCTTCAGACGGAGCTGGAATGTCATCGTCTCCTGGAACTCCTGGGTCCTCAACACCAGGATCAATAACCAATATTTCTCCACCACAAATGAATGGGACTATTCCTCATGCTGGGCCCTACTCAATTTTATCTAAGGGCTTTGGGTGTGGGTCAATTAATGGTAAGTGAATGATTACTTATAGACTAGAGTACTAGCTTGTCAACTAAGATTATCTGTCGTTGAACTTATTACGGTTGTTTATGAAGTGGAAAAACTTCTGAAGTTGGTCCCAAGTCTTAACATACCTGGTCGAAATGCAGCGCTCGTCGAAAGGGTCGTAGGATGCCACTATACTTTTGACAGCCTTGAGATTTAGATTCTCAAATTGCTGTACAATTAAACTTGTTGCTGCTGGAACCCTTTTACCAACAATACCGTTGATCCTAAATATTCCCATGATATTTTCGTCTCGCGGATCATAATAGCACGACGACAAAAGTTCAGGATAACAATTCAGGTTAGCCAACGAACGTGCACGGCAAGATGGCGGCCACGGTCAGTCTAGCCAACTAACATTACGAAGACCAAGTCTTTATCTTCTTTTGATAGAGCGACTCTCTGTATGCGCTACAGTGCAGCCCCTACACTTTCTGTATTTGAAGCGCTTTCGGTTGAGCTTGCTAGCTAGAATCTGTCAATGCAATTTATGTTCATGACACATTTTAGACCGATTCCAGTAACATGCCACAGCCTCTTCCAAAACGTACCCCCCGTGTTTTTACGTCACACGACGCCATGTTGGGATTGTGAGAGAGAGAAGTCGCCCATCGTGGCCGAAGGGGTGTTGAGTTTATTTATTGTGTCGTTTACAAAAATCTAGTTAGTACTTCCGAGCCAAGATGTACCCCGTAGGTCCACGTAAGTGATCTTCGCATCGTTATTTTGTGTTGGATTACCTCGAGCTCCCGTTTTAGGGATGATTCTGCTCAATGATGTCAATGGTGTGGGGTATTTCCGATCTAAAGTTGATATCCGATGGAGGTCAAAAGTAGCATTCCTGCCCTATTTATTTGTTTTGTTGGAATATTTACGCCATCAGCAATTTCCGGAGCGATTGTTTACATGCTGAGAATGCTTTGAAATCTACATTTTCACTTAAATGCACTCCTTTGACCAAAACAATGCACGCCTACGAGTTTGATGACCTTTCCGCGAGATGCAGTAATGAGATGGAAGATGCGAAAATTCTGCTCTTGCAGTACAAATTTTATCAAAAAGCGTCACTCATGTCTCTTTTTAATTTTTTCAATTTTTTGCGTATTTATATGGGTTGCTCTGGGTTTTTGAACAAAGCAAAAGTTGTGTTTCTGCGGGTACCATCGCGATGCTCCAACTTAACCATGTACTCTGTCCTTGATGTTTTCAATTATCAAAAAAGATACTATTTCAATTTTTTTTCTGCCCGTTTGAAGCTTGAATAATTTATCAGTTAAGTTTGATCTACTCCCTTCAAAAGACTGTATAGTTGTTGTGTAACAACAAGGTGCATTGTCTAATAACTAATTCATCTCTTGCTGTCATTCTGTTACCTTCTATTTTTTTTATGCTCAAGATGATTTGTTAGTGCATTTAATATTCTTGATCTCATTTAATTAACTACACTGACTTCACTTTGTCTGCAGTGGTTTTCAAAATAAAATGTTGGATTCTTTTGTGTGGGGACTTCATGGTTGTTATGTTTCTCTTGGTAAAAAAATGTTCATCCAATTGAAAACAGAAGAAATATCTAAATTGCATTCTGCATTTTTCTTTCATTGTTTCTCTATGTTCTATTGGGTTCTTTTGTCATTTTATGCCAAATGTTATAGGGTTGTGTCTCATGCTATTTTATGTATGTCGAACTTTCTGAATTAATGTCTTCATTTACTGATTATTTGGAGAGTGTGGAAAATGATTAGGAGATTTTCTTGTCCTCAGCCTGCACTGATTGCATTTGATACAGCAACCTAAAAATTCCAATTAATATTTTTATTGTGGCTGTGTTTTGTATAATCAGAAGTAATACTTTATTCTCCATCAATTTCCATACTCTTGTAAATAGTTGTCTATTTATGCACATTGTAAAAGCTGCTAATCTTGTGGATCATGCTACAGCTTGTTTACATTTTTAAAATTTAACGCCAATTTTTGCTGCATAAGCTTTGAACTGTAGCAGTGTTTTAAAATTTACTTTGGTTGTATTCTTGTTAAGTTTTTTCAAGTTAAAGACTGCTCAGCTCTTGAGGCTCTCTAATTTATCTTCATCATAATAATTAAATTACATCTTGTCACAAGTTTGAAGCTGTAGCATGCTGGGAGGCAGCGGCTTTGCTTGGTTTTGCTTGGCTCGCTGTCTGCTGGGCTGTTGCTCACTTTCTGCTCACGTTTGCGCACCAGATGAAAGCACGTGGCCAGGCTCAGGGCAGTCGACGGTTCCGGGGTCGCAGACGTCTACGTCCCCTGACATTGGTAATGATATGTTTTTAACCACAGGCCCTCTGTACCTTTGCTTTTTAATTTTTTAAATATTATAAATCTCCTTTTTTATTGACTGGATTTTGTAGTGTTTGGTTTCTGTGCTGGCTATCAGCTTGTTTCCTTAGTGCTATATAATCTTTTATTTATACACTCATGCCTTAAGTACTTATAAAATGCTTCTTTGTGAACTGCCTATGTTTCAAAGCTTGCTGTAAATTAAGTAGGTGTTTTGTTGGTGTATTAACTCTAAAATCTGGCTTTAATCAAATATTCTCAATTTGTTCAGACCACTTTTGATCTTTTCCAGACTTAATTAGACCATTTTTTAAATTGATTGATTACTGATTCACGTTACTGTGAATTGTCTATCCTCTTTCAAGATTGCTCTCAGAGCATGATTTGAACTTTATGCCAGAGGATTGACCTTAAAATAACTTCTTGCTCCCATTTGTGCACGCAGTAACGGATTTTGTGGTTTTTCTTTGTTGTTTGTACTTTGAGTCTATGACACAGTATATGTTCCTGTTGAATTTGCATGTCTATTAAAATGTTCTTTAAAATGAAACTATCCATAGTTTTAGTGCATGCCAAAGTTTTGATTAGGGAATATTTTTTTTGAAATTACCTAACACTTTTCTCCATGAATTCTTCCTACAAGGTAGAAATTCCATACTGATTTTTTGCTTGGAAAATCTTGTTATTCTATGGTTGTAGTTGTGGAGGCAGTGTCACTCTTTAAATTTAGTGTCTTACTAGATTGACTTAAAGCACAATTTCTTTTCTTTTCTGTTGATGTAAATGATCTGGTGCTCACTGTGCTGATTTAATTGTTCCAGCCCCTCCAGGTGGACCTCCAGTGGCGCCTGCCGGTGCCGTTGGACCCCCCGCAGCAGGTGCACCTCCAGGAGGGCTGGTTCCTGCCAATCAGCCTAACCCTCCTCAACCTCCTGAACTGCCTAGTAAGGAATCTAAAGCTTCCATTGTGTTTTACATTCCTTCATGAATAAAATGTTAATCAATTCAACTTAATTTTCAGTGTTCAACTGCCCAAGGCGACCGAATTTAGGCCGAGATGGACGGACTATTGTGTTGCGTGCCAATCACTTCCAAGTCACAATGCCCAGAGGATACGTTCATCATTATGACATCAATATTCAACCTGACAAATGTCCTAGAAAAGTTAATCGAGAAATCATTGAAACTATGGTAAGGCTATAATAGTAATTTTTATTTAGAAATTCAGCTTTGATGATTTTATTACTCTATTTTACCATTGGTTTTTTCTTCAGGTACATGCTTACAGCAAGATATTTGGAACACTTAGGCCTGTCTTTGATGGCCGCAACAATTTGTACACAAGAGATCCTCTTCCAATTGGCAATGATAGAGTTGAACTAGAGGTAGCACTTTTATTTTAATGAAATTAATCATCACTCTTTGTTAGTGCAGATTTTTACCACAGTTTGTTTAACTTTCTGAAAATTCAGGTAACTTTACCGGGTGAAGGTAAAGATCGTGTATTCCGTGTTAACATCAAGTGGGTGGCACAAGTTTCCCTATTTGCGTTGGAGGAAGCTTTAGAAGGTCGCACAAGACAGATCCCATATGATGCCATATTGGTATGTTGATATCAAAGCTAACTTAGTGGGCTCTTCGTATTTCAGTTACAAGCTTACTCAAAAACACCTTCTTTTTTATTTCCAGGCTTTAGATGTTGTTATGAGGCACCTTCCATCAATGACATACACTCCAGTAGGAAGATCATTTTTCTCATCTCCTGATGGCTACTATCACCCTCTTGGTGGGGGTCGTGAGGTGTGGTTTGGTTTCCATCAGTCAGTGCGTCCAAGCCAGTGGAAAATGATGCTGAATATTGATGGTATTTACTTAGTCTTGTGTAGGATGGGCATGTTGTGTTTTCTTTTGGTAGCCAATTGGATTTTAATCAAATTTTCTAAATTTCAGTTTCTGCCACTGCATTTTACAAAGCTCAGCCTGTCATTGAGTTTATGTGTGAGGTCCTTGATATAAGAGATATCAATGAACAAAGAAAACCCTTGACTGACTCTCAGCGAGTGAAATTTACCAAAGAAATCAAGGGCCTGAAAATTGAGATCACTCATTGTGGTACTATGCGACGCAAGTACAGAGTATGCAATGTGACTCGCAGACCGTCTCAGATGCAATCGTAAGTTTGTTTGTCTTAAGCAATAATTTGTTTTTCAAATGTTGCAGTGAGAAATGTTTAATAATAAATTTTTGATTGATAGGTTCCCTTTGCAACTTGAAAATGGACAAACTGTGGAATGCACAGTTGCCAAATATTTCCTGGACAAATACAAAATGAAGCTACGCTACCCTCATCTTCCATGTCTTCAAGTCGGGCAAGAACACAAGCACACGTATCTTCCTCTTGAAGTGGGTATTTCTTCAATGTCTACGTTTGCCTTCGCTTTCATTTTATTGTACTGAAGTTTCAAATGCTTTCTCTTCCAATTTTTTAGGTGTGCAACATTGTTGCTGGTCAGCGCTGTATCAAGAAGCTTACTGATATGCAGACATCGACTATGATCAAGGCAACAGCAAGATCTGCTCCAGACAGAGAACGTGAAATCAACAACTTAGTCCGCAGAGCGGATTTCAACAATGATGCGTATGTTCAAGAGTTTGGTCTCACAATTTCCAATCACATGATGGAAGTTCGTGGTCGAGTTCTTGCTCCACCCAAGCTGCAGTATGGAGGCCGACCTTCTCAATCCTTGACTGGCCAAATTGGTGGACTCGGCATGGTGAGTTAACTTACTGTAACCAGAAAAAAATCTTAAGTCCAGTTTCAGTTTAAATTTCCTGGGAGCCAAGGCCCAAGTATGTATGTTATACTGTGAAACCTCTTTACGATGTAGAACTTCTAGTAAACACCTCAGCCCTCGTGATCTTTTTGTGGAGTTTTATTATATATTCTGTCCGTATGAAACTTTCTTATTGGGTCTCCATTGAAAATGGGCCATTGATCATTTCTTTGGGGCTCAGTTTAAAGCCCCAGCAGTTTAGTTTATTTTACTTTCCTGAAGCTTTTTTTTTTATCAATTTGAACCTGCATGTCTGTATCTTTTGTATGGTATTATGCGGTATAAGCTCAGTTGATGCTGTGAATTTCTGCGACTTCTCCTGAAGCAAAGAAATTAATTTAGAATGTTGTGACCAGCATGTAGTAGTGGAAGCTTGTCAATGTTTTTCATTGGTCAACCTATGTCATGTCATTTGCTGATCTTTAATTCAATGACTCCATGTATTAAATTTCCTTGCTTTGCTTGAGCTTTCTCAATGCTTTGATTATACTCATTGCTCTTGTTTTCTTCCAGTCGTCTTTTCAACTTAAAGTATTCTCTTTGAACTTCTATATTTCATTGATTGCACGTGTAGAAATGAACCCTTAGTAGTATTTTGACAAAGTACCAATTGCATCCTTTCTCTTAAAGTAAAAGAAACAATTACTTTCTTTGCTTGGGGGAGGTACGTAGCTTGGATGGCAAGAACAGTAAAGTCTCATTGCGCAGGCAAAACAACAGGCGCTTCCCATTCAAGGAGTTTGGGACATGCGTGGCAAGCAGTTCTACACAGGTGTGGAGATCCGAGTCTGGGCTATCGCTTGTTTCGCTCCTCAGCGAACAGTTCGTGAAGACGCTCTAAGGTTTTTATATGCTCTTTAAGGAAACATTGTCTTTAACTCAGTACTTTTAAAATATTAATCAAAATTTGCTTCTGATTTTCTACAGGCTTTTCACCACAAATCTTCAGAAAATTAGTAATGATGCTGGAATGCCCATCATCGGTCAACCTTGTTTCTGTAAGTTTTTCTGTTGTATTGTGTTTTGTTTTTCTCCTTTGTGTAGGCATGTCACTTTACTTAATGGCATTATGATTCCAGGCAAATATGCAACTGGTCCAGATCAAGTTGAACCCATGTTCAGATACTTGAAGACTACATTCCAGGCTCTTCAGTTGGTAGTTGTTGTCTTGCCTGGAAAAACGCCCGTTTATGGTAAGTGTAATTGTTACTCTATTGAGTGGGACATGTTAATTTGAGTACATTTTTGCTGATCTTGTTTCTCCTTGCAGCTGAAGTGAAACGAGTGGGAGACACAGTTATGGGCATGGCAACACAGTGTGTCCAAGCTAAGAATGTAAACAAAACATCTCCTCAAACTTTATCAAATTTATGCCTCAAGATCAATGTAAAGTTGGGTGGAATCAACAGTATCTTAGTGCCAAGCATTAGACCCAAAGTATTCAATGAGCCTGTTATATTCCTTGGGTCGGATGTAACTCATCCACCTGCAGGAGATAACAAGAAGCCTTCCATTGCTGCAGTTGTTGGCTCCATGGATGCTCATCCAAGTCGGTAAGGATTATTTCTGTTGGATAACCCTATCCCCATTCTGACTCTGACTTTTCTGTAAGAAGTGTTTATTAGTTGTCTTATTCTATTTGTTAAAATTTTAAATTTACTCGTCAGGTATGCTGCTACTGTTAGAGTTCAACAGCACCGTCAAGAAATCATACAAGAGCTGAGCTCCATGGTACGAGAACTTCTCATCATGTTTTACAAGAGCACTGGAGGATACAAACCTCATCGCATTATTCTGTATCGTGATGGAGTTTCGGAGGGGCAGTTCTTGGCTGTGCTCCAGCATGAACTGACTGCTATTAGAGAGGCTTGTATTAAATTGGAAGGAGACTACAAGCCTGGCATCACATTTATTGTTGTCCAGAAGAGGCACCACACTAGGTAATGTCTCCCTGTTGTACTTGATCTTCATGCTGCAAGTAGCTTGGGAAATCTGTAAGGTATAATAATTTGGTTTTGTTTACAGATTGTTCTGCTCTGACAAGAAAGACCAGTCTGGAAAGTCTGGCAACATTCCCGCCGGAACAACTGTTGATGTTGGTATAACACACCCTACTGAGTTTGACTTCTATTTATGCAGTCACCAGGGTATTCAAGTAAGTTTTGTGGTATGTTGTGCATGATAAGGTCTTCTTATAAGGGCTTTGCTGATTGCTTCAACCATTTTCTGCAGGGTACTAGCCGTCCAAGTCACTACCACGTGTTGTGGGATGACAACCACTTTGACTCAGATGAGCTCCAGTGCCTGACATACCAGTTGTGCCACACTTATGTGAGATGCACCCGTTCCGTTTCCATTCCTGCCCCAGCGTACTACGCTCACCTAGTAGCCTTCCGTGCACGGTACCATTTGGTAGAGAAGGAACACGACAGGTAACAAAATCTTTCTCTTGGTAATGCACTTTACTCCCGTCTCCTTTCATATTCCATGGACACTTGTTGATTTTCTGTTACAGTGGAGAAGGTTCACATCAATCAGGCTGCAGTGAAGATAGAACGCCTGGGGCCATGGCTCGAGCTATCACTGTACATGCAGACACAAAGAAGGTCATGTACTTTGCATAAATGTGTGTGACTGTTAATTTTAGAAATTCATATTCTATATTAACTTTGAAATATGACTCCATCATTGATGGAGATATGACTCCATCATTGATAGTCAAAGCCCTCCAAAAGAGGAGTCTAGTACCCCACAGAGCATGCAGATTAATATTATATATGTACATACCGTACCCCCATTTTTATTTCTTAATTGTTGTATGGCTTAGCCAAATGAATTAAACTGAGTTGTACCATATCTGACTTTGACAGTGACAATGCCGGGAAGTAATGTTTATTATGTAATTGTTTTTATTTAGTGCAGTTTATTTTATATCATTTATTGAAAAATGCTTAAAATAGGATTTTAAACATTTTCTTTTTTGTTGACTATGCCTTTTAAAAGGCAGACTGGTGGGACTTTGCAATCATACGCCCATCTCTAAAATCTAGTTTCTGTAATTTAGTGAACTATTCTTTCATCATTAGCCTTAATTTGTGTTCTTCAGTTTACCTAGGTAATGTCTTTTCCGAAATACAACACATATAGATCATATTTCATGTAGGGATTATACCATAAATTTGTGGAGGTAATTTGTAAGTTCTTTAACACCTTTCATGATTGGACACCATTGATATAAAATAAATAATTATTAAGGATGTTTGGGATGTATATTATTCTGATTTGGACACTGTACCTTCTGATGTACTGTACTGATGATATAAAAGGGCATTATTTTTTTTAGTACCTATTAAGAAATCTGACCGCAACATAATTGCAATTGTCAATGTACATGGGCAGGCATACGTAATCTTAAGGTCTACGTTAAGCTACATGCAGTTGCATATGATATGATTATAAATTTTAATGCTGCTCCAACCTGATGAATCTTTCTTTTACCTTTTTTTTCTTTGTTAAATAACAGATGTGTACATAATTGATAGATGTGCTACTTAGTTAATGTTAACAGTAGCTGTATGTTGTGCCACAGATCGCTGTATGTGGATATCTGTATCAACAATCAAAGCCCAAATGGGTGTTTTGTGTGTGTTTGTGGTCTCCACAGAGTTTATTTGCTTCTAATCATGTTTGACTCTCAGTTATTAGAAGGGTGTAGAAGCCCTATAGCTTCTTGTTTTTAAATTGGTCCTCGTAATCAATGGTACCGTATTTACTTAAACTCATGAGCCAGGGGTGCAGCTGCTTATTCCTCTTCATATTCATTGGTGAATCAATGCAGCATCTATAATTCAAGCTGTGGCTTGAAATTTGTGCGGACAAGCTTCTTGTAAAGCAGTTACCAGTATTTGATGTTTATTTATTTTTATGGATGCTTTGGTCAACCAATAAATCACTTGTCACTTTTTCATTTTTTTTTTAATGATTTGTCATTTTAATGTGTTCCTGCTTGCTTTGTGAAGCATTAGTAATCGCTATCAATGTATCCAACGATTTATATTCTTTTTGCTTTGTTCAATCTCTTGAGTTCATTCCAATTTAGCAATACTTAATCCATTCAGTTGTGTTTCTTTTTCCTTTGTTATTTGAAAGACAAACTCAAATCTGTTGAGATATGGTGTCTCATGCATCAAAGCACAGCCACGTCACTAATATGTTGCCTTGATTGTACCTGACTCGCTTGCCGTCTGTTGTCATCATTGAAGAACCAGATCTCATAACTCATAAGGTTCGCATGGATCAATTTCCAAGATCTTATATTCCCTCAGGATATTTTGAGTAAATACGGTATGTGTGCTGTCCTGAAGCCTTCTTAAGAATATCATCCTGTTTGTGTGTAACTTTGTGGCATTGGATAGTATCTTTTCTCTTTCTCAAGTACCTTGAACTAGTCTAAGACAAACAATGGTGAGCGCAATAGTTTTAGTTGTGAACTCAAGCTTTATGTTGAAGTGACAAATGAACTTAATATTGTTCCAGCCTGAGCTTTTGACATTATATTCTAAAGTTTTCTTCTTTTTTTGTTTGTTACTCCACACTCTACGTCCCCTCCAACTCCATTTTGTATATAAATGCATTTTTATCTGATGTTTTGTATGCCATTCTGTCCACCTTGATGTGCAATTCTTAGCAATTTTCCATTCTTGTTATGCCGTATGTTTGAGGCAACATTTAGAGTTGCATCAGATTATAGTTTATGCCGTTGAGACATAACAATAAATCTTAATAAATCGCATAATAAATGTAGTTACTGAAATCTTCTCTTCTTTTTTCTTCTTGAATGTATAAAGTTATGTTTGCCAACTGGTGGAAGATTCAACTCTCCCTGCAGTCACACTTAATTATGCAGTGACCATTGACAAGTATGATTAACCCCGTTGTTTTGGTGTTATGTACTCAAAGTGTTTCTTCAGAATTTCTATCTTTGGGAAAACCTTTGCATTTACTACAATTGTATCCGTCAGGTTATTTGTTTCCTTTTTCTCACAATAAGGGTCTCTTCTTGTCAGGGGTCTTGAGCTTCTGTTGCATTATTGGGTGTGGTTTATGTAGAGTGGTTTTATAGAAATGTGTGCATTTTATTCATTCTAGGGTGAGCTCAGCTTATAAATTACTTGTCAGTAGTGCAAACAATCTTATGTTGATGGTGGGAAAATGCAGTTTGATGCATTTGTCAGCTTCTTGTATTTTGTGGCCTTACCAGTAGCCTAAAATTTGTTACCAATAATTATACTTTTAAGGCCTTACTGATGAAATAGTATCTCCCTTTTCAATTTCTTCCCACACACCAATGCCTAGAGAACATTTACCGAAGGTTTTTTTAAACAAATTTCTGTTTTAAATTTAAAGACATTATTGTGAATTGAAAAATTCCCACTAAGCTCCTCAAAATGCTATCTTGGTATAGGGGCCAAACCAAAAGACGCATACTTAAATAAAATCACTATGATACCTTAATTCTGATCATTTTATTTATTGTTAAAAAGGCTACCTTGACAGTCCTAAACAAGTGTGTTCATTTCAGCCAATGTACCAGAGATATATTAATAAAAGAAAACGTTCACCTAAGGAACATTTTTACTCATTTATTTACTGTACCAGCACAAAAAGTATAAGAATTTCTTTTAGTTTAAGGTAGCTAAACAATCCAAGAAGTGAAATTACAGTTTCAGTCTCATTCTGTCTCATTTGAGAAAAAGTTTGCTGACCTCTGGCAAACTTAATACTGAAGAGAAATCCATCTCTCCTAATCTATGGATATTTATCAATCATGTACCAGACTTAGTACTTAATTAAATGACAATTGATGGAAACAATACAAACAGCTGGTCACTAAATCAGCTGCCCAAGAACAAACAAAACTCTCAATGCGCCTTGTTACACACAGGTACTGAATTAAGAAATGACACTATCCTAGCTTGCCGTCTACAAGACTGCATAGGATTTATTAACTCCTATTCATACGGTTGCCCCAACCGGTTCGATGAGTATCCTTGTAATCATCCCAGTTCCTTGCCTGAGCAAGCAATTCTGGGTCATCTGCTTCAACCTTCTCCTCCTTAGCAGCTGCCTCTTGCTCTGCAATCTGCTCCTTCAGGCCATCAGCCTCTTCAGCTGCCATATTTTGCATTGACTGGCCTTGCCCAGGAGGTTTCCATCTGCAAAGTACAAAAGCATTTAAACAGATAAATAATACTAATAGTCATCGATAAGTTCAAACTCTCCTATAAAACCTTTTTTGACAATAACAAAATCCGTTTGCTCAACTTACATGCCATCATTTATACGCTGTTCATAAAATTCTTGAACTGTCATTGTAGGAAGAGATGGGTAACCAGCACCAAAGACTCTCTTTTGAACTTCATCTTTTGTTATGATGACAGGCATAAGGGGACGTCTTGGAGTATACTTTGGTCTTTTTTCCCTTTCATGCTCATCCTCTGATTTGCCCAATGCCTCTTGTTTTTTCAGCTGCAGTAATTAAATAGTGATAAATAATGTAACAGTAACAATATAACAAAAAAAGTATCAAAAGGACATACATTAGCTCTATGTGCTAGAAGTGGTTTTTCAGAATCAAGACAGCTCAATTCATCCAAAGCTTGACTTGCAAATGATTTACACATGGTAAGGAAATAATTTCGCTTAATATCCTCATCAACTGTCTCATTTTCCATTGCCTTACGAAGAGTTTGCATCTGGCTCTCAAGCTCTTTTTGTTGCTTAAACCTGCAAATGATTCATAAATATTGCACAATCCCAAGACAGTTTAAAGTGTTAGTGCATTGCGGAAGAATACCTTTCAATTTTGGCAAATCGTTGTCTGGCCATGGCTGCTACATCCATGCCTCTGTTGGTATGCATAGCATTAACCATATCAGTGGCTGAATCTTCATCTGGAATCTCAACAGCAGGTGGAATTTCTATATCTGCCACACCATAATCTTTCACTCTTTGCAGAAAGTCACGGAAGTATACTTCAGCTGTTGTTATTACTTCAAGACGATCCGCAACACATAACTTTAAAGATAATGTACCCAACAACGCTGGCATTAAGAAATATTTTATATTGCTGGTAGGAACTTCCTCGACACTTTCATTTGATGAAAATATTCCAGCTAAAGAGACTAATCGTGTAGCATCTTCGAGTAAGTGCATACACTTTTTGATCTCTGCCTGAAAACATAACACATAGAGCAATGAATTAATACAATTACGAATAAGGACAGACATCACAAAAAAAGCATTTACAATGAATGAGCAAAGTATGAAGTGAAGACGTTGACAGCTCATAATGGAGGTTAAGTTGACAGTGTCAGATAAATAATAGGTACAGTGCCTCTAAAGAGAACAAGCACTATTAACAAATCTACTGCCAAAATAATGCTTAATCAGAATCTTACAACCTCTTTCAAATGTGTGATGTCATGAGTTAGGCTCATTTGAGTTCATTTGAGAGTAAATAGACAATTTTTAATTTATCGTCCTACCTGTACATTAGAACTATTGGTCGCTTCATCTGTCTTTGAAACTCTATTAAATAAGTCCAACCCTTCATCAAATATATCGGATAATTTCCTATTTTCGTCCTCTGCTGCCATCGTTGTTTGTGTCTGTTCTCACTAAAGGACACAGACGCACACCAACACAAACACACACACACACACACACACACACACATCCACTCCCCTCCCCCCTCGTGAGTTCAATGCTACCAAGCTCGCGGCACAAAAAAGCGTAAAGTCATATTTATCGACAAACTTAAAATGGCCCAAATCAAAGGCTGTCAAGCTCCATAAGACTCCCTAATGATTCCTGACACTACTTCGAGGATCATTTATCGGTCCTACAGCGTCTTTCCCAGCAAAAATAAGGAAATATTAATGCATGCGCCCGACAGGTAGGCAACACATCATCCACATTTTGGAATACTTAGAACATGCGCCGCGTAGGTAGGCAACCCATCGAGCACAACTTCTTCAACTTAACCAGCTGCACGGGAAAGATCATTTCCACGCCGAATAGAATGCGTTAAGGGCCATTGGGCACCGGGCATCTGTTTCTTAGACCCATGAGAGGGTTCCATATCAACTTTAGACAGATCGGAGGGGGTCGACCATTTTCGTCGAAAAAATGTTAAGCCTATACATCATAGTTTTTTCAGTTTTTGGGCCATGCAATGAAATTCGACCAAATTCGAGTATGTTGTGCTGGGGCACCCCCTCGTGACTCCTGACACTATTTCAAGGGCCATATGGGCCCGAAACAGTCTCTTTCTGGCGAAAAACTGGAAGTTTTTGAGCTTGCGCCGCGAGGTAGGCAACCCACCGTCTGCAGCTTCTTCAACTCATCAAGCGTCACGTGAAAAGTCATTTCCACGCCAAATAAAATGCGTTAAGGGCCATTGGGCAACTCGGAGATGGTCGACCATTTTCATCGAAAAAAGCTAAGGCTTATACATCATGGAGTGGAATGGCTGAGAAGTAGTAAAGGAATTGGAGTTTAGCAGGAATAAACATATATTCATTTTTATTAATTGTTTTATTCGGCAAAAGGGAAAAAATATAAATAAGGAGGGCAGGGGTCCAAGAATTTCTTTCTTTAAATTAGAAAAATTAATTTTAAAATACTGAATCATACATAACAAGAGCACCATGCAAGTTTACAATAAATTATTATCATGGTTGGATGTTAGGATACTTAAAAATTGCTTTGCCTTCTATGCACTTTTGCTAAGTTTACTGTTTCCCAATAACTTTTAGTTTGAATAAAAATTCATTGAGTCAAATCCCTAAAAGAAACAAACATTAATCATCGCTTGTAGCAATGCAGTAACAACAACTTAAATAAAAGAAATGCTTGACTGGAGAGTTATGTGTTCACTGAACATATCACATGTAACTCCATCATGTCTAATATCAGACAAACTCTACCCTAATCAAAGGAATGAAATTTGGATGGCATCTTTCTATTCATAATAACTCATTAATTTGTGTTGGAAGACTTCTTTCTTATACACAGTAGGTTAATGTATGTCATTCCCAAACAAGCAAATTACACGTTTCTAAAGCATTGGATGATAAAACACATCTTATTGTTCATATTATTGTTTATAATCAATAGATTTTTTTAACCTACCATCAATTGATAAAACCTATTTCACCCATCATAAATAAATTCACAGATGAATGGGGCAGCTTCAAAATAATTAAGCTATCCTCTTTCATACCATGCTGATTCTGGGTAATGTTCAACAACAACAACAATAACAACAAAAACTTACACAATAATAAAATTTAAATTACAAAGGAAATCATAATGAGCATCACATGTTTCAAGTATGGCTTCATGTTTCTAAATGTTTCTAAAGCAAAAATAAAATACTATCAATCAAGTAACACTCTAAAATCTCTTTCGTACAGAGAAACAAAGAAAATCTAAAACTCGGGGGTACAAATCTTATCGTCATCTGACTCTGGCTAAAAAAAATCCTGGCTACAGTAATCACATTACATTCCTAAACGTTGACTAACACGAGTAAACCTACTTGGCTCCTAGGCCACATTAGAATCAGTCGTCTTCGTTCGCAGAGGCTGTCCCGAGGGCTGTCCTGCACATCAGATCCTTGATTTCCCGACCACGGCCTCGCGGCCTAGTTCAGGGACCCAGACCCAGGGAGGACCCGGTACGCGAACATGGCCAGCCGTCTGTCGGCGTCCTGGTCGCGGCCAGGCGCCCCCTGGGCGTGCTACCGCTAACTGGAGCCGTGAGGGGGGACGCCCACCACGACCAGGTTGCCGTCGCGCAGGGGCAGCAGCAGGTGCGTGTTGGACGGCGTCACCATGATGGTCTGCACGGGCACGTGCAGCGGCACGTCGTAGATCGGCCGCAGGCTGCGGGAACGGCGGGAACAGGCACCGCGGTCAGGCCAGGCAACACACCAAAACTTGAAACACTCGGCAAACACTAAATACAACGCTTACCCGTAGAGCCTGCTGATGGTGAGGTCGCCCGCGTCGTCCACCACCACCACGTTCTCGCCGACAGTCACCAGTCCAGTCACCCGACCAGACACGTACTTGCTGCCCAGGTGCACGCCGTTGACACTGTACACGTGCACCGAGTTGCTGGCCTGCAAGGAGAGCAAACAATGTACTTGGCGTCTTTCCGGTTGGGCACGTTGGCACGTCTTAGCAAAAGCGAACGCGCGGGTTCCGCACCTGGTCGTTGGCGGTGAACGCTATGTGGCCCAGGTGGGACAGGGTGAGGAAGGCGATCTCGGCCTGCGGGTCGACGCAGCCGACGGGGTGCAGGGTGCGCAGGTACTGCCCCTCGCGGATGGTGTGCACGTTGACGGTGCCGTCCTGTGGAAGCGAGAGTGTTAGTAGCGGCCAGCCGCACAGCGCACCTCAGCGCCAACAAACCACGCGCTTACCGACGAGCCCGACACCACCATGTCCAACTCGGTCATGATGGCGACGCAGGTGACGGCCGAGTCGTGGCCGTACAGCGTCTGGATGGGCTTGGGGGCGGCGGGGTTCGAGGGGCCTCCCCCGGCCGCGGGCGTCGTGCCGCCAGTGACGACGGTCAGGGCGCCGATACCGCCGCCGAGGCCGGCGTCTGCAGCGCCGCCGCCGCCGGCGAGGTCCCAGACGACGCAGGTGGTGTCCCGAGAGCCCGTCACCAGGAACCAGCCGCAGCGGTCCAGCGCCACGCAGGTGACGAGGTCTGCAAGCCGAAACGTGGCGGTCAACAACCAGCGCTACACTGCGCAGAGGGGTTCGTCGGCGAGCTCGATTCGCACCGAAGTGGCGGACCACGGAGAAGAGGGGCTTGGCCCTGGCGATGCTCCAGCCGCGCAGACTGCAGTCCCAGTGGCCGCCGCTGACGAGCACCTTGCCGTCGTGGCTCACGCAGAACAGGTGCGAGCTGGCGGGCACGGCGGGGTGCGGCGGCGCGGGCAGCTTCTTGCGAGTCCTGCAACACGGGGAGCGGAGTGGTGAGGAGGCCCGAGGGTCGCCTACCGCCTCGGCGCGACGCCACGACGCTCCAGCACACTGGTGGGGGACTTACTTGACGTTGCCGACGGAGGGGTCCACGTCGAAGGTGAACCCGCGCGGCGAGTGGCGGTCGACGGCCAACCAGGAGTGCACGCCCACCACGCCTGACCTGGTGACGGTGACGACCAGGTCGGGCAGCGCGGGGGCCAGGAAGTTCCGTGGCTGGGCCCTCGGCTGCGAGATGAAGGCCACGGGGTCCCGGTCCGCCGTCAGCTGCAACAAGCACAGGGTCAGCATTTCCCGACAGCGTTTTGCCGCCTGCGAACTCAAGGATAGGCAACCCTCCGCCCGCGTGGTCGAGGGTAGGCCACCAGGCGAACAGCCAGACGACAGTTGCTGCTCACCTCCATGATGGTGAAGGGGCGGATCTTGTCCAGGTGCTGGGTGAGGTCCGGGCGCAGCTGCCGCGAGGCGGACTCGGACAGGGGCAGCCGCTGGGGGTGGGGGTCGCGCAGCAGCTGGCACGGCGTCTGCCCGAAGTTGTTGATCATGCCCTCCATGGCCTCCCTCTCCACGGCGCTCTTCAGCGCGTCCAGGTCCACGGCACCCTCGTAGCTGCACGCAAAGGGAGGAGCGTTACTTTCAACTCACGCCATAAAATTGTTTTTAGGTTCACCCGTAAGCCGCTTGCTTCTGAGTGCTCTGAGCATTAATCCATCGCACGCACCTGCAGTAGTAGAACACGTTGAGGGCTTCGACTGCCTTCGCGCCCTTTTGCTTGTAGCCAAAGATGAGGTCAATCCACTCGTGTAGGTGCGCCGAGACGTACTCACATTCCTGTAAATGGAAATCAATCGTAACGCACCACGGACAGAATCGTGTCGAGCCGCGGGGCAGTGCCCCTTCGTCTTACCAGAGCTCTCCGGTGCTTGAAGATGAAGTCCTCGGGGCTGCTGGCCCACGGAGGCAGGATGACGTCATTGACGCGTTCCTTCGTGCCTTGCAGCAAGCCCAGGTCAAACCTGAAACGACATTCATCGTGACGTTGTTGTGTACAGTGTACTCCGCACACCCAAGGCGAGGTCACCAACGGCGCTCACCCGTTGAGGTTCTTGAGGAACTCGGGGAAGTAGAAGAACTCCGGCGTGAGCTCCTTGACGTCGTTGGGGTTGTCCATGAGCAGCTTCCAGGTCTGGGGGATGGAGTGGAACTGGCGGTCGGCCACGTCGAAGCGGCCGCTCTGCAGCTCGATGTGCAGCGAGGTGAAGGGCTCCACCCTGACCAGGTAGTGCAGCACGCCCGCGCTGTTGGAGTAGTGCGTGCCGTAGTGGAACTTGGCGATCACGCCTGGAGGGAACACAATCGCACTTCGTCAAGCTCACCGTCGACGCTCCGCCTACTCATCGCAGTTGTTGCGGCCTACCTGACGGATCTTCGAAGTTGTCGTACTTGGCCTTGACCTCGGCCACGTTCTTGGGGTTGACGACGCCGATGGGCTTCGAGAGGTCCCGGAAGGTGGCGGGGTTCTCGAGGTCCAGCTCCTTGGAGGTGTAGTCCGCCAGGATCCACGGGAACACGGGGTACTGCGACAGGTCGTTGTACGACCGGCCGGCGATCGTGTTGAGCTGCAACGAGCAAAAGGTATTTTTTTAAAAGAGTCGTGCGACCGGTCTGCGATAAAAAAGGTTCCACTGCACAAACCTGCATGAGGTAGTCAAAGTTTGAGATTTCGCGGTTGACCCACTTCTGAGTGAGTCCGGACGCACGCAGCATTTCTGCCGGGGATCGGCTGCTCGACAGAATGAGGTTCGGCGGTCGCAGCCCCAGGATCCTGGAGTACACCTTGTTACGCGTCTGCGGGGAAGAGAGAGACTTGGAATGAAACGCGTGGCAGCTTGCATGTAGCGCCGAACTGGCTGCGCCGAGTGCACACCTTGGGCGTGAAGTTCAAGAAGTAGTTGGTCTGGTCCATGAGGAAAAACTCGAGCGCGCTGCGCCGGAGGTTGTACCGCCTGAGATGCACTTCCCGTAGTCTCGAGAGCGGCCACTGCGAAGCAATCGTTAGTTTTCAAAACTTTCAAAACGAAACAAAATGCGTTTTCTGTTAGGCGGCGGCGTGGCCGTACTTTGAAGTCCTGGCGCTCGCCGTCCTCCTGCAGGGGGCTGAGGTCGTGGAAGCTGGCGTGCGAGGTGGTGAGGTCCAGCTTGCCCCTCACCGACGTCATCAGCGTCACCAGCTCGCACTCCTGCGACAGCACCAGCTTCTCCTCCCGGGTCACCTCCTCAGCCGGCTCCGGCCTGCACACACGGAACGGCGTTACGGTCACCGAAATCAAAATTAGCTGGCGGGAAGTTTTGCCGAAACACTTACTCCGACAGCAGCGAGCGCAGGTCCTCCTCCGGCAACGCGTCGTCGTCCAGCTCCGCGCGCACGGCGGCCGACCAGGACGACAGGGACAGCGGGGTCTCCGACGAGCGCCGCCGCGACAGCCAGCCTGCCGACACCAAGGAAAGCGTCAGCGTCGTCCGGGGGTCCACTAGGGCCGCGGAGTCTCCAGTGGCGGTAGAGCGCGCTAGCGGCGGTCGCAGTGGAGTGTCAGATCGAAACAACTTTCTGTTTTGGCTTTGGGAGGCCTGGAGAAGCTTCGGTGTACAGCAGCGAAGGAGACAAACCAGAAGTGAGTCTACAGAGTTGAAGAAAATGCTACTTTTCTAAGACAGCATTACAAAAGAGGCCTAGTTCAAGCGGTAAACTAGCGCTAATTTACATGACGACAGCTCGCAAAATCTCGTAAGCTCACGGACACTTGGCATGAGTAAACACTATTTTCGATCGATGGAATGTTTCTTTGTGATTGTTTTTGCGTTGTCTCAAAGCTGAAGCGACTACAGCAGTGTAACCGGGGCCGCGACACCTTACTCACCTACACTGTCGCGCTTAACGTTGGCTGCGTGGCAAGCGAACACACAAGAGTCATGAATGAAACAAGGCCGGAGGGGGGCGTCCCCCCACGGAAAAGCTGGGAGAGATGGAATCATGCCGCAAGCTGCACTGCAATGCACTGCAATGCACTGCGATGCACTGCAATGCAAGGCACTGCAACCCCGTGGTCGCCAGTGGCCTTTCCGTGGGGGTCCACCCGCATGGTATGACGTAGGCGAAGATAGAGAAGTGCCAGAGGAAGGAGGAGAGCCGAGGAGAGCACAGGGCAGAAGAGGAGGAAGGCGGTCGCCTCAGACCGCGACTAAATCGCTCGCTTGCATCACGAGGCGTTCATCAAGGGGCAATTTGGGGATGCATGGTTGGTCGCGGAATGGACGCGGGTGGATGGGCATGAGACCTACGAGACGACAGTTGGCATGCATGACGCGATTCGAACCGAGTTAGTGCATTCCAGAGAAGAAAAGAGGGAACTAGTTTTTGTTGGCGACGAGTTTTCTTCCGACTGTTCCTGTTGCGCTCGCGGGCGTAGCGAGTATCTGATAAGCTTTTGAAACTAGTTTGCTGTTTTTTTCCAGTGATCAGGATTGACATGTTTCTTCTTTCTTTCTTTTTATGTATTAAGTGTGGGCGGTTGTAGAGTTTTTCGATGTCCATTAAAAGGTGCAACAGTGAAGCCCCTCAACACACCTGTGTTGTCCCTCAGGTTGCTGGCGTCAGTGTGGCGGTTGAAGGCCAGGCTGGGGCACAGCTTTAGCCGCATGCGGGAGAAGTTCTCGTGGTGGGACAGCTTCCAGTGTCGCTCCTCCGGAGTCCTGCAACAAGCAACGCGACAGCTTTAATTTACCGCTCCGCACTTTTCACTTTCATGGTCGTGTTGCCCTCTACCTGGGCGGTTTAGAATACAGTTTTGTTTTTCATTTTGTCAATGATGTGGTGGAGGGTAAGGGAGGGTGTAATGAGGAAATGCGTAAGTTCACGTTGCGAACAGTTTCTTATTCAAATTAATACATTCAACATTTTGACAGGAGTAAATACATCTTGAGCATGGATCATTTCCAGACAGGTACAAAAGACTTGGCTGCGTCGCTGCGTGGCGCCACAGCGTGCAGCTGCCACTGGTCGGCCGCCTCGGCCGCGATGACGATGATGTTGGAGTGAGCGAGATGTGGCGAGTGCGGCGGCGGAGTGGCCAGGACGATGACTGGTTCAGACGACGACGGCGGGCGCGGCCTTGATGATGGGGGCGGCGACGGGAAGGTCCCTCTGGACGACGGCGTTGAAGCCGTTGAGGGGGTCGGCGTAGTAGTTGACGGTGCGGCGGACGCCGTCGGGCTCGATGAGGGAGTAGGAGCCGCGGACGACGTCGCCCTCGCGGGTCTCCTCCTGCGCCTTCGAGTCGCCGGTGAACGAGTCCTGCGGCAGGGCGGCCCGTTCAGAAAAAAGGCACACATGAACGGCAAAGAGGCCCGTCGCGGTTCTCACACTCACCTGCACGTTGTAGGCGTACTGGTACTGCGGGTAGGCGTCGGCGTAGTCCAGGGCCTTCACTTTGGCCACGACGGGGGCGGGCGCCAGGACGGGGGCGGGGGCCAGGATGGGGGCGGGGGCCACGGCGCGCGCCAGCAGCGGCGCGGGCGCGAACCCGGGGAAGGCGCTGTAGGCCAGGGGCGCGGGCACCAGGCCGCCCTGGGCCAGCCCCAGCACGACGGCCACCGCGCACAGCGAGACCAGCACCCTCTGGCGGAAAAGACGGCAAGCTTGCAGGGGCACGCCAAGCCAGCACGGCATACTAACGCCCCCAGTGGAAAATCGGGGTCAACGAGGCACGGTGGAGGTAATCCGTCGGCGAAACGAGGTAATCCAGCGAGACGGGTAATCCACAGGCGGCGTAGTCACTCAGGTAATCCACTGGAGGGCGCGTTCAACGCGTGGCCGGAATAACGCACGGCCAACTGCACTCACCCTGGAAAGAGCCATGACGAGCTTGGGGAAGTGCTGAAGACACTGAGGGTCGCAAGGTGCGAACTGACGGTCTGCCGGCCCGGTGCGGGTATATATACGACGACCGCCTCGTTGTCATGTGGGGGTGGCCGATGGACACACGCCCCTCCAAAAGACGCACAGACACACACACAGACACACACGCGTGTGGTGACACAGCCGTGCGTGCACGCCTAAGGATTCGTCCTCGCACGGTCCGCCCGTCCGTCTTCGCGGGGCCCTCCACCGCGTGCTGCCACACTGCCCAGCCCCGCGCCCCGCCCGCTCCGAGACCCCCTGGGCGCCACGGGGACGCAGCCCAGGCCCAGCCCGCTGCAGCAGGGACTGCCGATTCCAATTTGAAACTGGCGCGCCGTCAACGAGGCAATAGAGACGCCCGACGCGCCGCCGCGCGCGCTGTTGCGGCCACTGCGCCTAAACGGTGGGCGCGGGGTGCGCGTGACTTGGCGCGCCAATCCTGAGATTCCTCCGTCGCTCTGTCCCTCTCGCACCCCGACGGCACGCCCCACGGGTGCGAGAGAGAGACGGCACTGGAATCAGCTTGCGGCGCGAGGCGCGACGCGTGCTGGGGGTTTCTCCAAACGGCCGGGCCATGCGCCGAGCCACGCCGCGCCGCATTGGGGGGTCGGACGGGCCGGGCCGCGACGGCAGTGTAGGGCCGCCGTCAAAATGTGTATCACTGTGGTGGACTCCATGTCACACCGACATGCCTGTGGTGGCCCATCCGTCTGGAATGTAAGGATGTTCAAGAGTGTCCTAAAGGAAGGAATTGTTCTTGTATCAAAAACCAAAGAATACAACTGGGGTAACTGTCATCCTCCAAGGCCGCCGTCGTCGTCTCGACGACATCGCCCTCCAACACTCATAACTCCCAGGCCGTGGCGGATGTCACCGATGTCACTACGCAATCCATTCGCTTATCGACTGTCGAATCTGTCGCCGGCGGGGATTGGCCAACGCGTGCCAACAGGATTCCGCCATTTCCCGCGCGCCGTGACGCACCGTGCCGTGCCGTGCCGCGCAGGGCGATTGGAAAGCGATGGCCATTTCACGGGACGTGCAACGCACCGCGCCGTGCGCCGCGCAGCGCGTCACGCTAACTCGCCGTCACGAGTCGGGCAGTCGGGTCAAGGTGCAGGACGACACCGTCGAGCTCCAGATCCAGCAAACGACGCGGCGCGGCGGGCGGGTTGCCTACGCCACCTTTAGCATTGCCATTAGAGGCTCCCTGCAGCGCCTCCGCGCCGCGCACGCACGGCACGTGCTGACGGCGACCTCCGGCGTCTGGCCAGGTCGGGCGACCAAACGGCGGCTGGGCGACGGCTGGGCCCGGGCCCGCGTTGCGGCACTTGGCGCTGGCCCGACTGGGACATGGCGCAGGAGGGGGCGGCAAGCAGCGCGGCCAGCACGCCGTGGAAAACGAAATTAGCTGCCTCCGCCCCGCGGCGGATGGCACCGTCCAGGAACGGAGCCTCCAGGACCGAGCCGGCGGTCGTCCCTTGACCTCGACGGCCTGCCCTTGCCGGCCGCGGTGGCGGCGGGCTGCCCCGGCCGTGAGGTAGGGCAGGGAGAGGCTCTCGATGTGGGAGACGGGCTTGTTGTAACAGGGAAGGGGCAGGGCTGCGGCCCGGCTGCGCCGCGTAACCTGCAGGCCCGGAGGCAGCCGGAGCCGCCACCGATCGACCGGAAAAATAGCCGTCCGCCACGCCGGGCAAGCGGGCAGCAACACGGTCGGCTGCCCCTGGAAAACGGCGCGCTGTTTTCCGGTCGAAATTGGGCGCCCCAATGGGCCGATCGGCTCCCCGCCACTGTAGGCACCCGACGCTATATAAGGCCGCGAAGGGCGTGACCCAGGACCACAGCCGCTGCTGCAGCACCGCCAGCAGCTCCGTCTCAACCACAGCGAACATGGAGTGCTCTGCGTGGCTGGTGAGCGCTAGCCGTCCCCGGGAGGGCTGAAGCAGTGCGGCGGGCGTGGGTTCGAGTCCCGGCGGGGCTGACTCGTTTTTGGGTGCGTAGGTGCCGCTGGCGGCGGCGCTGCTCGGGCTGGGCGCCGGCCCCTTCCAGTGTGCGGACGCCCTGGTGCCCAAGGCGTCGCGCCGCCAGTCCTACTCGGGCCACCACGGCGTCGGCGTCGGCCTGCCCGTCAGCCACCACCACCAGCAGCAGCGGCACCACGACGAGGAGCCCCAGGGCCACGGCGCCGAGGACCACGACGAGGACGGCAGCAAGGACCCCGCGCAGTACAGCTTCGGCTACTCGGTGCAGGTAAACATGGCATCCTTGGTCTCCGTCAGAGTCCGAGCCACCGTCCGGCCGCTCCCATGAGGAATCTGCTCGGCCACGGCGCCCTTCTATTCGACCGTCTGCGGACTGATTCCGAGAGTCGCGTCTCCTATTGGTGCGACAGAGACAGAGCGACGAAAGCGACTCTCGGAATCAGTCTGCTTCCCACGCGCGCCCTTCTACTGCCCGACTGTCTGCCTCGATGGCCCTTCCCTTCTCCTCGCGGCCGCCCTTCTGTCCGCCTGTCTGCCCACTGAGCGCTCTGTCTGCCCGGCCTGCCCCCAGGACGACGAGACGGGCGACTTGAAGAGCCAGCACGAGACTCGGCAGGGCGACGTGGTGTCCGGGCGGTACGCGCTGCGCGAGCCGGACGGCCGACTGCGCATCGTCACCTACACTGCGGACGCCGTCAACGGCTTCAACGCCGTGGTGCGCAACCAGGGCGAGCCCACGGCGGCGGGCTCGCACAACGCCAACCTCGCGGCCAAGGCGCCCGCCAGGAGGCTCTGACGGGCCGCGAGGCCGCCGGACCGGAGAACAACTGTGATTTTCTTAGAATAAGAAGATGGACTACTGTGCTTGTTTGTAGTGAGTCGTCTGACTTGTTTGTGATTTATACACTATATTTTTGCCTATTTCCGCGAGTTGACTCCCTACGTGTGTTTCTCGGAGCGGCCACCGCGACAACATCTCGCCGCCTGTCCACTGCAGGCGCACACTGCCCTACAGCCCTACTGCAGCACGGCTTCCTGGAGCTTGCATCAGATGGAAGGGGAGCACAGGGACACGCCAGATTAACGTGTAGGCACCTCGGCAAATGTTCGAGCGCGGACAACTCCACACAAGTGTCCCACGCACACATTCAAGGTCTAGCTCTGCCTCGGGACGGGGTGAATAAAAATAAACAGACTCTTCGGCGTCGCCGCCGAGACTCCCAACTGGTAGGAACATTTCGAAGTCTTTTATTTAAAGCTCTGTACAGTGGCGAGGTGCCGCGGCGACGGCGGTCAGTAGTGGTGGTACGGGTGGTGCGGGGGCTGGCGGTCCACCACGGCGTTGAAGCCGTTGACGTGGTCCGCCGTGTACTTGACGGTGCGGATGGTGCCGTCGGGCTCCACCAGCGAGTAGCTGCCCTTGACCACGTCGCCGTGCCGCGTCTCGTGCTGGCTCTTGGCGTCGCCGGTGTGCGCGTCCGACACCGAGTACCCGAAGCTGTACTCGGGCACCGAGTCGGGGTACACCTCGTGGGCGGCGTAGTGCACCGGCGCGGGGGCGTAGTGCACGGGGGCGGGGGCGTAGTACGGCGCGGGGGCGTAGTGCACGGGGCCGGGGCCCAGGCCGTGGCCCAGGCCGTAGTGGGGGCCGACGGGCACCACCCCGGCGCGCGCGGCGCCCACCAGCGCGGCCACCAACAGAGCCTGCATCAAGTGGCACAACAACAAACTCAATCAGCCGGGCCGCTTCGTCTGCTCCCAATCGTTGCCTGCAATTGCAGCGCTCACGGGGCGAGCAGCGCCGACAAGAACACGCGCATCACGACAAAGAGCGGAGCGGCGAGAGAGAGAGAGAGAGAGAGAGAGAGAGAGAGAGAGAGAGAGAGAGAGAGAGAGAGAGAGAGAGAGAGAGAGAGAGAGATTAGGGCAGAGCAGGCAGAGCAGCGTCGTCGCACGGTCATGCCCTTGTTATGAATTGCACCACGCGAGTGCAGGCCGCGGCGCAGGCCGCGGGGCCCGCAGGGACAGAGCGTGGGAACGGCTGGAGGAGCGGCAGGAGTGGGAGGATTAAGAGGCGCGCGAGAGAAAGAAACGCATAAATCAATCCAACAACGGCGGCGGCGGCGCGGCGTCTCGAGGCGCCTGCGAAGCACGGCATAGGCAGCACCGCACGACACCCGCGCGTCGAACCCGCGCGGATGCCTACCCTGCATTACCATTACCATTAAGGGCCAGACCACACATGATCGTATGCCATTTCGGGCCCGACTCATGCTCGCCTGCACTGCAAAACGAGACAAGGTCGTCCTTACTAGGGTGACACGTTATGCCGGCGGAGAAGAACCTCAGTTGGCTACAGGCGCCCTGCCCTGCAAGGCCCTGCAAGGCCCTGGAAGGCCCTGGAAGGGTGACCGGTGACCGAGAGCATTAGGATCAGCATGGCGGTGGCGTGTGGCAACCGCTGCGAGAGCACTGCGAGAGACAGGGATCGGAGCACGGCGACGACGCCGTCGTGCGTCCAACGGTCAGCCGCGGCGGTTGCGACAGGGCGTCGCCTCGGCGTCGCTTCGCCTCGCCTCGCACTGGGAAACGCCTGGAAAGTCACTGCCCGCGCGCCTCACCCGCACCGCAACAGCAGGGCTGCCAACGTGATCGACGAGGCTTAGCAGTCGCTGCAGTTCGACTCCAAGACACCAAGACTCAAAGAGCGATGAAGGGAACCACGTCGTAGCGTGGGTAAGGTTGGAAGCCATTTGCAAAGGAAAACAGTTACGAGAAGCCCAGGGAAGACATCATAAAAAGACCTACAGGCCTTTCTTGCAGACAGATCAACTGATCGATAATCAAACAAACAAATCAATCCACCAAAGGCACCAATGAAAGTCATTAATACATGCGTGCACACACAAAAAACAAACAAACAAACAAACAACACACACACACACACACTCACACGCACGCTTACTTTGGCGACGGCCATCCCGGTATGCTTGGAGGCGGCTGGGTCCTGGTCACGTTGCCTTGCCTAGTGCCGGGCTGCGGGGCCGGGCAGCCGTTATAAAGGCTCTGTGCGCCGTGCCGTGCCCTGCCTGCCCTGCCCCTTTCCTCCAGGCCGCTCCAGGCCGCTCCAGGCAGGCCCTGGAGCACAGACTCCTCCGCTGCACCAGCCACCCAGCCACCCCCACTAGGCCGGCGAGGCGCGGTGCGACGGGGAGCGCCAAGGCCAAACCACCAGGGAGACTTTTCCAGTGGTCAAAAAGTGATTTTATCTCCGAAAGTAGCCGTTTTGGCTGACTTCGGGCGGCCACTGCGTCCATTCTAGCTGCCGTCAAAGGCCCCTCTCAACGCCCTAGTATTGTTAAGACTCTACTCTTTCGTGCCCTGCCCCGGGAAGGCTTCGACCTCAACGATTTTAAGACCACGAGACTCACAAAGTCGGTCAAAAACTGGTTGAATCTCAAAAAGTATGATTGTGATGACGTTCGATTATGTTGATTATTTCACTGATTACCAACTAGACGTACACTGATTATCTCGAGTTGGTTACCCCTTGCTGGAGCGTCTAGAGTTTGGCCGCCTCCACCCGTCTTCTGGCCCACTGTGCCACAGTGACGAAAAGGAATAAAAGCAGAAAGGGACTCACGAGCCAGCAGCGCTAGGCAAGCGCAAGGCAGCGCCTAGCGGCCCGTGAGAGCGCGCGCGCCGCGCGGCTTTAGAGGCTTAGCGATACAATGGCGTCTCACTTTACTTTTCGTCAGATAGCCGCAAAATTCAGGAGCGTTGTTCTTGTTGCTGCACACGTGGTGCACACGTGAAGCGGACTGCAGCGTCCACGCTCTCACGCAAAAGGGCGCGTTCAGCGGACTTCTTTCTCATTGTTTTAAAATTTTTCAATTCGAAAAAAAAAATACAATTTTTTTAAAACTGTAATTTTATTTTGCGAGCTGCACGGAGCTATCGAGAGTGGCGCCACGAGCAATAGTTGTGCTCCAAACAATATCCTTGGCGCCGGTACTGCCCGCTTGGCCCTTAGAGAGCGGACTCTCTCTCTCTCTCTCTCTCTCTCTCTCTCTCTCTCTCTCTCTCTCTCTCTCTCTCCCCTCGCAGCCCTGACGAGTGCGAGAGAGACAGACACGGGCCTTGCAGCGGCAATCCGATGCTGAGCGGTTCGTGGGCTCGGTGGGCGGCCACCGTCCTATCGCCATCATCTCGGCAATCGATTCCGCACTGGCAGAAGTGCAAACGCGGCGCAGTCTCTCTGGCTCTCTCGCACTCGTGGGCCGTTCCGTCGGTGCGCCAGAGGGGGATGAAGTGGTTCAAATCCGAAAAATCGTGATCGGCACCGCGGTGACGACCTACATGAGGGCCGTGCCGTTCTCCACCTGGCTGTCCGGTCATTGTCCTGGCTCGGCCAATTACCCACGTGGTCATTATGACCGGGGATATGAGAAATGGACCGTGCAGCTCGCCCCCCTCCCCTTTCCCCGTGGCCGAGTCGAGGGCGAACGGCCGATGGATTATGTTATGCAACGCCCTGGGCGAGCCCTAGGCGGGCCCTGGCAAGGTCAGCGCGGCCCTTTGCCGGCCGGGGTCGCCGCCAAACGATCCAGGGCACTGCTATCCTCTAATCCGGACCAGGAACCCGGAATGAGACCAAGTGTCCCACAGGACAGGCAGCGAGTGGCTTGCCTCAGCGCGGCACCTGAACACATCGACACAATGTCATGACTTGGCGCTGTCAACCCCAAGGGGCGCCCCAGTTACCAAAACAAAACAACCACAAAGAAAACTTAAAGAAAAGCGCCTTTTCAGGCGGTGTCCAGCGACGCGCCGCTACAGGCAGCATCCCCCTTTCGTACAAGAAAGCCGCCTGGAAGATACGCAAATCGCATTTCGCTCCGCGTTCATGGAGAAGAAAAGACATGGCGAGGATTTTGGCGCGGTAGGTAGCCTGTTCGAAATTCAGGGTGCTCCACTTGCTCGGGCACACTGTGCAGCAGCAGCAGCAGTCGAGGAGGGAGTCCCGGGTCTCGGCCAGGAAGGCGGTGGCTGCGAAATGCGGCGCGGCAGCGCAGCGCCATTGCCACTGTGAAATTCACGCCATTCGCCGCGCCACTGTAACTGTGTAACTTGCAGACGCGCCCGCAAACGACGTCGCCGCGGTGACACCATGCAGTGCATGCACACTGTAGGACAGTGCGCCAATTTCCAACTCCCGCCTACTACTGGGGCGCTCGGCCCAGCATACGATCAATAAGCATTGCGAAGTCAAGCGGCGCGCTCACTACCGCGAGCATTCCACACACACACACACACACACACACACACACACACACACACACACACACAACACACAACACACACACACAACACAAACACACACACACACACCGTGGTGGCGCCGGGTCAGATATTGGGTCGCGCGCTTCTGGGGGGAACTTTCTTTGATTGGCTGCATGTGAATTAATTTAAGAAGCCCGCCGAACGGCCTTGCAGTGGCGCGCCTTTGCGAGCCTGGCGCAACGACTGATCCATCTCCGGGCCAACAACAACAACAACAACAACTTGAAACAACGCGAACCCAATCGAAGCATTGGCGGCATGACAGCGAATTTCGGTCCCGACGGGACGACCCAAGGCCGGCAGTGGAACTCGACTGTTCTACAATCACCAGCACTGTCGAGTCGCACAGAAAAAAAACAACACAGCAACAGGAATATACAAACATTTTAAGAAATGGGACAGTGAGGCGATTGAGATGTGTGCGCCCATTGACGGAAAACGCAAAGCCTAACAAGACGGTAGGAGAGCAAAGGGTTTCCAGCTGGGCTTAAGGGCTGGATCTCGGCCCTAGGGCCCTTGGACCGCTCGCAGACAATTAAAGGCTTGTGCCACAGCCGACATGCCGGCCTGTTAGCTCGCTGTTAGCGACACTAACAATGCCGAATAGATTAACAAGTCTATCTTGTCATTCATTAGCCAGCCAGCCAAGCGCTCAAGCAGCCGCCCACACTGTTGGAGAGCAGCAAGTTGTAGTTGGCATTTTTGAAAGGTGTTACTGTTAAATCTGCTGGACAATAATTCAATGACTTTCCCATCACTCGTCATGGCGTCCTCAGGATAGCGCGTCGAGAGCTGAAGGTGCCCGTGCGCTCCAGAGGACTCCAGTGATCAGGGTCTAGCCCGTAGTGGTAATGGTAAAGGACTACAAAGGACTCCAGCCGCCCATCGCACGGCCGCGCAGGTTGGGTTGCCTGGCTGCACGGCGCACCCGACCCACGCCAGACGCTCTGCTCAGTGGCTACGCAGTTTAACTACGTTTTCAGCAAACACTTTGACCAAATGAGAAAAAAAAAATTTGCAGCTTTAAGTTAGCTGCTCGACCTTTCTCGTCCTTCACCCGCTGTCGCGGCCCCGCTCCAGTTTGAATCACAGTGACATCAGCAGACAAACGCGCTGGCAAAGGGGAGCGGCACTACTGCCGTCAAAACTCATTTGACAGTATTATCGAGCCTGGATCCGGCTGCCTGACTGATGTGCGACCGTCTCCAGGCTGACACATACACTGACCACACCGGACAGATCAACGCATAGCAGTGGGCAAACACAGAGACGCTCTCCGGACAGGCCGTGCCATACGCACGCAGCGTTCAAATCACGAACCAGGCCGCTCTGCAGAGCGAGCCAGAGCAAGCGTGGCGCGAAAAAGTGATTTTCTTTTCGCAGTGGAGGCGTACACGTGCGAAACGTACGGCAACAGATTGGGCTTCCGACACGCACGCCATGACGCGACCATACATTACGTGCTGCTGACCAGCGCCATGGGCCAGCCGGGGCCAGCAGCCCCCAGAAAACAGCAACAACAACAAACTGGCTGTGATAGGGACAAACACCGACGGCGTGGGCGACATGAATGTTACTCAGAGCGGCCAGAGCACCGCAGATGTTAAAGATAAATAATATTACCATCAACAGACTGCATTTTGTCGGAGGCGCAGCAAAAGTTTCCAAGGTTTGGAATACTAATCGGCGTCGTTTCCGTGTCGCTGCCCCAGGCCCCGCGCAAGAGGGCCCCAAGAGGGCCCCAAGACGCGCGAAGACGTTCGCTGCAGGCTGATTCCCAACGGGGGCTCTCGTCGGTCCGTCTCTCTCGCACCTACACGGGGCGCCCCATGAGTGCGAGAGAGAGGTCTGGCACTCCAGGAACCTGTTCCACCAAAGCCGCCAAAATGCAAACACGCCGAAACACGCTCCCTCCGCGTGTCGCTGCAGTCACCCGACCCGCAGTTAAATCGGGCCATAATTCAAAGCGAGGCGCAAACGAAAGGAAAAGTAAAAACTTTCGATGGCCGCGGCCAGGCCGGTCGGATGGCCCAGCCGGCCCAGCCAGTGGGCCCAGCACTCGCCGGGGGTTTGGTTCGATGCCCGCCTCGATATCGAGTTCGATATACTCGCTGCTCCCTCCGCCGACTGGACAGGAACAGCAGGGCGATAAAGGTGGTTTTTGTCGCGCCGCTCCACTGGCAAAAATGTAGCTTCGATTAATCGGCTGTAAAGATTGAGAAAAACAACAACAACAAAGCAGCGGATTCCCGCTGGGGATGAGCGCCGTGTGCGGCAGGGCCAGCCAGGCAGGGCTTCGATCCGAGTCGGTCCGGCAACGCCGCCTATGTCGCCTCTTCTCCCATTCGACCATTCGAGCCGCACGTGAGGGACCGGCCCTTTGTACGGACAGAGCAGCACGCCACTGCAAAGGGATTTTCAGGAAAAGGGGGAAATGGGGGATCGTGAAATCGGACGAGCAGAACAACAACAACAAGAGCAGCAGCAAGAAGCGCATCTCCGCCTCGCCGTGTTTTGCAGCGGAGTGGCCAGTGGGCAGTCCAGTCAGTGCCCCCGGGAACGGCCTTGCCAGGGCCCCGCCAGTGCCCCGCCAGGGCCCCGCCTCGCCTGCCGCGTTATTTGTGCAGATTGGAGGGACAGGGACCTGCCCATGCTCTGTCTCCGTCGCACGCACGGGGCGCCCTGTGAGATGCACCGCGGACACTCGACGAGCGCGAAAGTGTTTTTCGTCGGACGGATTTATTTTGAAACGAGGTGCGCGATAATTACGTAATGATAGCTTGGCGCCAGAAATAAAGAAGCTGCGATGTGCGAGAATAGAAAGAGAAGACCTGGAGCGATGCACCCGAGGAGCACTGCGAAAATAAAGAGCAGCAAAAACGATCAGTTTCAGTTGCATGTTGGACGGCGGGACAATTAAATTGCAGTCCATTCGATTTATCTTTTTTGACAGTGAGGGCGTCTTGTTTATCACATTTTGTTGAGCGCGCTGATCCAGTCCAAGGCGCAATCCGAGGAACTCGTCCCCGCTGAACTGTTTCCGAGACTGTCCTGAGGTCTTTACCCCCTCCCCCTCCTTTGTGTTTCCCTCCCTCTCTCTGCCAGAGGGCTCGCTGCAGGACGCGGTTGCTGCTGTTGCTCTTGTTGCGGCGCATCCCGGGTACAAAAGCGAGGCGCGGGGGTCCGTCCCTGACATTGCACTTGGATTACTTGCACACACACCATGCGGACCCTGGAGGTGAGCACAGCCGGCCAATTTCCCCTTGAAAAATGCAGCGCAGTCGAGTGACTTCTCAGACTCCAATCTATCACGCATGATTGCACGATGGTGCTGAGAAATTTCTCCGCATAGTGGAGGAAATGGTCGTTCGTTGTTCGAGTTACGTAGTCAAAGCCTTGCTGCAGGCGCTGCTCGTGGCGGCGCTGGTGGCGCTGGGCGCCGAGGCCCGCGCCGTGGCGCAGGAGGACGTCAAGGGCGTCAAGACGCTGCTGCAGGACGACGCCAACGACGACCCCTTCTTCGACCCCAACCCGCAGTACGACTTCGCCTACCGCATCCGCGACGAGGAGACCGGCGACGCCAAGGTACGTGATGAATGAATGAATGAATGAATGAATGAATGAATGAAAGGTGAATGATGAATGAATGGTGAGTGATTAATGAATGGTGAGTGGTTAATGAATTGTGAGTGATTAATGAATTGTGAGTGATTAATGAATAGTGAGTGATTAATGAAGAAGTGATTTAATAATACACCAATGAATGATCGATGACTAAAATACTGAGTGGTTGCATGAATGAATGAATGAATGATCAATGAATGAACGATATGAGATGAATGAATGATAATTAATAGACGAATACTGGATGAATGATGACGCAACTCAGTGAAATGGTAGGATGATTCGGCGAAAAATGGAGACACTGTTCATCACTAAATGATCAGATCATTGTCTAATGCGCGGGTCATTGCTGATGAATGAATGAGTCATCCTCCTTGGGAACGACGTTAGCGACGTCCGCGCCTCTTTTTGCGCGGGGCACCTTGACACTGGAAGCCATTGGCCAGGCATTGTGTCCGTGCGAACGTAGCTTCAGCCTGGCGTGCTGTTCGACAGGACCAGAGGGAGGAGCGTCGCGGGGACACCGTGCACGGCAGCTACTCCGTCGTGGACCCCGACGGCACGCTGCGCACCGTCCGCTACACGGCGGACGACGCCAACGGCTTCAACGCCGTCGTCTCCCTGGTGCCCGGCCACTCCAAGCCCATCGTGCCGGTCGTCAAGGCGGTCAAGCGCGTGCCCGTGGTCCACGTCGACGTGCCCGTGCCGGTGCAGCACCACGTCGTCCCCACCACGTCGCTCAACGTACGCCTATTACATTTCAATTTTTGCAAAGTTCAATCACAATTTTTCAGTTTGAAATTTCAACTTCAATTTTGATTTGTTTGGCAGTCTGGCAACAACCGGCGCGTGCTGGTGGAGCACCCCCAGCACCAGAGCGGCGCCCTGATGCACCAGCACCTGGTGCAGCCACCGCTGACGCTGGGGCAGTACCAGGACGTGCAGCACCTCATCCCGCAGGCCTTGCCGCAGCCCAGCTACCAGCTGCACCAGCTTCACCAGATCCCCGGCTCGGGCATCCACCACCAGATGGGCATCCCGCTCGTCCAGCTGCAGGACCAGGGCCTCATGAAGCAGGAGGTGATTTATCAGAGCGATTCGGCGCGCTGCCGCACTTAACGTTTTCCAGTGTGTAACCGACCCCCTCGTTGCAGATCGGCCTCCCACTGATGCAGCTGCAGCAGGAGCAGCCGGGACTGTCCCAGCAGGCGCAGGGCCTGCTGCAGCAGGGGCAGGCTCTACTTCAGCAGGAGCAGGGCCTTCTCAACCAGCAGGACCAGGGCACCTTGAACCAGCAGCAGGACCAGGGTCTCGGCAGCCAACAGCAGAACCAGGGCATCCTTAACCAGCAGCAGGATCAGGGTCTCCTCGGCCAGCAGCAGGACCAGGGTCTCCTCGGCCAACAGCAGGACCAGGGCATCTTGAACCAGCAGCAGGGCCAGGGCCTCCTTAACCAGCAGCAGGACCAGGGTCTGCTCGGCCAGCAGCAGGACACCATCGCGGAGCAGCCGGCCCAGCAGGCCGACGGTGGACTTGAGCAGCAGGTGGACCAGCAGCCCATCATCGACGAGCGGTTGGACAACAAACTGCAGCAGCAGGACGAGCCCCAGCCACAGGTTCGGCATTCCTCAAATCGCTGGCGCGAAATTAATTGCGGCGTGGATTATAAAGTGTTTTCGTTTTTCAGGTGATCGACGTACGTCACACAGTCCAATCCACCAACACCTTGATTCAGAGCCAGCCGCAGATCAAGCTACAGCCGGTTCAACCGCAGCTGAAGCAGCAGCCCCAGCAGCAAGTGCAACAGAGGGTTCAGCCACAGCTGAAGCAACAGCCCCAGCAAGTCCAACAGCAAGTCCAACCGCAGTTGAAGCAACAGCCGCAGCAAGTCCAGTTCAAGACTCAGCCCCAAGTGCAGCAGCCGCTGGTGCAGCAGTTGCGGTCGCTCGAGAGCGAGGAGCAGGTGCACCACCAGGTCCAGAGCCTGCAGCGGGCGCACCAGCAGCAGCTAGTGCAGCAGCAGCACATGCTGCAGCAGCTGCAGTCCTTCCCCCACCAGCGCACGCTGGCAGTGTACCGGACCAGCCTGCCGGCCGGCGGCCTGCGCGGCGCCAACTTCGTGCGCTTCAGCTCGCCCTACGCCCAGTACTCCATCAGCTAGCCGCCCCTGCCCCTCATGTAAATGCAAAGACTGACACACTGGCGCCGCGGTTGTCGCTCGCTCCGCGCGGGGCGCTGCGATCGCGGCGGTCGCATCCAATAAACCATCCGTTTCGAGAGCCGTGTCCGATTATTGCCGCACTCACCAAGGCCAAGGCCGCCAAGGCCGCGCACGTCCACTGCTTACCTGTAACACACGAAACGCATAATTGTTAGTGCGACAGGCTTTGTGGCGTGGAGGGTGATTCACCGGCAGAGATTGGCAGATCATCACGGGCAGGAGAGGCGGGGCGAGACGCTCGCGCAGTGTGGTACCTGCCTTCGCGAGAACCAATCAAGTCGCCCGGAGTTTTCGGCTCCGGCGGCGTGTCCTATGATTTCCATTCCATTCTGCCATTCAGGCAGTGCTTTTCATTCACGGGTATACAGGGATATAATAGAAAAAGGAGACAAAATACATTGAGTTTTCAAGTGATTTTTTTTTTTATTTTTAAATAGAAAAATCGTTGATTTTATTACAATGCAAGGGGATTCGCAAGGGACACATACAAAGCAGCTCGATCACACTCAGGAACATCGCACACTCCCAAAAATGTATTTACCTTCCACACTTATTTTTTTTAACACTGATGAAAAATTTTAACAGTTGAATACAATCAAACAGAACCGAGTACAGACGGGCAATTGGTTAACCTAGGCGGAGGAGGGACCGTACGAGTGGTCCTCCTGGGGAATGATCCCGAGAGACCTGAGCTGGTGCGGGTTGAGTCCACTGACGTCCGAGGGCGGGTAGCCCTGTGCGTACCCGCCGTACCCTCCGTACCCGCCGAGGCTCCGCGCCACCGAGGACGCCGTCGGTTGCACTCCCTGCTGGCCGGTGAGTCCGCGGTTGGTCACAGTGGGCTGGTAGCCGCGGTAGTTGAAGCCCACGCCCCTGCTCAGGGGTTGGTAGCCCTGCTGGTAGCTGAGGCCGTTCTGCTGGCCGTAGCCGAAGCCGCGTCCGGACTGGCCCAGCGCCTGCCCGTTGGCGAGGCCGGAGCCGTAGGGAGCGCCGCCCAGGCCAAGAAGGCCGCCGTCGGCCTGGGCGTTGACGCCGCCGTAGACGCCACGCTGCGCGAGCTGCTGCTGCTGGAGGAGTTGCTGTTGCTGGAGAAGCTGTTGCTGTTGAAGCAGTTGCTGCTGCAGCTGCTGAGGGTTGGCTTGGCTGCCGAAGACACCGCCGCCCAGGTTGAGGTCACTGAGGCCCAGGCCTTGGCCCAGGCCTTGGCCGCGCTGCGACACCAGGGGGTTGGACCCGTAACCGTTGAGGTAGCCTCCAGGCAGGCCACTGGCGGTCAGCCCATTGGCGTAGCCACCGACGGCGGGGTAGCCCAAGGCCCCGGTGGAGATGTCCCTTCCAGCGTACCCAGAGGGCAATCCCGAGGAGAGGTATCCGCTGGAGAGTCCGTTGGCGTAGCCGGGGTATGCGGCGGAGAGACCGTTGGAGTAACTGGGGTACGCTGAGCTCGTGGGGTATCCAGTGGCACCGGTAGGGTATCCAGAGGCGTAGCCGGCACCGAGGGGGTATCCAGCGGCGTAGCCAGCCACGCCACCGGGGTACGAGGCGCCCGAGGCGTAGCGAGTGGTGCCGACGGGGTAGCTAGAGGCGTACCCGCCGGGGTATGCGCTGGACGCGTAACCCCCGGCCAAGGGCGTCGCGAGGGGAACCCTGAGGCGTAACCACCGTTCAGGAACCTGGTGCCGCCGTTGACGGCCTGGCCCGTGACGCCGAGGGACTCTAGCGCCCGCTGCCTGGCGGAGGAGGCGGCCCTCTGCTGCAGGTTGGCGTCCAGGGAGTCGGCCAGGCCGACCACGCCCGAGCGCGCCTGAGCGGGGCCGCGGCGGAGCAGGTCCTCGGGGATGAGCGAGGCCGCGTTGACCGTCACGGCGTCCGTCGCGGCGTCCGGGACCACGCCGACGACGCCGGGCTGGACGACGGCGGGCTGGACCACGGCGGGCTGCACCACGGCGGGCTGCACCAGCACGGACTGCGGCGCGGCGACGCCGGGCGTGCGCTCCACCACGGCGTTGAAGCCGTGCACGGCGTCGGCGGTGTACTTGACGGTGCGCACGGCGCCGTCCGGCTCCACCAGCGAGTAGTGCCCCACCACGGTGTCGCCGTCGCGCTGCTCGCGCTGCGCCTTCGAGTCGCCGGTCAGGGCGTCGTTGACGGCGTACGAGAAGTCGTAGCGCGGGTGCGGGTCGAAGGCTGGGCGGCCACGGCGGCCACCTGAGGCTGCGGGCCGGCCGCGGCGGGCGATGCCAGCACGCCGAGCAGCAACGCGGACAACAACTGCGGGAACAACTCGGATAAACACAGGCTGGCTGCACTGAAAGTCGGGGAAGGCCGGCATGTACGAACCGTGAGGTGAGCCATGTTCGGGCCGCGGCTGTGTGGCAGTGTGCTCCCAAAAGTGGCGGGCGACGCTTTGGCGAGACGGGCCGGGACGCGACGCTTAAGTAACCTCGTGGATCTCCGACGGCGTCGCCACGGCGTCGCGACGCCCCCACTTTGTGTTCCCGGCGTACTACAACCATACGCACGCGGTGTATGACGGGTAATTGTGTTTGTGTGAGTGTGTGTGTCTGTGTGTTCCCCGCGTGGAATACAGAGGTGCGTCCCCCCGCCGCGCCACGCCGCGTCCAACAACGACCTCGTCATGTCCAGAGGACCGCGGCGGGCGTCGTCAGGAAGACGGGTAGCCTAGCGAGCCTAGTAGGTTAGTCCCGATTTCGAGTGTGAGTCAGAGCACGCACGCACACACACGCGGCTAGACACACACACGCTGGACACGTCGCGGGGAATGGTATCGGCGTATTCGAGTCGGCGCCACGAACAGCGGAAACGCGAGCACCGCTCCAAAAGGGACGCCAATTATCAGATTGCAGTTCGAGGCAGTCATTACGCTGATCAAGGTGCGCCAGCACTGAAAAACCAAACGTAGTCCAGACCACACCACTGGTGTGGTCAGATGGGTGCCATTTTGACCACATCAGTTGGTGAGGTCTAGACCACGTTTGATTTTGCAGTAAGAGAAGAACTCTCAAACTTCATTGCGATCCGCAGTTTGTTTTGAACCACTTCCTGAGCTGGGCTCCAGTGGCGGCGGCCACTGCTATTCTGACTCGCCGTCGCCTGTCCCTTAAAAAGGAAGGGCACAGGCAGGCACACTGGAGGCTCGGCTAGCCCGCAGGAATGCAGGTTGCAGCGGCGGGCCGGCCGGCTAAGCGATCTGAACTTGGCCTTGGCGTGGGGCAGGTCCCAAAGGGACGCGTCCGGAGCGACAGAGAAAACTCGTTCGTTTAGTATTCCCGTCACGGGCTCGCCCCGCCGCCCGGGAGACAACCCGCCATCTGCTGCTGGACCGCGCGCCACTTGCGGGGTTCTTCGGCCGAAGCTGCTGCGCCCGCGTCCCGCGCCGCCCCGCGCTCCCGCGCAGAACGCCGCGAGGACCCAGCCAATCGGAGCGCGCTCCGACGGCGGCAAAATTCAAACGGCGCGGGTTTCCCACGACGTCAATACTCCTAGGGTACTTAAATACTCCGTGCTCGCTTTGATGAGTGTGCTCCGCCTCTTTTATCAAACGACTAAAATCACAAGAAGAAAACTGTTTTAAACTGTTAGTCAAACTGTTGATTCGGAAGATCTCTCCCTTTGGTTTCGATCGGCTCACGTTAAGGAATCCCTACAAGGAGTAAGCCGGTCTCCCCGCTGCCTGACTTATATGGAGCGGTCGGACACCTTTCCTCTGCAGTCATTGTTTTGAAAGGCAGAGTGCGCGGCCACGCAGCATGCAGACAAGCGAGCTGCACACACAAAGCGCATTTTGCGTCATTTCGCCGAGCGTCCCAAACCAAGGCCCCTGCCGGTAGCGCTACGCGACGCGACGCGGGCAAACCAAATCAGGTCCTCCACGCGCAGTGTCGCGTCGCACCTTACGGCCAGGCGTGTCATTTTTGACGTGAACGAAGCGAGCCGACGAGCAGGAAGGAAGACAGACAGAGAGAGCTGTCGCCTTGTCCTTGTCCTCGCGTCGCTCCGCCAAGCGGCTCTGCTTCAAAAAGCACGGAGTGGTACAGTACAGTGTGGGCAGGACGGTGGACCGCGCGGCCACGCCGGGAAGGCAGGCAGCCCAACCGGCACGGCTGCCGGCGAGGTGGCGTCTGGAAAGAAGGACTCTCGCAGCAGTTTGGGTTTGGACCTTGAACGGACCCGTTTATTCAACCACAAGAGAGGCTAGGCTAGTTGCTGTACGAGTAGGCGGCGTGCGGGCCGTGGAACGAGGTGGTGCTGGTGCCGAAGCCGGGGTGGTAGCCCGCCCCGAAGGGCCGGTAGGGGCCACCCACCCCACCGTAGGCGCCGTGGCCCGCCGCGAAGGGGGCGGCGCCGTGCGCGGCGGCCGCGTTGGCGGCGGCCACGTTGGCGGCGGCCACGTTCACGGCGGCGGCGTGTGCCGCGACGGGCGCCACCACCGGGGCCACGTAGCCGGGGGCGCCGACGGGGGCGCCGGGGAAGTTCTGGACGATGGTGCCGCCCGCGCCGGACCGCTCCACGACGGCCGTGTAGCCGTGCGCGTCGTCGGCGGAGTAGCGCACCGTCAACAGCGAGCCGTCGGGCTCGGCCACGGAGTACTGGCCGCGCACCGCGTCGCCGTTGCGGCTCTCCTGGTGGTTCTTGTAGTCGCCCGTGCGAGGCTCCGCCACCCGGTAGTCGAAGCTGTACTGCGCCGGGTACGAGCCGAAGCCGCCGTCGTAGGCCGGGTTGTAGGCGCCGTTGTTGTACGCGCCGTTGTAGGCGCCGTTGTTGTAGCCGCCGTTGTAGTAGGCGCCGTTGTTGAAGGCGCCATGGTTGTAGGCGGGGGCGGCCAGGGCGGCGTGGAGCGCCACTGTGGACAGCAGGACCAGCTGCGCCAGCAGCAGCACGTTAAAAATCAAGATGCACCGCGAGGCGCCTGTCAAAGTGGGCATAGGCCGCGCCGCAGTACACCCGTGCGCCGCTTGGGCCGGATTGCCTACCCGCCAGGCGCTCGCGCGCGGAGCAAGAAGAAGCTACTGTACAATGCTCGCGGACGAGGCGAATAGAATGCAAATTCTCTACGAGATATCGAAGAAGATCCACGGCTGTGAGGCGCCAAGCGAGACCTCGAGCATTAGTCATTCCGAGGCGACCACTGTCCGCCCCCACACTAGCCCCTCCGACACCTCTCCCTCCCTCTCGCCCGCACTAATCGCGAACGGGCGTGCATGTGTTGGGCAAGGGGCGCCCATAACTCAGACAATATCACCCACTTCATGAAATCCCCGGGGCTCATCGGGGGCAGCGCGCGGTCTGGGGCGGCCTGGGGGCGGGCTTTGGCGTGCAGGTCAGCCAGGACCGCGATGGCCGATGGCGGACGCGATGATCTATCACGGCGCCAGCCCTCCGCGTCGTCAGCCTCGGCGTCGTCCTCTCGGCCACCAAAGGTCCCCGATGACGATCTGCCCCGCGAGTATGGGAAAGCGAGCCGCGAGGAAGACACTGATGGCCCTCGCGGCGTCGGTGGCGCATGGCCGCCGAGACCCTGACCGCCAAGCCCGCGGGTGCGAGCCACGCCCCGCCCCGCGCCACCTCATTGGCTAAGAAGGCCACCCAACACGACGCCTACGCCACTCAAATTGAACCCAACACTAAACTTCGCGAGACTAATGCTCCTAAATTAGTAGTGGTCAAGGCGTTTCCGAGGCGGGGCGTAAAAGAGTAAGGTCTTCAGAATACCAGGACGTTGAAGGAGCCCTTTAAAAATCAGCTGGACTGGACGCACTGATCACTCACTGAAGGTCAATAAAAACAGCTACTTTCAGAGATTCAGACGACCTCTCACATAATGCCGGGTATTTTTAAATTTTCACAAATATTCAAATATATTCCTCAATATATTTTTATTTTTTTTGTATTTGGAGATAGCCATGATATTCTCAATATTCAAAAGCATTCACGCATTTTCGTATTCTCTGTACGCGAAAAAAAAACAAGAAAAAAACGAGTGGCTACCCCTTGGCTTCAAACGAATTTAGAAAAAGAAACACGATTTAACCAACACAAAAAATCGCCAGCGCGTTCTTTAGGAATCGCAAGAACAGTGTGCACCAACTTTTCGAACGGTCCACCGTGGGAGCGAGACTCGTACCTGGACGACGGCGGCCATGGTGTCGGGCTGATGCTGTCTGCTCTCTTCGCCCCCAAAACTGCAACTATCCCTGCTCGGCTCCGGGCCCGCGTTATATACATCAACGTGATCCCCGAGGATGCTCCCCTGGGATGCTGACCCCCCTCCCCTGCCCCCGCCCCCCTCGCCATGCCGCCGCGGGGAGCGCGCGGTCAGGAGGGCGCCCACGACGGAGGAGAGGGGCGTCCTGGCGGGAGGGGCGTCGACGGGGACCCCCTTGCGACACCGGGGCCCTGGGTGTGTTGGTGACTTTTGGGGGTAAAGGGAGGGGGCACTATCGGGACGAATCTGCATGTCATTTGGAAAGCAAGTTCATCCGCGCGAAAGCAGTCGGACAAGCAGAGCGATGAACCATTTTCGATGTATTTCGGCCATTTCTGTCTGTGACCGCCAGATTAAAAGGGCCGTAAAGAACCGCGTCGCCGCCAGCGCCACCTCGCGGCCGATCGGAGCGTGACGAGCGGGGCACTGCCAGGCAGCGGGCGGTGAACAATGAGCCGTTTGGCGCCGAGGTGGTCCGGCGCGTCACGCGGCCAGACTTCACACGTTGCCACACGTTTAACGAAATTAGTGCTGCACTTTGCATCGACAGTCCAAAGATACGGCCAACATTCTGTAAGTGACATTTTTTCCACTGTGTGCGTTTCGTCAGTAGGTTTTTCGCTATTACAAAGTGCGCTGGCTGTCTCTGTTGCACTCATTGCACTATGCTCACTCGTCAAATTACCCGGGCGGCTTACGGCCGGCCCCTTGGACACAATGATCATTGTGGCGGCGCTTCTTTTGTGAGCCTCGGCAGGCTGGTTCCGAACAGCGCTCAGACGCTCTGTCTCTCTCGCACACGCACGGGACGCGCCGCGAGTGCGAGAGAGACAGAGCGCTCTCTTAGGGATCGGCCCGCTGCAGCCTCACACGTTGCATACGGCAGAAATATGCGATTCCCGCGCGTCCCCCGGGGCAGCGCGGCCGTGGCGACACTGTGGAACAGTGACACCTGGCCGGCGGGTCGCAGGACCCTCCCCTTGGTCCTGCGCGTCGCTCTGTCTCTCTCGCACTCGTGGGACGCCCCGTAAGGGTGCGAGAGAGACGGACTGTTCGGCGTCGGCCCGCTGCCCACCCACAGCACGGCCGTGTGCTGCTGCTGCAGGTGTCGTGGATTTATGATTTTTAATCAAAATGCAGTCCGATGGCCTTTCGTGAATTAAGAGGACAATGAGCGACGCGTCCCGCCCTGGTCGTGACGCGGTGCGCGGTCGCTCTGTCTCTCTCGCACCGCAGCGGCACGGCCCACGAGTGCGAGAGAGACAGCGCGACGAGACCACTGTACGGAGTCTGGGCCTGGAGATGCTCGGATAGCGGCTGCCTCGTTGCGGCAGATTCAATGAGTGGCCGCGGCTACTGCACCGACCGGCCAAGCCAGGCGAAGCCAGGCGAAGCGCTGTCGCAGTTCGACCGCGAAAACGGCGCCAAATTCGAGCACGGCCGGCGGGACCGCGAACAACAACAACAAAAGGCGGTCAACGCACGGCGCGTGATGGCGGGGCGGGCCGCGGGCCGCTCTGCTGACATTCTGCGGCGCGTTTCGGCCAGTTTGGGCGTTTGGGCGCGCAACGCTCCAGCGGGCCAGACGGGGCGGGTCGCGGCGGACGTCATCGAGGCCCTCAGCGCGCTGCCCGCGGCGCGGCGTGGCGGCGAGGCGGGGTGCGCACCAAGGCAGCACGCGTGCGAACCCAAACGGCGAGGACGAGCACGACGCCCTGGTTTGCATATACGCCCAAACTGGAGGCTGATTCAGTGCGCGCCGTCTCCCTCGCACTCACGGGGCGTCTCGCGAGAGAGACAGCGACAGGCGCTTTGAGATGAGTCCGCTGGAGAAGCACCGCACCGCCGCCAACGACAAGGACGTCGACGACAACGAAGGAGTGAGCAATGACCGGCGCAGAGGCCTTCCCCGCACCCACACCGCCAAGCCTCGCCGCCAAGCCGACTGTAGATAGAGATTGGGCGAATGTCGAATTTTAGGCGCGGCAGGGCCATCGGCTTGGCGGCCGGCCGTCGCGGGGGCGAGCCAATCAACACGATTCTCGTGACGCCTCGCGCCTCGGCAGTGCAGCAGTATGGCGGCGGACCCGCGCGGCCCCGGCCGCTAACGAAACCGCGGCCGAATTATGGAGGGGAACAAGGAGAGACGATTAATAGGGAAAGAGAGGACCAAGGATGGACTGGACGCGGATGCGGAGAGACAGATCTGGGGCCGGCAGAAAAATGAAGGAGTGGTACACTTTCAGCAATGGCTAGCGTAGTAAAATTTGTTTTTTTTTTTGGAGCAAATTTTGAAAATTTTAAAAACAAATTAAAAGAGATTATAAATCCAAAAAATTGTGTCAGCCATCGGAATTTTTCTCTGATTTTTTTTTGTATTTTTAACCGCGAATAAGTGTCGGGGCGTGCAGATATGAAAATATCACGGCGGTTTGGCGCGGCGGCGCGGCACGGCGACTGCACGACTTTTAAACGGCGTGTTCGCGCTAAGCAGGCGGCGAGGCGGGCGAGGCGGGGCGCGGCTAACTGCCACGGAAGACATCCACGAGCTCACGCGCCAGAACCAAGCCATCTGTCTGGAGGGTGGTGGTGTCAGCGCCGGGTCTGTGAAACACCGCCGGAGTCATCGGCGTCCTCGGCCGGGACGCCTCCATTTCGGCGGCGCTCTGCGAACTCCGCGAGCTTTGAGGGCCGCCCGCGGCGCGGAGATAAGCAAACGAAACCGAACGGCGGAGCGATAGCGCATCGTCGCCTACAGCGCGTCTGATGCAAAGCGGGGCGGACCTCCGCGAGCAGCGCCCCGCCCTGGAGTCCGCTGCGTCGCTCCGTCTCTCTCGCACTCGTGGGGCGTCCCGTGTGGGTGCGAGAGAGACGGAGCGACGAAAAGGACTCTCGGAGTCAGTCTGCAGGACGGGCAGCGCAAGGGAGAGTAAATGAAGCAATAAAGAGAGGTGGTTCGCCCTCAGAGATGGCAAGTGTACGTGTCCCTAGGGACCGCTCATACTCAGTCAACCGACCTGAACCTTCTCTGTGAACAGCGATCCAACGAGTGAAACTGCAAGTATCCAGACCGAGACCACTTCACCCAACGGGAAAACATGAATCTGAATTACTCTGAAACCACTAAACTGTGCCTCAAGTTCGAGGTGGTGTAAAATGGGTTGCCTGCTCCTTGGGAGGAAGGATGCTGGTTGCTGGACAGCATGTTCGCCATTCCTCCACCAGAGCGCGCTGCACGAGCGAGGAGCTGGTTGGGTTGCCCGGCAGGCCGGCGCAGCACAAAGTCAGCCTGCTCGCACATGTCCATTGAGAGAATGAAGCGGATACCGACAAAAACAATTTTCAGGAACGAACAAGAAGTGATAACTGCAGTGATTGATGATAAATAACAACGATAATTTATTAATCCATAACACTAACACAGTCATTGAGCGGGTGGCAGTCGGTGGGGTGGCGCCTAGTAGTGGCTGGCGACCAGGGCAGGGGCCGCGGCCACGGCCACCTTGGCCAGGCCCTCGCGGCGCACCACGGCGTTGAAGCCGTTGTGGGGGTCGGCGACGTAGTCCACGACGCGGCGGGTGCCGTCGGGCTCGATCAGGGAGTACTGGCCCTTGACCACGTCGCCGCTGCGGGACTCGACCTGGGACTTGACGTCGCCGGTGTGCGCGTCCTTGACGCCGTACGAGAACTCGTACTGGGGGTTGGGGTCGTAGGGCTCGGCGACGGCCACCTTCTGGATGACGGGGGCCGCCACCACCTTCTGGACGACGGGCTGGGCGTAGGCGACGGCCGGCTGGGCGTAGGCCACGGAGGGCTGGGCGTAGGACACGGAGGGCTGAGCGTAGGACACGGCGGGCTGGGCGTAGGCGACAGAGGGCTGGGCGTAGGCGACAGAGGGCTGGGCGTACGCCACCGAGGGCTGGCGGATCACCTGGCTGGACGCGTACGACACGGCGGGCGCCGCGGCGACGGCCACCTTCTGCACGACGGGCGACGAGTAGGCCACGGAGCCGAGGCCCAGGCCGCCGACCAGCGGCGCCGGGTGCAGCGTCTGGGTGGCCACGGACACGCCGACGGGGCCGCCGATGAGGCCGGCCTGGGCCACGCCCAGCAGCGCCAGGGCGACGACGAGGTACTGCAAGCAAGTCGCACTTTGAGGAACCTTCCAGCAGACCTTCAATACACTGCAGCGTGGGCACTCGTTAGTCATGCAGCACATGTTCTGTTCTCTCTGATGAAGCTCCGATGCGTGTAAAAACAAATTGCACACTTTACACAAACGCAGAGGCTGGCCTCAGAACCCTCGCCGCACTCGGGCGTTGAAGTCTCCGCGCCAAGAACGCGCAGTATGCCGTATCCTTTTGGCACGCCGAGGCACATCCGCGTCGAGCGGCACGCACTACACTAGCAAGCACGCACCTGGGCCGCCATGGGACTAGCGGTGCTGGAGTGGAGCTTGATGGACACTTGGGGACGGACTACGCTCTCGGTGCAGCACGGCAGCCGTTATATATTGAAAAGCCAGCCGGTCCTATGATCTCGACCAGGAGGCGGCCCGGACTAGACCTCCCCTGCAACTGCAACTGCACCATGTGCAAGTGCAGCTGCTGCAGCGGCCGGTCAGGACCACAAGGTGGACCAGCCGCTGGACCCGACCCCGTCCGACCCGCGGAGCAAAGCGGAGACACAGCGCGGGGGCCGAGGAAGTGCGGTCTTTCATTAGCATGTCTCGGTGAACCATTATCGTGATATCAAACTTGTGAACGTTGATCTAGAAGCTTCTTGGCATCATTTTCAAATTCAATGTCACTGCTGTGGACATTCTGCCGTGCATTCTGCACAAGTTTCCTTTTATTTCTCTTCTTTTTTTTGCTTTGTTTTGGAAAAGCGTTTTTTGTTGACACCGCCTTGTTCTTCACCGTGTTGTTCATGACCACCGGGCACGGCAGCGAGGCTGCTCCTGATCCGGCGGTCCTCCGACTGTCCGGCGGTCCTGGCGGTGTGCACTGCTGCCATTGGCACCGTGGCAGTGGCCAAGGCAGTGGCCCAGTGAGGCGGCCCGGTCGGCCTGGCAGGTTGCACAGCGCGACATTGGCCGCGTGGCGTCGCTTGCTGCTTCAGGGATACGCCAGGGTGGCGAAGTGCGTGGAAGTGCTTGCGAAGGCTTTCTTCTTCCTTCATCTTGCGGTAAAATTACAAAGTCCTAAATATTAAAATATTTGTAAATCTTTATAAGATGTAAGCTTGCAATTTTCATTATTTTTAAACTGCCCTTTTTCAAAACACGAGTCAGCTTCCTGGATGCTTCAAGCCTGTCCACCGCCGCCAAAACAGTGCGAATGGCCGGCGTCTGTTTGGTCTGACGGAGCGCGGGTCGGCGTTGCATCAGCTCGGTCACTGCACGAGACCGGGTGAGGCGTGGCGGGGCGTGGCGGGCCGGGGCGGGGCACTGTATGACGTAGGTCATGAGTGTGGGACAATACTGGCTGAGTTCTAGGCACTCACAAGTCCCCAACGTCCACTAAAATACTTTGTTCCAGAAAAAAATCTTCAGGAGCTAATCAAAACGTAGCTTTATTTTGCGTCAAATTGAGTGCCATATGTGAGAAGTTGAACGAGAAGTGACTCGCCGCGACTGAAACGGGAGCCATCGACCTTTGTTATCCGACTAAGGGTAGATGGCACGAAAGAAACAAACCGAGAGAAAAGGCGTACGCATGAGCTGGAGATAAAGTTACGGCTACTCTATGAGGCTTGCGCGGAGCCTGAGGTCCCTGGGTGTGTTCTAAAGTTACATGGCGAACTGTTCCATTTGTAAAAGTGTTTGCTTAGTATTATTTTTCAAGGCAAAAAGAGTCTTAAGCCGATTGTGACACAAACGGTACCTACAGAATGAAAAAAAAATCGCGAGGGTACGCACTGCGTCGAAGCCGGACGTAGAAAAAAGTGATTAACAATTTAAAAACGTAGCCTGAATTGCGCCTAGAAAAATAAAGTAAATCTCCAATTGTTTCTGCACAGTCTGTTTCGTCAACAAATAATGTTTGGCCGCGGAATGATCAAGCGGAGAAAAGAAGCAAGCCTCTAAAAACTGATGAAACATTCGCACAATTTTCGTTAAGTTATTTGGAAATGGGGATTCAAAACTAGATAAAAACAAGGGAGTAACGCTAGTGTAGAGTGGTATGGTGCGGAGTGCGGTGGGTGGTACGGGCGGGGCAGGGTGGCAGGCTTGAATGAACGCGCTACACAACTCCCAGCCATTGGCTGCGGCACTTACCAGTGGAGGGGGCACCACGCGGAGGCGGTACGGCGGCACTGACCCGCCTCAACGCGGACCTTCCAAAGCCGGGTAGCGCGGCCACACTTGTCGCCAAATCACGGAAAACAATTAAAAATGGGTAGTGCTCTTGTTTGTTTTGATTTGCTCGCTCCACGCGATAGCGCGTCGCAGCCAAAGTGGGGGAGGCAGCCGTGGTGCACGCCGTGCCCGCGTGGCCGGGGCGGGGCGCGGTCGGGCCTTGAGCTGCAATAATACGGATTGGAATGCGCCAATTTCGTATTTTCTTCGAACGTAACAAGAAGTTCACCATAACCACCAGTTCCAAAGCGTTACAATGACGTAATATTTTTAATTACAACGCAATCATAAAAACTAGATGACTCTTGCAAGGCGTCCATCTAGTGTCAGCATCCGGCGAAGAACCCGAGTGACAGATCAAGTCCCCACCGTCTTTCATTCATCCGTTACCAGATGAACCATCAACATTTCGGGCCTATGGTTACTTTTCTCATTCCCTCCAGGCTTGACAAAAAAGCGCGCGTGGCGCCAGGCGCCCGCACACGCGCCTAGGCTGATGCAACTGTAACAGGGAAGGCGTCAGCAGGGAGGGAGGGCAGGGGCTGCGATCCGATCAGCAGGGCGGGGGAACACACACGCACGCACACAGACACAGCCCCACAACAAATCCGAGCAGTCTTCATCCTTGTATAAAAGCCGTTGTCCACCACGGGGAGGGTATACTTGGCTTTGTGCATTGCTCGGCAGCAGCAGTCCAGACCGTCTCAAAATGTTCAAGGTAGGTCCCCGTCGGGCTTCGGACACCGCGCCGCGGCGCCGCAGACGTTGACGTTGCGGGCTTTGCGTTGCAGCTCGTGCTCGTCGCCTCCCTGTTGGCCGCGGCCAACGCGGGCATCATCGGGTCGCCGCTGCTGTCGCCGCTCGGCCTGGGCGGCTCCATCATCGCGGCGCCCAGGTTGGTGTCGCCCAGCATCGCGCTGTCCTCGCCCGCCGTCGCCGTGTCCAGCCAGTCCATCACCCGCCTGGCCGCGCCGCAGCTCATCGCGTCCCCCCAGATCATCTCTCCCCAGCTCATCGCGTCCCCCCAGATCATCTCCCCCGCCGGCATCGCCCTGGCCGGCCCCGGCGCCCCCGCCGCCAAGATCATCGGCCCCGACGGCAGCATCATCGTGTCCCCCGGCAACCCCGGCGGCGTGGTGGCCACCTCCCTGGCCGGCCCCGGCCTCATCGCCGCGTCCCCCGCCCTGGCCGCCACCAGGATCGTGTCCGCGCCCTCCATCGGCCTGTCCCCCCTGGGCCTGTCCCCGCTGGGCCTGTCCCCCCTGGGCCTCGGCATCGGCCACCTGTAAGCAGCCGACGTCTCCTCCAGGACGACCGCAGTCCTCCCCCGTGATGTGCCATCTAGTGTGACAACAAAGCTTTGCCGTCCTGTGATGCCTGGCGGTCTCGAAGAGGGCGCCGTCGAACGCGGGCCTCTCTTCGACGCCGCGGCCCCCGGGCCTCCGAGCTGGCGTCCTCCAGGTTCTCGGAGTGCAAGACGACTAATCAGTATTAGGGGGCGCTGCTGCTGGTGCTGCACCCCCCACCGCCTGTGTTCCATTGTAAATTATTTCAAGAACGCGCGCAAATAACGAATAAAAAGATTGCTCGACGGCAAACCTGGCGAATTTTCTGCACCCGACACCTCGCCTCCAGTCACGCCAGGCACGCCGCACTAACGGCACGGCCCACAACAACAACAACCACCACCGCCCCGCCCCGCCGGCCGCCAAGGATGTTTCGGCCTGGACACGTGCAGACCACGTGCACTCCGAGTGCGGGCCGCGTGTACGCCCGGCGCCCACCGCCTCCACTGCAGTGCACTTCGCTCTGTCTCTCTCGCGTCCTGACGGCACGCTCCGCGAGTGCGAGCAAGACAGCGAGACTTGTTCGGAATCGCTCCCTGGCACTGGCTGCTCCAGATGCGGAGGGGGAGGGCGGCGCGGCGGGCAAGTGGCCTACGCACAAGGCGGGGCGATGCGCGCAACGCCGACGAAGGCCGGACGCAGCGGCGTAGTCAGTGCGCGAATTCGCGTCTCCGGCAAAGGGTGCTTCCGAAACACCAGTTGAACTCAGTTATACGTTGCGTGCTGCGCTCAAATCGCGTTGACGCACTGAGTTGGAGGTTTCTATCGCTAAAGCGTTGGGCGGAGACACCCCAGTCCGTGTCGCCACGCTCGCGAGGCCGTCGAATAAGTTGCCTACCTGCGAGGCGCAACCAGCTCGCGGACGGGAGGTCGCCTCGCTGAGACTCCAGTTGATTCGTTCGCAGTGGTGGTACCCGTCGGCACGGCCGGCACGGCCAACGCCCCGCCCGGCGGATGTTCGCACTGCCAGCTCCGCGCGCGGCAGCCGGCGGCAGCGCGACCGCCGCCACGGAGGCGGAAAAAGGCAGCGAGACGCGGCGCGCAGCTGCGGAGGCGAATTTACGAGTGGCGACCTGACTCCGAATGGTGCCCTCTCTCTCGCACACCTTTGCGCCCTCAGAACGCGCCCTACGAGAGCGAGAGAGACAGACAGAGAGGACGAAAGCAGTGCTCGGAAGCGGCCTGCTGGCAGTGCTGGCAGGGCACAGCAGGGCATGCCGCGACACCGCGAAGCCGGGCATGACGGTGTCGTGCGAAACTACTCCGCGTCCAAGGCCGGCGTGGAGTAGCCGCGCCACCTGCTTGCCCACCACACTGTTCCGCCCTTTTTTCTCGGGAACGACTCGCCGCGGTCCCTGCGACGAGGAAGAAGGGCGGACAATGGAAAGGCTAATTAGAAGCAACCAGTCTGACAGTCGCCACCTTCGACGGTCAAGCCTTCGACGGCTTGCCGCTCGGCTTGCCGCCTCCACGACGCACAGGTTCTGTCTCTGTCGCACCTCCACGGGCCGCGCCATGAGTGCGAGAGAGACAGCGGCAGGCTGCAGGGTGGCTGCCCATTCAACGCCTCGGCTCGGTAATGAGTGCGCTTCGAAGCGCTCGCTGGCTTCGCTCGGAGCGCTTCGAGGCGGCCGAGCCCAGCAAGGCCTCCACGTAAACAACGCAGCCGATGCAGGCGATGCAGCCGATGCAGCCGCAGGCATAGCAAACAGCAGTATTGACCAGCGCCAGCGCAGGGCGGACTAGGGAAGGCCAGGCCGCGGATGCAGACGGACAGACACACATACAGACAGACAGACAGACAGACAGACAGTAGATACGAAGGAAATATGACCGAAGTCCGGCCGGTGCTATTCAGATTGTGGCTGTGGCATTGTCAGGGTGGCCGCCCTGGCAGGCTCGCCACGCTTGCCATGCGCGGCCTTTTAGCTGTCCGTTCGCGTTATCGCACCTCACACGTAATAACACGGGCAGTGCTGCCAACTGTTGAGTAACACCGTGTACGCAGTTTGGTTCGACTCGCAATTAACCTTTCATTCAAATCCAGGGGATTTTTTTGGGTTATTTTCCCCCTTGTTTCCTCTTAGCGTTTTTTGGGGGGAGGTGCCGAGCGTCGCCATTGGACCCGCAGCTGTCGCAGCGTGTTAACTGCCGAGGCTGGCGCGACCGTAAAAAGGGTTCGTACAGCTATGCGAGCGAGGCTGCCGTGACACTTTTATTTTCTGACACGTGATTGGCTCACGCGACAAACCAATCAGCGTGACGGGTGACTATAGAAAGTGTGGTGACAGCACCTGGCCCACCATGCCGAGCTTTACTGTTCATTCTCTAACGTAACAGGGTACCTTTAGGGGTGGACGGGGGTAAAAACTGAGCACCTATTCCATAAATATTTTTTATTTTGGTTTTTAGTCTTGGCGTGCTTCACAAAAGAGGGAGAGTGAGAGACGTCAGGGCAGGACGACTCCTCAGTACAGGCCAGCGTGGCCGAGACCCAGACCCAGACCGGCGTGGCCGAGGCCAAGGTGGCCGTAGGCGGGGGCGGCTACCACGGCGGGGGCGGCGACGACGGCGGGGGCGGCGACGGCCACCTGGTGCACCAGGGGGTCCTTGCGCACCACGGCGTTGAAGCCGTTGATGGGGTCGGCGACGTAGTCCACGGTGCGGCGGGTGCCGTCGGGGTCGTTGAGGGAGTACTGGCCCTTGACGACGTCGCCGTCGCGGACCTCGGTCTGGCTCTTGGAGTCGCCGGTGTGGGGGTCAGACACGCCGTACGAGTACTGGTACCGGGGGTGGGGGTCGTAGGGCTCGACGGCGGGGGCGGCGATGACGGCGGGGGCGGCGGCGACGACGGGGCCGTGGCCGATGACACCGGGGGCAGCAACCAGGCCGGGGGCGCCGACGAGGCCGTTCACGTAGCCGCCGTGGCCGCCGAGGATGGAGCCGGAGAGGGCCTGGCCGGTGAGGATGTTGGGGCCGAGCGGGCTGCCGATGAGGCCACCAAGCCCGACGGGGCCGATGACTCCGGCATGAGCTACGGCCACGAAGGCCGCAACAACAACCAGCTGCTGGGGGCAAAGTACACTTCAGTACGGCAGTACCACCGAAACTAGGATCCGCCGTGCCAACACCCAGGCACGCTCACAGCGCGCCCGCTCCCGCCTACTCCGGCCTAGCCCCACCGACACGACCATGCCCCGGGGCAGCGTCGTCCTCCGCTCTGCATTGACCTTCCACATTTCGCGGCGAGCACTGCAATTTTTTCTGTGATTGAGAAAAAATGGAGCGGCGGCGTGCAGGAAGTGCCCCGCCTCCTCTGCAAGCACTGCAAAGCACTGCAAAGCACTGCACAGCACGGCACAGCACTGCAAAGCGGCGCGGTCGGGCGACGCCTTCTCGTCTGAGTCGACGAGACCAAGCCGACGCAATGAACTAACAAGCAGACGATGCCCAACCCGAAACGGGCGTCGGAACAGCAGAAAAGATCCGACACTAAAAAGTCGCGGATGTCAGTGCTTCTACCATTCTTACGACATTAAGTTTTCAAACACTTGAAATCACTCGAATCATCACAGTCGGTATGAAACAATAAACGAACAAGCAACAACGATAAATTCAACGAGAAACAGCACGCTGCGGGATCCTAAAACAAGGCACTGCAACACGACGGGTCACTAAGTCAACACGAGAGTCCTCGCCGGCACGTCGGACACACTGACAAACGCGTCGTCTACGCCGCTCCGCACCTTGTAGGCCATGATGCTGACGGAGACTGTGACTATGAAGTGCCGCCACGGAGTCCACCGCCTGCATTTATAGTGCAGTGCTGCAGCTGCATCCCTCCGGCTGCACCACGTGGAGGCGAGGCGGGAGGGGAGGGAGGGGGTGGCGGAGGGGGAGGGGGGGGGGGTCACTCAGCTATCGGGACACGCGCGCACCGCCGCGGTGCACCGCGACCTTGCCCGGGGACTCCAAAGTCGCGCCCACACTGTGTCCACGCCAAAAAGGGGGACGGCGATTGAACCGATGTTTATTCGTCAAGCGCTTTGAGGAAACGGTCCTGGACCGGATGATACCACACGACGACCGTCCAATAGATGTCCTCCTGTAAAGTGCCAGCAGAGCGCGCTGCTGTGCAATTAATAATTTTACTGCCTATAAAACAACTGACATCAGTCCAGTTATCCTGCATTCTAGAATGTTCTTGAGGAAACCGTTCCGGGGGAAAAATCCCAGGAACTCAGGACTTCGAAATGTACTTGTCTCGGTAAAGACACGTTTGCGAAGAGGCCAATTTTGATGCTAGGGCCAACTGATGTAACAAGTTACCAGGCCTACAAACAAAACATTTTTTTCAAAAACGGCAGGTGTGCGAAACGGCAGTGCCATTCAAGCCCACTCCGCGACGGCCGCGACCTCCACCATTGACAGACGATCCTGGGGCGGCGCGGCCGAGCCGTGCCTAGCCGCCCTGCAGCGGCCATTCACACCGTAAAACGCCGAGCCCCCGCGAGCGCGCTGGGGCGCTGGTCAGTGTGACCCTGTTGCCCTGCTGTCGCCCCGCCAGGACCACTAGGAAAAAGTGACAGCCGCCTGGCAGGGCTCCAGGTCTGTCCGCTTTCAGTGTACCGGCGTGGCCGGTATCCTTATTTGCAGGTTTGATCGCGCGTCCGGGAGCGCTTTTCCGAGTGTTTCACGGCCACTGCACTGGGCAGGTAGGCAGCCTTGCCGGGCACGGTATCCCTACGCCGCCTCACCACCCGGTCCCCAGGGGGCTCCGCGCGGCGCGGACGACACCGGCCAGACGTCACCAGTCCACGCCGCGCCGGCGCCGAGTCCGGCCGAGTCAGCCGAGTGGCGGCGCGTTGGCAGCCTGCTCAGGTTCACACACTCATCGGCGGTCACGCGCGGTGATTCACGCTGGGAGGCGCGCCAGGAAGAAAGGCCCCGGGACTTAAGCATCGTCATTTAATTTCTCTATATTTTTCATAGTTTTTGTAGAACTTTTGAGTCAGTTTATGAGAGAAACTTTATGAAAGAAACTTTTGTTTGGTAGGTTAGTGGTTTCCTACTTGACCCTGCGTTGCCGCTCCAGGGGTTCCAGTGGGCGGAGTGTCGCCTGGCGACGGCCACGCACTATGCACGCACTGCACTGCGCCCTCGCCGGAGAAGGTCCGGGCGGCCACACCCCACACCCCAGCCGGCACGGCCCGGCACGGCCCGGCACGGCACACAATGCAACAAGAGCAGCAGCCCGGCCGGTGGGAACAGAAAGTGAACCGAACGGACGGCCTTGGGGGCCTTGAGACGCACGCCGCAGCCTGCTACACGGCCTGCACGGCCTGGCGCGGCTCGGCTCGGCGCGGCCATCCGGCTCACCCACCAGGAGGTGTGTACGGCGGCATGGGCGTGGCGCCGGGCGTGGCGGAGCGTGGCGGAGCGTGGCGCAAAGGTCGCCAAGGGGGCCGGATGTGCAGGCCGAGCGTCCACGCTCGGACCCACAGTGGGCCGGAAGACCGGTGGAGACGGCCAAACCGCTAGACGCGTTTTGAGCTCCAGAGTCCCTAAATGGGACGCGAACCGAACGTGTGACCCCACCAATGGATTCCTCGTTCGGAGAGCAATCCATTGGTGGGGTCACACGTTCAGTTCGAGCCCCATTTAGGGAGATCAAAACACGTCGAGAATTTTGGCCGCCCCCACCGGTCCTCTGGCCCACTGTGCGTTCGATGTTCCTTTTGGATCGGAATGTCCAGGGGAGACTTGAACGCAGGCGCGAGCCCAGCCTCTTGATCGCCATTCGCGGCACACTCTCTGAGTCACGGGAACAGACGCGGCACGCAGAGAGGGAAAAAAAGGTGCCGGACAAAAGGCGGCGGGTAGTCGTCATCGAAGTCGACACGCGGAAGGACAGTCAAACATGTTTCGAACATTTCAAATACGTGCAGGCTGCCGAGTGGAAGCCGCGATTATCGGCGGCAGGACCAAGGCCGGTATAGTGCACTCACACCGACGCGCAAACACACAGTCTTTATAACGCCTCCATCACTCACACGCCGCGCAGGCCTCGTAGTGGCACGTAGTGGCACGCAGTGGCGCCAGCGCTGGGAACGCGCGCAGACGGAAAGGACTCTATCACGGAGCGGGCGGACGGTGACCCCGCGAGGTGCTGCCGGCTTTTCGGTGCGCAGTGTACAAGCATTCCAGCCGCGGTACACTGGCGAAATTCAGGCGAAACATGGCGCTTTAGTTTTACCAGTGTAGTTCGGGCAGGAGCCAGCAGCAGCATGGTGGATGCCGATAATACACTATAAAAATGCTTTCAATAAAGTAACAGCACAATGAAAATACGGCGAGGCTTTGCGAAATCCTATACCGAGTGGCGGGAATATCGACAGGCCAACGCGCACTATAGTGAGTGTGTGTGTGTGTGTGTGTGTCTGGCACGCACTGCACCAGTGGGCGCCAAGTGTGCCGATGAACGCAAATTACGCATCGATGCACCTAATTCCAGTGTGGGTGTTGACTGGCGCAACGGGCGCTAGCCAAGGTCACGGCGACGCCTGCAACGTCAAATGGATCTTCGACGTTCTCTTTACCCCCCCCCCCCCCTTTACAGTGGGCCAGAAGACCGGTGGAGGCGGCCAAAACTCTAGACGCGTTTTTAGCTCCAGAGTCGCTCAACAGCACTCGACCAATGGATTGCTCATTAGGAGAGGAGCCCGTTGGTGGAGGTATGAACCCTCGGTTCAAGTCCTGTTTAACGACTCTAGAGCTCAAAACCCGTCCGGTCTTCTAGCCCACTGTGCGCCCGCCTTCGCGCCTGCCCAGCCGGGGATGCTGTCCCGTCGAGCACGCGAGAGGAGCGGGACTGCCTACCTAGCAGGCGCTTCGCTTCGGCCGGGGCGGGGCCGGCCTTTCCAGGCACCAACATGAACCGTGCACACAGGGGTTGGACACCTGTCAGCGGCGGACATTGTCTGATAAGTAGCATTATCCTGCGTTTAAAGTCCCAGTTAATCCTTGCGGCGTCTCTAGTGATCGCGCCACCGCGAGTTGGACTCAATGCAACGCATTCTGCAGGTGCACTGCAAAAAAAGCGGAGAAAAACACAGCCGAGTAGCCCCCTCCGCCTTCACTGGGGACTCCGTGTTTGAGAAAAATTACTGAGCTGCTGATACGCCGCGCGCGAGAGACTCTCAGGAGCTCCACGCGCGGGGTAGAGCCAGAGCCGTGCGTTTCTCCGTCTGATTTCACTTTGCGATAGTCCTGCTTCTTACCGAACGAGTTGCTCGACGCACGGGGTATCTTCGCAAGTCGCGAACTGGTTGGCGCTCGCGCCGCCAGAGAGCGTTGCGGACCCCGGCAGCGTCGCCGCTATAAGCAAGGCGCGAACCGCGAAACCCGGGAAGCTTTGCAAAGTGTACGGGGTTTGGGTCATCTGTAAACCCAAACCATGAAGTGACAAAAACCGCCAGCGACAACGGTCGGAAAAACGGAGCCTGCCTTCCAGCGCTCCACCACCAGTAAAATGGAATTATCACTCCGCGGCGGAATCGGAAGGAAATCCTTCTGAGTTGTTTTTCATGCATCCGGGTACGGGTAATAGATTTCCCGTTCGTTCAAGGCGAATTTCTCCGCACGAGTTGGCAGCGCGCAGCACCAGGTGAAGGTGATCTGCTCTGCGTGGCTTTGCCCGGCTGTGCCGCGCCGTGGCAGTGCACGTGATTATCTCACGAGGAATAGCGAAGGGAACCGGCAAGGTGCCGCACAGTGGGCCAGAAGACCGGCGCCGGCGGCCAAAACTTAAGATGCGTTTTGAGCTCCAGAGTCGCTTATCAGCACTCGAACCAAACGCTTGACCCACCAATGGATTCCTCGTTCGGAGAGCAATCCATTGGTGGTGTCACAGGTCCGGTTCGAGTCTCATTTAGCGACTCTGGAGCTCAAAACGTATCCGGGTTTTGACCACCTTCACCGGTCCTGGTCCACTGTGTGCCAGCCGAAACACCGGCCTGTTTTTACTCCAGTGCAAGACGTCCGCCGCGGCGGGGCCTTCAGAGTCACCGTTTATTTGTTACCAATCTTTCCACGACCTTCGAGCCGTTCTTCCGAAACAACTCCAAAGGCTCGCTTCGGGCGAAATAAAACCCAGACCATCCTAGAGCGAGAAGTTTGAGGTTCTTCCGGATGAGGTGCTTGAACCCAACGACCCGAGGTCCTTGATTCCTCGAATCCGGGAAACAATATCTCTGAGGAAAAGCACACTAGAGGAATGCAGAAAGCAATCGGTATTAGAGGGGGAAATCATCAAAGTTTATTTTACAGAATTCAAAAATAAAACACGACCAAATATTGTACTGTACAAATTAAATTAGCATTTAACCTACCATCATGTCGTCACAGCACAAAATAAAGCAGAGGTCGCTGAGACTCCTGCAGTGGAAACGCGCTCCCGCGTTTGAAAGTGAGAGCCACACCGTCCGTGTCACGCGCCACGGTGTTTGAGCGTGCAGTGCCTGCACTGCGTGGGACGCCCATTTTCGGCGAGGCGCAAACACACTGCTAATCCAAGTGCGGGACGAGCACACGTCAAAAAGTGCATAGTGTCACACTTTGAATAGCAGTGACAATGTTTTGTTTGATCAAACAGAGGGCAAACCTGATGGTCAAAAAGTCGATAACGCAAGGACCTTCGACGCACCTTGTTTTTCGTTTTTGTAAAATCGCTGCCAAAGTATCGAGACACAGTTACATAAAAGCTGTCGCCGGGAAGCCACTGCTCCGAGCGGCACCGAACTTAGCAGTTCGCTCCGACAGCGATGTCGTAAAACAAGAAAAGCGACAACGGGCTGCTAAGACCTCATCAGCTTCGAGCTATTTTTAACACCTCCATGCCCAGCACTTGTTTCCTCTACACAAGGGATACACGAGTCAAACAATAAAGAGACAATCGGACGGAAATGGTTTCCGGGCATTTCACTCGGGACACTAAACTAAACGTAAGAATCCCTCAGTCTATTTTTCGGGTGGGCTCACTTACAGTACTCAGACTAGATTGGCAAACATCACTCCAAGCCATTTTCACCTCCACGATCGCGCAGACAATACTCGCTGCCTATAGGCACCACAGCAACTGCCTTCAGGAACTCGCGACAAATTGTCCATTGTAAAACACTGCGCGCGAGGCACGCATCATAGATACCTCTCAGCGACGAACCTCCGCGGTTTGCGGAGTACACTAAAAACAACGTCTAGTTGGTTTTTTCATCAGTGGCACTGAACTGGTCGACTCTTTTCCAAAACACAAACAACTTGTCTCACAGTGTGTCAGCACATAAGGAAGCCGCAGGCGTTCTGCAGGACGGCGGGGCAGCACGGCATGCCCACGACCACCACCACCAGCGTGGCGAAGTACGCCAGCTGGACGTACCACGGCACACTGTCCGTAGTCCTGGCCGCGTCCACTCTCGCTTCGTCCTGCACTGCACTGGATGCTTCGGCCGTCCAGGGCCTCGGTGAGGACGGCCCGGGGGAGGTCGCTCCTTTCTCGGCGGGCAGGCCGTCCAGGTCGTCCGGGCCGGGCAGCCTCCACGACGTTGCAGTGCCAGGGTCGCCTCCTCCTCCGGGTACTCCGGGCAGCCAGCGTGGCTGCGGCGACGCCACCAGCGCGGCGCCGAAGTTGGACCAGACGACGAACGCGTTGGACAGGAGCACGCTCAGCACCCGCCGCAGTGTGGGCGACGCACCGCTCAACTCCCCCGGCCGGCGCAGGCAGTCCCTGGCGGTGGTGTTGAGCTGCAGCAGGGCCTCCTGCACCTCGAGCCGGCTTGCGTTGTTGACGTTGGCAGGTTCCGGGCTCGGCGGGCAGGGCGGGCTCAGGTCCAGGGGGCGGAGAGGGGCCGTGGTGGCGCCCGTCAGCCCGCACGAGGAACCAGTCTGCCGGGGCCCGCTCACCCAGACGCTGTCCAGGATGCTGGCCATCACGAGGAACTGGAACCACGCCGGATTTCGGTCAGCCACACACATACATAATACGCCATTATTACATGGAAATGCGACCCGCAATTCATCCTATTCCACTTCAAAAAGCAGCTTTTCAGGCTGGAAAATTTCTACGCAAAACTCATGTCTATTTTTTTAAATTAAAAATATTGAAACAGGTCGCATGTCCTCATCGACCCCAATCTGGACCGCCGACAACATAAATAAAGCTAATAGCTGGACAGACCCTCTGCCTGTGCTAATGGCGGCGAACTGTTGCAGCATTGTAAGTCATGAGGCTATTATAGGCTGTAAGAAACAATGAGAGCACATAGTTGCTCTCAAGGCCAAGCCCCATCCTTTCCTCATTCCTTGCAAAAAATCGCAAAGGGAAAGGCTCCAGACAAAATTAAACCAGGGTATTGCGTTAAAAAGAAACGAAGAGGAGGCAACTCGCTTCGGACCAAACCCTTAACAAAATAACGACGAGAACTGGTGTCTGGCTGTCGAAACAGTACGAACCTGAAGCGGGCCCGGTATAACGGCCTTATGTGAGCTGAGGTTATGTTACGTAACGCGCGATTCTTTTTAACTAAATCAATGCTATTGTGGTAGTATCTGTGAAGAAGTAAGCCAATTTAAAAGAATCAGCCAAAAACCGAAAAAGAAAATCAAATTATCAAATGAATTACTTTTTTTTTCTCAGTAAGGGATGAACACTACTTCTTCAAGACTGATCGAAATTAAGAAAAAGACGCGTCGAGTCTTAGGGACTACACCTTGACAGTATTCAGGGAATGAAAGCCACTCCTCGAGCCCCGTTTCACAGTGCAGGGGGAGGCCGAGGCAGGCACCCACCTTGATGACGGTCTGGTAGTCGGGCGGCGTCCTCTGCAGCGGCGGGTAGCGTCTGGCGGGCTGCAGGTCGCCGTCATCCATGCTGCGTCTTCAGTGCGGCTCATGTCGGCCGCATCGATCCGCTCGCGCCGGTCGCACTTCCGCCAATGACAACGTGGGGCCCCGCGGCGCCCCCTCCAGCGCCCCGCCCCGCGTGGCAAAAACGTCGCCACTTTCACTGGCCCGGCAAATATTGGCGCGGCGTCGTGGTGGCTGGTGCAGGGCGGCCCGGCTCGGCTCGGCTCGGCTCGGCTCGACTGCGCTCGGCTGGACGGATCAGCTGGCCCGGCGGGCCGGGCGGGACGGCGTGGTCGTCGCAGCGTGGCGATGGGGATCACTGCGTGCCTCGGCGTGCCGCTGCGTGCGCGGCCGCCAGACGCCCGTCGGCGAGTGAGGAGGCGTCGAACGCACCAAGGTCGCGCGGCCCAGCGGGGCCCAGCGGGGCCCGACCGGCCGCGGTGGCTCCGGAGGCTCCACTGCGACTAGCTCCGCACACTAGCCGCCGCCCCTCCCCCTCCCTTGATGACGTCACGGGACGGGCAGGCGATATCTCGCCCGGCGGTCCCCGCAGCTGACCCAACCAAGACACTTTTCGAACACGCTATGCAAGTCGACTCGCGGCGGCGTATGCAAACTTGAGTCGGATATTCAGGAAAAGTCGCACCGCGATTCCCAGTGGCGCGGCCGTCCCAGAAAGCACGTCAAAGCCGACTCCCCCACACGGTAGCCGCGCGCAGCTGAGCCGCTCTTGAAGGTGATGACTCGGCTGACTGATTGTTCTGGGCACGGAGAGCTGCAGTGTCGAGGGTGTCCCCGCGGAGTGACAAAACGGTGCTGTGTGTGTGTGTGACTGAGCGCGTGTGTGTGTTGTGAGTGTGTGTGTGTTTGTATGTGTGCGTTTGTGCGTGTGTTTACGTCTGTGAATGGGACGCCCTGCCCAGGTGCGTCCACGCGAGTCCACAGACACTGACCGAAAGGCTGCGACACTCCGAGAAATCGGAGTCCATCTTGTCAATAAATTCAGTGTGCTGTATGTATTTACATGGTTGTGTTGTCACCACCGACCAAGAGGGGAAAAACCTCTCACACTCACACAAAATTTGTACACAACCCACATTCCTGTAAGTAGGCAGCACATGTGTGGCAAATACGCCACAAATGTAGACTCTTACACAGTTCCGCGATGATAGTGCACGAAATTTTACAGTGGGTCACCCCTCACCACGGACACTCCGAGGTGCAATGCCACCTGCATCGGCAGGGTCACTGTTCCCTCGGCCCCGTCCGGCGGCACGCGACGCCTCGCGACGGCTCGTTGGCACCTGGTCGCCACAGGCCGCGGGTAATAATTGACAACCAGGAAGCAGTGCTAACGCGCCACTCATTAGGTTCAAAAACACGGGGCCGACAAATGAATCCAGATCCTCGCTATCCGCAGTCACGGCAGCAGGCTGTCGTGTCCGAGGGGAGAACAACTACCCACATTCATTGTACACAAACACATTCCCACACTCTCAAGGAAAAACCGCCTGTAAGTAGGCAACACGTGTGACAAATACAGCAGAAATGTTGCACATTCCAACACGTTCCCACATTCATTGTACTCTAAATATTACAGTGGGTCACCGGTCGTGGCATGGCTAGTGCGGTCCAGTCCAGGCCTCGTTACTTTGTCCAATCCTCGACGTACTTTTTTTTTCCACAGTCTTCGTTGCACTTTTGTTGTACTATTCACACTTTTTCTTGCGGTGCATGACGCTCGCGGTGACGTCGGCCGAAGTCGTTCGGCCGGTTGCTATGACAACGTGGATGGCATCGTGACCCGAAGTCACCTACCGCCATCCACCCGGCCCAGATACACTGGCACTCGCAAAAACGAAAAAAACGCAAATGAATCATTTCCTTTGCTCAGCCAGCAGTTCAATGTCCCTTGATAAACGCACACTTTTTTTTTGCCGGAGCAGAAAGAAGAGCTGGGAGCGGGTGGCTCGCTAAGGACATGCAAACACACACGTGGCGAGGATAGCGCAACGCATGCCGATCGCGAAACACTTAAACAGAAGGAAGGACGCCAGGGACTTTTGAGTGACAAGTCGACAATGGTCTTTGGGTGGCGGGTCGGGCCTGGTCGGGCCATCGCCTTCGCGCCCACGGCGTCGTCGGCTCGCCAACAGAGCGGCTGCACCGAGTCTGGCCCCACCGATCCCACAGTCAATCGTGTCGGTGCACTGCAACATTTGAGGCTTCTCGCTTTCGAGAGCGGCGCGACATGCAGGGCCAGCCACTCGGTGGCTCTGTCTCTGTCGCACTCGCGTGGTGCCCCGGAAGGGTGCGAGGGCCGGGCCGTTTAGCGCTTCCGGGGAGGTGGCTCGCCAACGAGTGCAGCGTCTAGTCTCCGCGGCGATACCCCGCGCGGCACGCGACCGGCTGACTCACCCGCCGGTGCATCCTTGGCGGCGGCGCGGCGCCGGGCAGTGTGGGGACCAAGGCCGCCATTACTGCCCACCGCGGGAACGGCTCCACTCGCTTTTTGGCGGTCTGCCGACGGCCTGCCCTACGCGCTACACTACGCGGAAGCCCATTACCTCACTTCGGGTGTCCAGACACTGGCGAAGACGTGATGACGCCGTGGCGGACAAACCTGGGGCCAAGGGGTACCCAACTCAAGATAACCATTGCACGTCTAGTTGGTAATCAGTGAAATAATCAACATCATCCTATGAAATGACAATCATACTTTCGGGGATTCAATCACTTTTGACCATTTTTGCGAGATCACTGCTCCAAAACTATCAGCGGTCAAAGCCTCCCCGAGGCGGGGCATGAAAGAGTAGGGTCTTCAGAATAGTAAGGCGTCGAGGGAGGACTTTGACAGCAACTCAATTGGATGCAGTGACCGCTCAAAGTCAGCAAAAACGGTGATTTTCTGAAATTCATTCACTTTTTGACCATTTTGCGAGACCACTGCCCCAAACTATCAGCGGTCAAAGCCTTCCCGAGGCGGGGCATGAAAGAGTAGGGTCTTCAGAATAGTAGGGCGTCGAGGAAGGTCTTTGACAGCAACTAAATTGGATGCAGTGACCGCTTAAAGTCAGCAAAAACGGTGATTTTCTGAAATTCATTCACTTTTTGACCATTTTCGCGAGACCACTGCCCCCAAACTATCAGCGGTCAAAGCCTTCCCGAGGCGGGGCATGAAAGAGTAGGGTCTTCAGAATAGTAGGGCGTCGAGGAAGGTCTTTGACCGCAACTAAATTTGACGCAGTGGCTGCCCAAAGTCACCAATATTGAATTTCCGACACTTTAACAGCTTTCTGAGGTCGGCGCTCAAATATTCCCCAATATTTCCCAATAATCAACATAATAACCTCCTATAATCAGTGATAAATAATAAAATAATCAAAATAAATCACATGTAATCATACTCTTAATATAATCACTGTACATGAAAATCTTGAGTTGGTTCCCATGCGTGCGAGAGAGACAGCGACCAAACGGACCGGGCCGCAGGAGGCGGGGAACGAAAAGTCGATAGCGTCTGGATGACTTAGTGGGCATCTTCCTTTATACAGGAGACAATGCGTGTGTAAGACCGGCCTGGATCTGCCCAGACTGTGTCACGGCCCCGCCGCCCCGCCACGCACGCCTGCCAAATCCGGAAAGACGTCACGGACAGGACACTACCGCACTGCTGCCAACACTGTAATTTTCAAGCTGACTTTCCTAAGATATGGTCATAGAGTTTTAGTTACACTTTTTAAAATTCTAGTTACCCACTTGGGTTAAGTCTGGACACAGCACTGTCGGGTACTCGACTTTCCCGAAGCATGTCCAGTGGCAGCCCAGTTCAAACTGGCCACGCGGTGGACGCGCCGCGCCAGCGCTCGTCTGCCCCCAACTAGCGGGAAGACACAATGCGATTGGGCAATAAAAGCTGTCGGGGTTATCGCGCGAAAAGAGTCCCCGTCTTAATGACTTCGCGGCCCGCGCGACCATACAATAGCGGTAATATGCAAGCCCACGAATATCCTGGCCGGCAGAGAAGCCTCTTGCAAGACGCCGCGACGCCCCGACGCACGGCCACACACACTGGCAAAATTTAGGAAGCCGCCCGTGCCAAGTGTTTGTCTTTTATCTAAGACACCAGTTGGATGAATGGGCCTGTTGGCGAAGCCAGAGGCTGCAGCTGCAGGAATGTTTCCACTTGATTTAAGTTTGCTTGACCGTGTCAGACCGTGTCACCCACATCGCCAAGAAACGTGAGCATCAAGAATAAAAGTGTCGCAGAGCACAAAATGGAAATATTGTCCCTGATTTACGTATAAAATTGTACATAGCTTACATGTGCACAAATATGGCCAAAGTTTTGGACAGTAAAAGTACATGTGTGGTGAGTGCTTATGCATGGGACAAAACCAATGTTTTCGGGACATAATTATGATATTTTTAATAAATGCTGAGACCGTGAGCTGGGTGCGCGTCCCACCCTGCCGTGCCGTGTCGTGCCGCGCCGTCCCCCGAAGATGCGACACGCGTGCGCCCACGAGGGTGCGGTCCCGGTGGGGCGCACAATGGGCCCCGCCTGGGCCCCGCCTGGGCCCCGCGAGGGGTCGGGGGGCCTGACGACTCCTCTCCTACATATATAAGCGCATAGGTGCCACAGTCAACACGACAGTCTTCCTTTTTTTCGCTCCCCTTCGAGACTCGCACGCATACGAAGAGATGGCCCTCCTCCAGGTACCGAGCGTTGTCAAAGTGTCGAGAAGAAAGTGAACCAGTGCGCCGCGGTGGTTAGGACGTGTCAGTGAGAAAGTGTGAATCCTCAGATCCGATCGGGACTGTGCCACAGAAGCAACAGTGTTTTACCTGTGCAGTGAAAGTGATTCCAGTTCAAGCCAGTGTTTGAAGCGTCTCCGAGAGGTTTTGGTGCGATTTGACCCCAGTGAAACCGATGTTGCAGGTGGTGGCTTTGGTGTGCGCGGCGCTGGGCGTCGTCCGGGCGGGCCCGCTGCTCCCTGCCGGCCAGGAACCAGAGCCCTTCGACACCAACCCCCAGTACAGCTACAGCTACACCATCCAGGACGCCGTCACCGGGGACACCAAGGGCCACTCCGAGTCGCGCAACGGCGACGTGGTGACGGGGCAGTACTCGGTGGTGGACGCCGACGGCACCCGCCGCATCGTGGACTACACGGCCGACGCCGTGCACGGCTTCAACGCGGTGGTGCGTCGCGAGGGCACGCCGTCCGTGCACGCCGCCCCCATCGTCCGCGCCGCCCCCGTCGCCGCCCCCGTCGTGGCGCGCGCCTTCGTCCCCGCCCCGGTACCCGCCAGCGTCGTCCGCTCCGCCCCCTTCGTCCAGTGAGTACCCAGCAGCTTGCGAGAGAAGACCCAGTCGAGCCCAATGCATAATTTCCCGGCCTCGCGTTCGGGCCTCTGACCTCTTCAATTCGCTGTGACACGTTTATGAACCGGAGAGAACAACATGGCCATTGGCACCTTTCATTTTCGCCTGCAGGTACAGCAGCCCCCGCTTCTCGTACTCGGTGCAGCCGGTGGCGGTGGCGTCGGCCCCCGTGGCGCGCTACGCCCCCGCGCCGTACAACGCGCTGCCGGCGCTGCCCTCCTACGCCGTGCCCTCCGGCGCGTCCAACGTGCACACCTCCGTGTCCACGCCCTACCACAGCTACTCCTACTAGCGGCGGACGCCGGCACCACGACGAAGACACGCGACTGAGGACGACGCACCACACCAAAGCATGTACGCGACGACAGATTCCCATAAAAATACCTCAAAGAAAGTGTCGTGTTGTCATTGCTCCCTTGCGCCACGGCGCTCGCTTCATTGCGATCAAAAACCGGCAGAGTTTTTGCCCGGAGTGTCCGGAGACCTGCACGCGCGACACGCGCGCGCTTCCGCCCGAGAGGCCGAGACCGGCAATTTACAAGTCGGACTCCTGTCGCGTAAAAAGAAAGTGCTGGCCCGAAGAATGCCAAAAACATCCCGCCGAAATACTCCGCGTCCGCGGATCGCAGCGAGCGGCGCGCTCTCGCGGCGCGGCGGCGAAGCTCGGCCAGAGGAGCTCGGGGTATCGACGCGGAGAGGCGTCGCGCCTTCGGGGTCCTTCGCGCTCCGGGAGTATCGCCGGTGCGGTCACCGACGAAAAATAACAACAACGCACGTCCCACGGCGATACTCCTCGCTTTGGCCGTTTGAAGGCAGTTTCCAGTATTCAGCATCGTTTCAAGTTCATCATTTTAAAAGTCAGAAGGTGGGGGTGAAGTTGTTGAGTTTGCGAGTGTCGGCACACTGGAATTCGACAGACTGAGTAAACGGAGAGAAGGGGAGTGGTCATGAAATTGCGCGCGAGCCAGGGGCGGGGTCCCTGCATCACCGGCATTACGCGTGACCCCTGGCGGTAGGTCACCGGCCGCAGGCCCTCCAGAAGATCGGTTTGTCGCTCTGTCTCTCTCGCACCCTTATGCAGTACCTCATGAGTGCGGCAGAGACAGAGCGACGAAACAACACTCTGGACAGGCTCCGTGCAGCCCAATGACCGGCGGGCCACTGCAAATTACACACTGCCCCTGCCGAGCCATTCCGAAGGGTCTTTTCTTCGCTCTCTCTCTCTCTCTCTCTCTCTCTCTCTCTCTCTCTCTCTCTCTCTCTCTCTCTCTCTCTCTCCCTCTCGCACCCGTGAGGGACGCCTCATGAGTGCGAGAGAGACGGAGCAGCTCCGCGGAGTCAGCCTGTTCAGAATAACACGCGGTTGTAGAGAAAAGGATAAAAAGGCCTCCAGATTGAGTTTCCTCCTGGACGCCTGGCTGCCATAGGGCACCGCTAACATTCCTGCCGGCGAGGGCGGCGGGGCCCAAGGACCTCGGAACCCATTCCAGCGCCCCGTCGGGGGCCGCCGTCGGAAATCGAGCCGCCGCACAGTGGGCCAGAATACCGGCGCCGGCGGCCCACACTCTAGACGCGTTTTGAGCTCCAGAGTCGATGGAACACAAACTGAACGTGTGACCCCACCAATAGATTCCCCGTCCGGAGAGCAATCCATAGGTCGGGTCACACGTTCGGTTCGAGTCCCATTTAGCGACTCTGGAGCTCAATATGCGTCTGGAGTTTTGGCCGCCTCCACCGGTCTTCTGGCCCACTGTGCGCCGGACAGTTTCCCGCGGGACTGGGAGCCACGCCGCGCCGCAACTCAGCGGGCCGTTCGGGGCGTGGCCAGGCGTGGCCCGGCGGCAGGCGTTGGCAGACACTTTGGCGTATCAGGAGCAGGACGGCGACCGTATCGGCGGCCGCATCGGACCGGCCGCGGCGCGCAAGGTGGCGGCGCGGGCGGTGCGGGCGTCGGGCCGGGAGGGGCCTGCTCCCGCGGGGACTCACATCTCCCCGGGGATCGTAGAGCAACGCGGAGCCGCGCGACCTTGACCTACATCCGCGCTAATTTCGGGACTCCTGGGCAAACAGCTGGCCGCGCGGGCAGCTGGGCGCCGCGTCGCACTCGCGTGTCTCGGACTCGGCGGGGAGGGGGAGGACGCTCGCCTGGGCGGTCCAAGCGCTTCGATACGGCGATAGATCGATTACCGATCGGCGAGCTCGCAGTGGACTGAACAGGGTTGCGGCACGGCGCTCTGAGACGAGCCGCATGGGTGCGAGCGAGACAGAGCGACGACACCGATGTGCGGATCGCTCGGCGCGGCCCTCGGCACCCACCACGCGGCCGGCGTCTCAAAGGACCGCCACGGGGTCGGCGGTCGCTCTGTCTCTCTCGCGCACTGGGGAGATGTTGGAGCGAGAGAGACAGAGCGACTCTCGGAATGAGTGTGCAGCCCCACGCGCGTTGCGCCTCGCTTTGCGCGCCACAACATAACGACTGGCCCATTCAGCCGGACGGAAGCCGGCAAGCCGCGAAGCCGCGCGGCCCACGACCGCCACACTGCCATTCTGGTTTAGGACGACAGGATCCTCGACCCACGCTCCCGCCGCCGCCGTCCGCGAGAGGAATAAACAATAAAAACGCACTTGGAGCGCCCGACGAGGTGCGGGTAGGCCACCCGCTCCACGGGGGAGCATCGCGGAGGCACCGGCTGCCTACCCGCCAGGCGCTAGCCCAGAATGGACACCGCCGTGGCGACTTGTCTCGACGACAATCAAATAAAACTGTGAAACACCGCCGGGTGCCACTCACTCTGCTGTCTGCCTGTCTGTCTGAATGTCTGTCTGTCTGTCTGCTGTCTGCTGTCTGTCTGTCTGTCTGTCTGTCCGTCGCCCCGCTCCCCAATAAGGCCGCCCCTCTTGCGCCACTCTAATCGACACTCGGAGATCAAAGCCAATTTCGATGCCTCGCACCTCTTTCCTCCGCGGCCGTAAAGAACGCGTATTTTGGGCGGACAACCCGTTCAAATCGCGGGACTGGGCCTCGGCTCGCGTTTCGCTTGGCAGTGGCGCGGCGCCCTCTCGGAGGTGGTCCCGCTCCTTCTCGTTTTGTCGCTGCAGCGCACTCGCTTCCATTAATCTGCTTCTCCGATTGGCCAGTGGCCGTCGGTGGCGTGCAGTCGGCCGGCGGCCTGGGCCAACCTGGACGCAGCGGGCCACAAATCAGCGCCCGCAACAACAAAAATGTTTTCAATTTTTTTATTAGCAGCGACCTCAGCCGTACGCAGGCCATCGGCTCCCGAATGTGCAGCAAGTGACGGTCCTCACGGCCAGGGACTGAGGCCCCACGCCGCGCCGCACAGTGGGCTAGAAGACTGGCGGAGGCGGAACGTGTGACCCCACCAATAGATTCCCCGTTCGGAGAGCAATCGATAGGTCGGGTCACACGTTCGGTTCGAGTCCTATTTAGCGACTCTGGAGCCCAAAACGCCTCTAGAGTTTTGGCCGCCGGCGCCGTTCTTCTGGCCCACTGTGCGCCGCGCCACGCCCCCAGGCACACCGCGCCCGTGGCCAGGCCCGTGGCGCTAGCGACGGCAGCGTAAAACGGGCAAAAGGAAGCGCAGACGGAAAAGGGCCGACATGTAAACAAGCGGGCAGTCGTGCAAAAAGCCAGTAGCCGCACGGCCTGCCACACGGCCTGCACCGGCGTGGCGCAACCCAAGGTCGGCGCTCGGCGGGGAAGGGTGTCTGGATGCATGACTGGGGTGGCTTTTACAATTATTTATTTTTTTGCCGAAATTAAACGAGTACAGACAAACACACCTCGCTGCTCCAGAAAGGCTAAAAAACCAAAGCAGCGACCCGCAGCGACGGTCGCCGTTAATTGCGGGGGGAAAAAACAAAGATGGACCACTTAACATTTTTGTCGCTGCGGCGCGCAGTGCCATTCCAGGCGGGCCGGGCCCTCGGCCTGGCCGCGCCGTCGGGCCAATGCGTCGGCCCGTCAGACGCTGGTGTAGTAGTACGGGGAGCCGGGCAGCAGCGCCCGGAACGGCCGGTACGACGGCGAGCCCAGACGCGGCGCCAGCAGCACGGACGGCCGCGTCCACGCGCCGTACGGGCTGAGCGCCAAGGGCGCGCCCAGGCGGCCGGCGGGCTGCAGGCCCTGGAGGCCGGCGAAGGCCGGCGCGGGAGGCTGGCCGCCGGGATGGCCACCTCCGGGGCTGCAGCGACGGCTGCGGGGATGGTTACTTCTGGAGCGGGCGATGGCAAGGTGGCGGCGGGCAGGTACGTCGCCGGGAGGGTGGTCACCGGGAGGGTGGTCGCCGGGAAGCTCGGTGGTTGGAACGGCGCGGCGGGCAGGTACGCCGCCGGGAAGCCCGGTGTCGGGTAGGTGGTCGCTGGGAGGTAGGCCGTGGGGTGCGCCGCCGTCGGGAAGGTGGTGAACGCCCTGCCGGCCGAGGCGCGGCTCACCTCCACCCTGGACGTGGACTCGGCGTCGGGGTGCTGCACGGCGTACACGTAGGAGAAGCCGTCCGGGAAGGCGGCGAGGAAGCCGCGCGCGTCGGCGGCCACGTCGGGGACCCCGACGGGCAGGCCGGGCGGCAGGGTGGCGGCTGGCGGCGGCGGGTTGTACACGTAGCCCTCGGACGGCACCCCGGGGTCGTGGCTGGTCCCGGACACGCCTGCCACCAGCAGCACGGCGACGAGCGCCGCCACGCCCCGCGATGACTGCTGCTTGAACGTCGTTACGTCATTCAGGAACCATTACAGTGACAATGTAAGCCGAACCCGTTCTGCTGGAACCGTTTTATGTGTGCGATCCACGGGGAAGAAGTGCCCAAAAAATGCCCGGCCCTCAGACAGGATAAGACAAAAAAAAATTAAAACCTTAGCGAATCGCGGACATTTTGGAAGCAGTTGCGGGCTCTGGGCCAGCAGACGTCCTTCGCCAACTCTCGCGTAAAATAATTTGTCCACTGGTCCAGTTCTCGGGCATAAAACGAAAACTGCGTGGAAGCAGCGCCACCCGACGTACCTTGCGCATGGCTGCCATGGCCTGCTCTCCTGTTGGCCGGCTACTCCTGAGCGACTGAAGACGACACTTCACAGCGACACTTTATACATGCGTGGCGCACACTGGGAAACAAAAGGCACTCCCTCCGCGAGTTTCCCTTTCAGAGGAGGGAGTCCTGGTGTTTCAGGCGAGCCAGGCCTCCCGAGAAGCGTTCTGGCCCGAGAAACACTGCACAGTGGGCCAGAAGATCGGTGGAGGCGGCCAAAATCCCGGACGCGTTTTGAGCTCCAGAGTGGCTAAACGGGACACGCAGGGTCAGGGTCACAGTCTGTACCATCGCAGCTTGACTGTGAACTATAAGTCACAAAGCGAAAAGTAGTAGCGCGAATTATGCAT